TTGTGAATTTCTCTTTAGAAAGGTTTCCTCCAGGCTCTGGTTTCCCACCGTCGCTGCATAGTGGAAAAAGAGATGAGATTGAATTTGTTTTTTCAGAAATTAAACAAGGAAATTTGATGGCTGTGTTCACAATTTAAGAACTCCATTTGATAGCTTCTCAAAATCAGTGACAATAATTTAACCCATCTTATGAGATCTCGTGGGAGGAGATCTTGCCCTGTCTTATGTGCATGTGTATGTGTGTGTGCATGTGTATGCGTGTGTGTGTGTGCGTGTGTCTGTCTGTGTGCGTGCGTGTGTGTGTGGCTCAAACTCATGGAGCAGTGGTCCTGGTGCTGCTGGTGTTAATGTCCCAGAATACCTTGCTAGCCTCATTAGCGTGTGCAGCCTGTGCTTATGTAAGGCGCTGCTTACCCTCTAGGAAACATGTGTCCACACTAATGAGCAGAAACCAAATGATGTTTCAACCATCAGTTTGGAGAACACTACTTCGTTTAATAAAAAAATCTTGGCCTTGATAATATGCATAGCGTATTACAGACTGGCCAAAACCATTTGGTTTTCTAAGATGTACTATGAATTGTATGCTTTATACTGCTTTGATCCTGGTTTACATTAAACTTTTTTATTTTTTATTGTTTCCTAATGTAAAAACTGGTCTGGAAATCCCCTCTAACAATAAACTGACTTACAAGTTGCCAAACTGTGTATATGTTTTTTCCTGAAATGCACTTGTAGTTCATAGTTATACTCGTTATTCTAGTTATACTAGTGAACGCTTTTCAGGTCAACTATTCTTGTCCCCACTGTGGGGCGAATAAAGGTTTCTTTATGCTATCTTTAATTGTGGGTTAATCATTTAATGTTCATTTATATCAGGGGTGGCAACCTCATGCAGCTCTTTGGTTGGTTCCATGTGGCTCCCGATATTTCACATGACAAGCATTAAAAACGCCTTGGCGGTGGTGCTGCCATATGTTTGACTTGACTCTGCCTGGTTTGTGGGCTTGGCCCTGGTTCTATCTGGGCCAAGAAGATACCAAAACAATCTGACATTGGCGAACGTCAATTGTGATTGGTCCGAGGCAAACAACAAACAACAGGTTGCCTCAACCAATGAAGACCTCCGAACGGAAAACAATTCCTTGGTCACTGGATGACGGCAACACCTTCCTCCGTTGGAGAAGAGGACACCAGCGTGAGCTCGATGGTGCCACCAGAAACCAGAAGGTGTTTGCAGAGGTAACGCTACGGATGGAGGAATGGATATCCATGGACATCACAGTGCCTTCCATAAAATGAAAGATCACAACGACAAAAGTAGAGGAAGAACCGAAAAGTCCGGAGGTGGTGGATACAATTTACAGACATCGGCTAACACCAGCTACACCGGGAGAGAAGCCTCCACTCTGCTCCAGAGGTTGAGTTTGAGAGAAATGGTCTTCAATCTGTCTTACACGGAACGTTTGTCTGTGGTTCTTAAGTCTAGAGCAGCTAAAGTGGTGTTGATGTTATGTGTCATATCTAGCGTTATATCTTTTACTAAACGTAGTTAGAGAGTGAATCTTTGATTCATGGTTCAATAAAGACAGTTGTTGTGTTATAAGCTGAATGCTGGGTTAAATCTCGTTTTTTGTAGCTGCTCGGCCCGGCTAGAACCATGGCCAAGTTGTTACTTAAAAGGTGAGCCGATGGAAACGCCTGCAAACCGGGGAAGGTCGAGCCGAGCCCGTGGAAATGGGCCTTTAGTACTGTAGGAATCCATCATTATCCTATGTATTTTGTGTGACATACAATAATTCTTGTGCGTGCGCATGTGTGGGTTTGCACGCGTGTGTTTGCGCGTGTGTGTTTGTGTGTCCATTTGTATGATTTGGCTCTTTGCGGTAACACAGTAAAAAGTCAGTCTCTGACTGGTTGGCCACCCCTTAGTTAAATTATTGATTGGTATTAGAGAAGTAGATGATGTAAAACATGAGCTAACAGATCTTGTGTTAATTTTGTTCCACATGGTCAATAAAAAACTAGAAAATCTGTAGAGCGCTCTACCTGGAGGAACAGTTCCATTCCATTAAAAACAAAAACAAAACGGAATCAAGACGGTGACTTGGATCACCTTCAAAATGTATTCAGTTGTTCACTGGGCCATTGTGCACGTTTCCATATGCTGCTCAGACCCTGCCCTGGTCATTAGAGCCCTGCACGGGCCTATTATCTGGGCCCGAGCCCGGCCCTGGCCCGAGGGGGTGGCGCCCCAGCCCGGCCCGGCCCGATATGGTTTCTGAATTTTCAGGCCCGAAACCCGCATCAAGCCCGCCTTTTTTTTTTTTTTTTTGTAACCTCCCATAACAATGTTTTAGCGTAGTATATAGTGCCGTGCACTGATATGAACGCAGACTTAGCTAGAGGGCGGAGTTATACATGGTAGTGATGTGTTGCAATGAGTTCTGTGTGTGCGGAGTGGTGCAGAGTGAACGGCCGCATCTGTATGATGCCCCCGATGCTGCAACACATCTGCACATTACATAAGTAATGCTATGTGCCGTCAATGACAACACTACACAGAACAAGAAACACTACAGCGTGATAGAACGCTATATTCAGTGGGTGCGTTCGTAAATGTATTCTGCCGCTCTGAAAATGAAGAGCCCGAGCCCGGCCCGTGTCCGAGGTCATTATGCGGTCATCGGCCCGAAGCCCGGCCCTCGGGCTGTCGGGCCGTCGGGGCCCTCGGGCCAAGGGCTCAAGTACAGGGCTCTACTGGTCATCACTTTACCTACTGGGCGGGGTGAACTAAAGTGCACATCTATGCAATGTGCTGAGGTCATGGCCCTCTGACCAATTTGTCCCTCAGGAACAAGCTATGCATAGTCATGCCTTTTCATAACACCACATACATTGCTCATGATTCACACCACACTTGATGCTGATAAACTACTAGAATAGCCACAGCTTCCCTGGGGCAGATTGTCTCAATCTCTCCTGCTTCTTCCACAAGATGGGAGTTTTGCCATCTAGTTAATTTTTGTTGGATGTATAAGCTTTGGTATTGACTGCTGTGTCCTGCAGAAGGTCATTAAGGATCACTTAATCATTCGTGTTAAGAAAGCTCGTCAGCGAATTTAGCACTAACTCTTAGATTCTGCTTATTGCTGCACCATAGAAAGTTCGCTTGTTGGTTTGGTAATATCACAGACAAAGGAGAGCTCTAGACAAGGTGCTCCGCTCTCCAATAAGGACTGTGAGCTGCCTGTTCTATGGAGATTCATTATGAATCCAGACTTTTAAACCAAGCTCTTAGAATAATCAATGACATAATGATGATCATGTTCCAGCTTCTTTATTCTGACTGAAGATATCGTTCGCTGAGATGCAGGAGATTTCAATATGCTAACCGCTTCTTTCTATAAGCTGTTATCAGTTTGAGAAAAGCACTTTCTTGTATTGAAACAGTTATTGTCAATCGATTTCACAGTGTCAATTGTTTCCTGTTTTATGTATTTTCAATCTTGTTTTATTATCTACTTGTCTTGTGCACACTGGGGACTTTTGCGGATGTACTCCAAAGTGGTTTTACTGCAAATGGCAAATAAATGAATCTGAATCTGAATTAGTGCCTATTATACATATATGCCACCTGTTTGTTCTACTTAATCAAAGAGTTCTTATTGTAAAGGCATGTTTAAGGGCCTCACACAAATTTAAATAATTCGCATGGTTTGATGTTTAAACCTTACTCCCAGTTCCACCTGTCTGCCTGTTCTTGGTGCTGTGGGGCAGCAGCACAGTGGGATTTGTGAATGTAGGCCAGCACGCTCTTACGTCAGGGGCAGCGGCTGTGGTCCAGCTGTGCAGCCCCGGTGCGCACACATCCTACTGCTTCACACCAGAGACTAGAGATCACAGACCTGAGGCCTGAGTAGACGGCATGAAGACGGTCCTCAACTTGCACCGCAAATGGGCCCACGCCGTCAAGACCATCCGCATCCTACAGGGCCTTGTGAGTGCACGCCGCTCAGCCCCAATGCTGATACGTGGATTTTGTCTCAGATTTGAGTATATATTCTGAAGTGAAGTTGTCGTGTGCTCATCAGTTTGGGAGGTCTTCCAGTGGAGTCATAATTCAACTTTGGAGATGTCGTGGTGATTTTTTCAGGAATGTGTATTCTGGTTTCAAGGATGTACTTGTTTGAGTGGTAAACTTTTGCTGATTCATGGTTTCAGCTGTACAAAAATCTACTATATTCTATATGTTCAATCAATGTTTGTGTTTTAGAATGTATTTGATTTGGTTTATGGATCTGTTGTAAGTGAAACAACTATAGTATTGCCCACAAAAGTTTGCTAGAGAAATTCAATTTCCTTTTTATTGTATAGATATTCTGATTACTTGATAATCAGTATATGCATCTATTTTACAATACCCAGGTTAGTCATGTATATATCTCAGAACAGGATCATACAAAGCGCTTTGCAATTGGTGTATTTGATCTACAGCACACAATGGAGGTCGGAGGACTAACTGCCACCCAGCTGTCTTAATCACAGCCCAGACCCCTCATCATCATCAACCAGTCATTCACGCTGCACATTCACACCTTGTACACCATTAGAGAAAACCGAAAGAAACGTGCGGAAATGGGCAGACTAATGTCTGTGTTTTCCTCTGCAATTATTCGTTCTCAAGTGCTCTGTCTTACATGCACACAAAAGACAATGTTTGCTAATAAGAAGAAAACAGCATTTTGTGGTGTGATTTGTTCAAAAATATTTGGAACTAAGAACTAAAAAGTGAGTTACCCTAGCTTTAACCATTCTTGATTGTATTTATTCTTTTGAGGTGATTGATGTTTTATGTACTTCCTTGATAACATTCTACAATTCTACTACAACTCGTATTTGCTTTCATTGCTAATTTAGAGTTTGTGACATACAATGGCAATAAAATAATTGACTCTGATAAACCTGAAGTCTAACGCTGTGTGTGTTTGTGTCCACAGAACCCAGTGATGGATGAGACGGTGTGGGAGCAGTACACAGTGACTCTGCAGAGGGTAAGTCTGAGTCTGAACATGAATTTGTGGTCAGTTAATTCTTCAGTTTATTCTGGGATAGCGAGGTATGCAGCTGTAGCAATTAAAAAAATTGCCCTCATGGTTAAAAATTCTATTCTGCATTATATCATTTTGTTTAGATTGATTGATCTACTTTTTCTGAACTGATACATTTTATTTCCAATAAAATATTTTCATAGCATTGAACATATGAAATGGCACAACAAAAACTATTCATTAATTTGATTCAACCAAAATAATCGATTAGTTGAAGATATTTTTATCTGCAACCCTGGTGGGCCAATGTGCAGCCAAACATGAAGCTGCAGCTTCCACGTTTCTGTCTGTTATATGATGTTATGGTCTGAAAAATGTGCTATATAAATTAACATTACTTACTTACAGTACTAACTTATGAAAGAGACTTCCTTTTTCACTCCTGTGGAATTTCCTTCCGAACTGGTCCTGATATCTGCTGCACCACATGGTCAGACATAGCCTGGCCTTAGTCATCCGTACACTCCGCTCAATCTTCATTTCACTGCATGTAACATTTGGGTCTGGTCCCTGTGTTTGCCATTACAATCGGTTGAATTCCCTCCGACCAATCAGCGAGGGCAGGAGGTGGGTGTTGTTGTTAGATGTGGGTGACGCCAAGAGTTTGCGTCGAACGGGTAGGTTGTAGTTTGGCAATGAGAACGATGTCATGTTTCGACGGTGACTTTGATGTTGCTTTTGTCTGATATAGACGAACAAAACCAGTCGAAAGCTACAAGACGCATCTCAAAGTGTTGTATGTTGTGGTCAACTGAATATTTCTCCAGCTTGTATATTGAGACCAGTGGAACAGTGGTTTGAGCCTTCATACAAAGAGTGGTTTGAGTGAAAAGCTGAATTGCTTTCCGTTTCATAGTCCATTTTCTCTGCCCATGTAAGTGCAGTGTATGATTGTGTGCTGTACTCGGAGCTACAGCCACTCCAACCTTGTTTTAAGATGTGCAGAAGGATATCTGTGTTTTGCTTTGTCCCTTAGTCTGTATTGTCCAAAGAGCTGGTTGCTCCTTCTCTTCCCCTGACCTGTGAAAGCTGTGACATCTGTCAGGCCCGAGCTGCGGCTGTTGTTTTAAGTACCCACAAGGATAAAGACTGACCATCCCATCTGGTAGCTAATAACACCAGGCACAGGCCTAGCAGGGCAGGTGGAGGAACGCACAGATGTGGAAAATTCTGTGCAATTTACCTTATGACATGTCTGAATGTAAACTACAGACGCACTCTTTACTACACAAGAACAATCCAATGCTTGATTAGACAATATTACAGCTCTGTTCTCAAGTTTGATCTAACCAAAAACCTCCCAATCCAATGCTGAAATTCTGAAACTATCATTTTTTCTTTAGGGCCAGATATTTTCTGTCAACAAAGTTCCTTATTTTTGTCTGTATTTTCTTTATCGTCCCAAAAAGACTGATGACCTGTATAGATCATTTATACTGTACATCTGTAATGAAATGTATTTTTTCATTATTTATTGTTTATTTGGTTGGGACAGTACATGTTAATGAACACATCACTCCGGATTGTAGCCATGGGCTAATTTCCATCCATTGTTCCACATTCGCACACACAAACACACACTCATTCACCCTGGACTATTTCACATGTTTTTAGAGGTAAGGGAAACTGCTATCCACTCAGCCACCGTGCCGCCCATATTTTTAGAAATAATGTAACATAGTCCAAATCCACAGCTCTTCTTTATGGAGTCACAAAAGTTTAAGAAAAATGGCGTGTTACGGGGGACAATTGTATACATGTTTTTAGTGATGGGGGAACCCTACGCTTACACAAGGCGTTGAACCTTGAATTGATACTGGCAAATTTCTGTAATCAAAGGCAGCATACAAACTCTATCGCAGCTGTGTACAGTAGTCTCTATCACCTGGGATTACCAAACTCTCTGCCCTGCTCCTGTCTTGTTCAAAGTAGTCAAATATTCTGGAGGTAAATTTTCTTTTTGGAACAGCTTCCTCTGCATTAGTCTCTTCATCATCCGCTTGTTTTGTTTCTCTGTGTGCTCTACTCTAGCGTGTGGCAGCACTAGGTCGCAGATTCATCAGTGCGCATACACAAAAGGCATACATAAATTTATCAAAATTATTGCACATCTTTTCAATATGTATATTGCACGTACCAATATGGCAATATTTTTTTGATATATTGTGCAGCCCTAATTGTGTTGCAGTTGTGGCCAATACCCAGATACTTATTTTATAGTAATTAGATTCACAGTGTAAAGTCCTCAGACAACTACATGTGTTGATTTGAATATCCTGGCACAGCAGCTTTGAAACAGCTGTTTCTTCTTTACAAATAATATGTTTTTCTTATTTTGCTTTCATTTTAATTCTCGTACATTGTCTTAATGCTTAATGTTCTTTAAATCTCTCGATTCTGCTAGGTGTGAATGTTTAGCACTGCCCCTCAACTCGCTCACAGGCTTCTCATTTCCCCTACGCTCTCATTCCACGGAGCCATCTAGTTTTATTTGCGATCTGATACATATGCTAAAATTAGCATGAGCGCAACTTCTTGTAAGCTGTACAACAATCACTGATGAAATGGTACAAAAGCAACGCACTGCTAACAAAATATTTAACCGAAAGTTTACCGCTAGTTCCGCGTCCGAATGTAGTCCGAGCATAGATAGTGCGAGGCGGTCCCGCAGGTCTCTCCCATAGACAAGTCTCTCCAGGGGATACGATGTAAGCTAGCTATGTTCACCCGGGCTTGATTTCTTCTTTGATATTTTTTTCGCTTTAGTTCCCTCTTCTCTTCCTCACTGTTGTCGTTTGGGCTGTTTTGCTGTGTCTGCAGTTTGCTGTGTCTGCAGCGATACTTTCTCCCGCGATTTGATTATCGATATGCATTTGCCAAGTATCGATATCAATTTTGAAAAAATATATATATATATATATTTTTTTTTTGTTTTTTTTTGTTTGTTTTTTTTTTACTTTTTTTTTTTTTGAATTGGCATCAATACTTAATATATGGCTACATTACGCATCTCCATTCTATTTATCATGAAATAAAGAGTATTTTTTCTTTTATTTATGCCATAAATTGGCATATTGTATATTTCTGACCAATATATCAATCGTCATATTGTGATAAAATCGTTATGATATCGTTATTGTGATATTATCGTTATTGTGAGCTTTGTATCGTGTATCGTATCGTATCGTGAGGTACCCTTAGGTTCCCACCCCTACTGCAGTTACAGCAAGAGGAGTTATAGCCAATTCTGCTAACATGCTGTGTTAAGCAGCGCTGTAGAAGCTAGAGGACGCAGCCTCGTTCTGTGAGTGGAGGAGAGCGTCTCTAAGCATTTTTATACGGCCTGAATTCATACACAGCTGAATCAATGAGCTCAAATTTTCAATTAAATTACAGATTATAATACAACTTGTATGTAGTAATAAGCATTTTTATTAACTCATTAGAAAATAAATTGGGTATAGCTTCTTTAAGCAGGACAGCACAAAGTAGGCAACTCTTTCAAACAGGTTTTATAATGTCTTCTGCTTTCAAAATGTGTTATATCTTTTAATGGTCCAGGATTCCAGAATGGGCTTTGGAATCGCAGTGTCTGGAGGGCGAGACAACCCCAACGAAGACACTGGGGAGATGTCCATCGTAGTGTCTGACGTCCTGAAGGGTGGCCCCGGCGATGGACTGCTCTTGTGAGTTTACAGTTCCCTTTAGTCTTATAGGAATCAATTCTAAATAATATAATCAATACAACCTGCACAAAGGAAAGGCAAGGGGTCCACTGGTATATCTAGTTAGGGAGGGGTTGGCATTTCCAACACTTCTGAAATGGTGCAAGGTAGGAAAACTGTCCCCAGAAAAACCTGCCAAACATGTAAGTTTGAGAAGCACAAACCTCAAAATGGCCTGTTCGGCTGTGGCGGGCATGTGGGTCCAGTGACACCATGCTTAAGAAAGCGGTCCAACCATGTCTGCAAACATAACTGCTGGATCAGAACGTGCCCACGAGCGCGTGCTCTCTGTCAAAGTAGACCGCAAACGTCTACTGACTAATATTAATTGCACAAAGAGGATAGAAATGACATTTACTTGATTGGAAACACTGCACAAGAATACACTATACATTTGTTGGCATATCTTTGTGTACTTTTATAAGTAAATGTTTAACCCTTTAATGTTCACTCCTTGAAGAGAGGAATGTTTTTTTTTTCTTGGACCACTGAAAACCAAGTGAGATGTCGCAAACATGTAGATTTCAATTTAGCATGTTTTCAAGTAGATACTGTGACTCAAAAGTTATCATAATCACAATAATGTTTATTGCCAATGCACTGTAAGTAACAGGAAGTCACAGACTAGGAATTTGCTTTGGCTCTCGGTGCAAACGAATCAAAATTACAGAAGGAATAAGGCATAATAAAACATTTCTTAGGTATAACAGCGTCTAAAATATAAAAAACAAAAGTAAAATTATTATGATGATTACTATTACTTGGTGGACTGGACACTGTAGCGTTTGAGCTACTGGGACAGCCTCTCACCAGGACGGGAAATAAACACAAGTCCAGAAGTGGCAGAACTTGCACCAAAAAGATTGAATTTATTTGGGCAGCATCCCCCCATGCATACAACAGGAACACGCAACAAAATGGAATCTTCCCCTTTTTATACAGTGGCCCAAACCAAGACCTCCACCCACCCAGGGACACACCCGTGTAGGCCCATGTAGGATACACCTGTGGGGTGAGGAGTGGGGACTACTCCTTCACACACAATATATACATTATACATTAAGCAGTGCAGTAATGTGGCAGTTAAGTGGCTTTATAACCAAATAGTTGAGGAAACATTCATTAAATCATCATTAAACATCATTAAACGTGTAATTTTCCATTTAAGGAACTTAAGGAACCATCTCTTCTCTGTCTCCGTCTCAGTTCTGGCTTAAAAAAAAAAAAAAGAAGTGAACTCTGCATGTGATCTTAATATAATTCATTTCAAATTGTACTGTTATCACAGTTGGAGTCTTTACAAGATCTGTTGTTTCTTTGGTGCAGTGAGGGTGATCGTGTGGTCCAGGTCAATGCCACCCTCATGGACGGAGTAGCCCACTCTTTTGCCGTGCAGACGCTCCGAAAATGTGGCAAAGTGGCTAAAATCGTGAGTAATCGTTTTCAATGTTGTCTTGTATATTGTGTTCTCTCTCTCTTTCAAACGTTTCCACAATCCCATCAATTTTTGTGATTTCATGTAAGAATACAGTTAAACATGGGTTTGGTTTTATTCCGGAAATGATCCTCTATCTAGGCATTAATTTGAATAAATATAATATTAACCCTTAAAACATTATCTTGGGATTTACTTTGGCATTTCATGCTTTAAATAGTTAACATATTTTGAAATTGTGTTTTCTGAAATCAAATTGAAGGTATTTATATAAAGAGAAGTGAGAAGTAGTTGTTTTTTTGTTTTATTTTTATTTTTAGAGTATTTCATGTAGTAACAACTGAACACATGCTTAAGCAACAAATTATTTTTTTATTTTGTCCAACCAAGTCTATCAAACCAGTGCAACCTTTGCCATTAAGTTCAGCCATAGGACATTTAGAAATATAATACATTTTGCAGGCCCTTATCTCCTAGCCTGGGTGCAGCCAAGCTTTCGCCCTGCCTACGTCCTGCCTACGTCATTTTCCAGCAAGAAGTTCGGTCTGTGTTTTGCTGTGCCTTTTACAGTATGTTTCAAATGACAGGTCTTGAGTGGTCAGGTCTTCCCCAAAACCACCAAACCATCAATAACTATACCAACAACAACAACAATAAATGATCTACTTTTGATACATGTTTGATAGACTACCCTACTCTTATCCTACCATCTCAACTTGGCTAACAATTGTATTTGTTGTCCTAGACTGTGAAGAGGCCTCGTAAAGTGCCCGTGAACATGGTGAAACGTGCCCCCTCTCCAGATGACCGCGTCTTCAACACAGACTACACAGAGGACTACGACTACGACGAGGACCGCAGGAGTGCGTACAGTGCACATGAGCGCACAGTCGAAAGGGATCACCGGGACCGCGATTCAGGATACCAGACCCACGAGCGCGGGCGAACTGCTGACAGAGACCTGGGTGATGAGCGTGGATACCGGAGAGACGGCAGCCGCGGGCGCATGCTGGAGCCAGACCGCAGCCCTGACCGGAGGTACCGCAGTGCGCACGGTCTGGACAGAGACCATAGCCCAGAACGCAGGTGGGTGAAATAGAAAAATAGAAATCATACCAGCCATCCAATTAACCTTTTAAACAGATTGAAATTGAGATTGCTCATGTATGCTCTTGCAACTGTGTAAGAATACAGACAATGGCAAGGTCATAGATCTCACATTGTGCTGATTGTGATTCACAATGAAAACATTTTTTACCTCAACTTCAATACTAGTGATAGTATAAATGTTTCAAGTCACATTTTTTATACTTCCAAAGACATAAGAAAAACATTTACACAAAAAATGAAGCAATGAAAAGCATGAACCAAATGTTCTTTAGTTTTTAGCATGTAACTTCTAGTTGTAATAAACCAGTGTTTCTAAACCTTCTTTAAATCAAAACCCACCAGTTAAACAAACTTTGGGAATTTGGGAATTCCGTCTTACGCCTATAGCAGTGTGGGCATAGGCTGTACCTAAAACACAGCTCTTTTATTTATGGGGAGGGCTTTCTTGGCACCAAAGCCACCCACCAAAGCTGATCTTAACGGTGAAATAATAACGGAGCCTACAGAAGTTATGATTCTCCACACTGTCCTCATCTTCTCTGTGATGTGTGTGTTAATATCTTATGCACTCTGTATCACTTTGTGAATCTGACCTCCTCCTTTGTCCTTCCTCTTGCTTTGAATTTACTGTAATCTCTGGTTTGGTAATGTGAAATGCAATTCTTTTTAAAGATCTTTAAGTAAGTAAGTAAGTAAGTAAGCTTTATTTATATACCGCCTTTCACAGACCAGAGTCACAAAGCGGTTTACAATTGTTATTTTTTGGGCACTTGTCCTCTCACTCCACACAGAGATGGGAGCGGGGTCGCCGAACAGGAGGCGCATGCCAGACCTATTGTGCATATTTTTAGTGGTAGGGGAAACCGGAGTACCCGGAGGAAACCTACGCAGACACGGGGAGAACATGCAAACTCCACTCAGAAAGGCCCTGGTCCGGCCGGGATTCGAACCCAGGACCTTCTTGCTGAGAGGCGAGAGTGCTATCCACTCAGCCACCGTGCCGTAAAGTCACTTAGATAAAAATGCTTATGAAGTCAACTTTAATAGATATGAGAAGGGAGGAGAGTGTAGCCAGCATTTTTCAGATGCAGTATGACTCTGGAATCATTGTCCAGATTGACGTATGACAAATAACACTGATAATCTTAATTTTAGGGACTTTATATTTCCATTGTATATGTTCAGGTCAAATTATAAATCTACATAATTGTGCAAGCAATGTATAATGTTGTTTTCTTTGGTAATCTTTTCCCTCTGGACAAGTTATGTGTTGAGTGGAATAGTGTAGGTCAGAGTTATAGGATTAATAATAATAATACTCATTATTCTGATTTGATCATCTGTAATTTTGCTCAAATTGTTTACGGTTGCTGCAGGGATTACAGAGACCACAGTTCTGACCGGCGTTACCGAAGTGAGCGAGCTCTGGACCGCAACTGCAGCCCTGACCGAAGATACCGTGAAAGCCCAGAAAGGCACTACCGCGCTGATCGGCCTCTGGACAGAGAGAGCCCAGACAGGGGGCGCTACAGACGGGACAGCCACAGCCCCATTAGGGCCCGAGCACCCAGCAGAGAGAGGCTGGACCGCTCCCCCTCCCCTCCCCCCATGCCCATCCCACTGCCACGCCCACCACCACGCGACCACGAGCCCCTGGACAAGCCACTCAATGTATTGCTGCTAAAGAACCGGCCCAACGAAGGTCAGCCAACTCTTGATGGTCATATACTTTATTGTAGTTCAGAATCAGGGGGGCAGACATTTGCAGAATTTTTAAATACATGCCATTGAAGTTACATCAATTTGAAGTTTATTATGGATTCCATCGTCTTCAATGAAACAGAACAAAGAATTTCAGTGTTGCGTGACTCATTACATGGGATTATAAAGCACACAGAGCATACGCAAATTGAGACAAGATGAAGAGATAAAGCCAACATGTCTTCGCAGACTAAATGATCTGAGCTCTAAGTGTCTCTGCTGTGGCTTTCAGAGTATGGGCTCCGACTGGGCAGCCAGCTATTCATCAAGGAGATGACGAGCACAGGACTGGCCAGCAGAGATGGACACCTCCAGGAGGGAGACATCATCTTAAAGGTGAAACTAAACACACTTTACAATGCCTGTACATTTATACACAAGTCATTAGTTTTGTCCTCACAAATATCATGATTGTTTTGCACGGCTCTGCAACCAACAACTCACATAAGACAAATTAGCAATGAAAGGTTGCAGAATTACATTGACAATGGTTTAATAATGGCTATAATTATGTATGTACCGAACTTAACCGAATCAGATGAAGAAAATTGTAGGAAGGGCTGTATGGTTGTAATGAATTCTCGTTGGTTAGCAATCACTGCGGGGTGTCCGGTGACAGCAGCAATTATATAGGTTCAGGTGAGGGTGGAGAGCTACCAGATGTCCATAGGATATGTTGCAGAACTTCTCTATTAAAGGTAAACTATTTATGCATGTTATTTAGTGACTATAAAGGCATCAACAACATAACTAATAAACATTAACTTAAAACAAGGCCACATTGTAATAGCCCTTTGTCGCATCTTTATTTGTCCCACATTGGGAAACAAACAACGGCCATTTTAAGCCTCTAAAAAAGGTCGACTAAACCTGGATATTTAGGAACAAAAGTTTATAGTTCTGGCAGGGCTCGACATTAACGGTTGTTCGCTTGCCCGGGGCAATTAAATATTTGGGACGGGCAATTGCGCTGTTTTAGCAAGTTGCCTGGTCGGGCAAGTGATGTATTACTTTAACCCATTCCGGCCAAGAACACATTCCTGCATTTCTTCCTCTGGAGCAAAGAGGGGACACGTTTGTTTTTTTATTTTTATTTTGACAAATTCTCTTCAAAAATGTCCGCGAATCCCGACTGTTTAACGCTGACAATGTCCTTTTTGTGAAATGTGTGACCGCGGGAGCTTTCTGTTGTTTGTTGTATGTACTCGAACGGGGTTTACATCCTCAGCTCAGCAAACGCACTGTGTAACGTGGTACCGAGCGCGGACAGGACCATGCTCAGCTTGTTGCAAGTGCAGGTCTCCCCCGTGTCTCCTACCTATGCGCAACCAAAACTCACGAAATTAAAGCTCAGGTACCTAAATCTCCTCTTGCATTAAAAATGCATGTTGGTTGTGCACAAAAGTAATTTGTTGTGAACAATTAAAACAGAACACACCACGACAGGCGGCTTGTTTTTTATTTTGCATACTAAAGAGTCCTGTGAGTCCTTATTTGACGCAGTTAGTGCCACTTTGGGCAAGTGAAATATAAATGGAAGTTGCCCGAAGGGCAAGTGACTGACAAAGCTTAATGTCAAGGCCTGGTTCTGGTAAGACTTATTTTGTTTCCCCTTCCAGATAAATGGCACAGTTACAGAGAACCTGTCCCTGAATGACGCAGGGAAACTCATCGAGAAGTCCCGGGGAAAACTGCAGCTGGTGGTGCAGAGGGACCGCAGTCAGATCCTGATCCGAGTGCCCCCCATGGTGGACAGCGACTCAGAGCTGGACGGTGAGAGCAAGAGGCAATGAGGAGAGGCTCGGACGGCACTGCCCCAGCACGTACATGTACAACACGTCTATAAAGTCGTTATGCAGTTTACTGGAGCTGTGTTGGCAGTGTCTTTTATCAGTCATTTGTTGTTTGGTTTTGTGGTGTACTGAATTATTTAGGTTAAAAGAGAACATTTCCACACCATGACAGAAATGTTAAGAAAAAATCTGGCCATTATTCAAAGATTATGAACAATGATGTTGTTCAGATGTTTTGATCAATGTTAGTCGTTGTGTGAAACCAATCATGTATAAAAAGTAAAAAAAAACTATTTTCAAATGATAAAGACTCCACTTTTGACCCTGGTCATAAATCTCCCCCAGTTCTCTGTGTGTATTGCCCCTTTAACATGTGGTAGTAGTGGTGGAGGTTCTTTATCTTCTGATGGTGAAGCTGCCTATTGTTGCATGGTTGAAATTCCCTGGCTCGATTTTATATAATTTGAAAAGGGGAAAAATTGATATTTGACAATCAATGGCTTCACAAAATGAGTTGAGAAAAAAGTTTTGGGTTATCATTCATGATCTCCAAAATAATGACATTTCTGTCTGTGTGTGTTTACTTGACAAGAACTTTTGGCTCAATCAGCCCCATCTGTTTAAATGCTTGGTCTTCAACCTACAAGGTGTTTTCGGCCTTAATAAAACTAAAGTATTCTATTCAAAGCTTTGACAATTTCTCCAATCAAACCACGTTTTCTACAACTGTGTGCCTTCAATTTAATGAACTCAAACTTTTGAGGCTGGGGACTGCATTCCAAGAGTCACTGGTTGAAACTTGTTTGAGCGAGTCCATTTGAGGAAGTGTTTTATGGTCGGACTCTGTATTTCTTAGTCTTGTTATTTTATAAATATGATTTTTTAGCTCCTTTGTTGCAATTCAAAAGGTTTTTTTATATAGTGTGGTGGTGGGCTGTGTGGAAAGTTTTTATCTAAAGTTTAGTACAGATCTTTCATTACTTGAATGTTCAATTTCAGCAATGAAATCTTAAAGGGAGGAAATGTTAACTCCATTCTAAAAACTAAAACCATTCAAACTGTATGCATGAGCAAGCGATGCCATTCTCCCCATGGCTTTATAATCCAGCTGTTTTTCCAATTTAACCCTGCTGAACAAATAAAAATGTACAATGTGAAACCAAAATATGTGGCTATACTTTTTCTCCTGCTTTGTAAATGTATCTCATAGTTATTATTATTATTATAAATCCATCCGTTCCACCATAAGCAGCTGCCATCAGAGCTGACAATGAGCCACATCCAGGATCACCTTGTTTTTTTATACCTGTTTTGATGTCACATGACCAGAGCAAGCGTTGTGATTGGTGGATGGCTCATCAGAAGTGGTGTGACTGGATTGTGGAGGAGGAGTGGTTCGCCTGTGACCCACATTTGTGTGTTTTTGTATTCACACTCGCCCCGGGACACACGTCTAATCCAGCCCATAATCCCACCACTGGAGCGCACACAATTTCATTAACATTAGATCAAAACGCTACTGTAGTTTGAACTGGTTTTGTATGGATTGTTTAAATACATGGATTAAAACATTTGTGTTATTACTAAGAACTAATGAGGTACAGCTTCATGTCAGAAGCTAAGCAGCGCAGTGCTTTGCTAGTGCTGTATGATGGGAGACCTGTATTGTAGACAGGCGGAGGGTCGGCAAGAAAGTCCTGGGTTCAAATCCTGGTCTTTCTGAGTGGAGTTTGTATGCTCTCCCCATGTCTGCCTACATTTGCCCTGGGTACTCCGGTTTCCCCTACCACTCAAAACACGCACAAAAGGTATAATCCTCCAGGTCTGGTAGTCCTGACCAAGCTGAGCATCAGCATCTGGAGATGGGACCCCAGGCGCTGTGCTTTGGCAACCACTGCTCCTGACCTTTTAATTTCCCTACGGGGATAATAAAGTGCATATTTACATTGAATTGTATTTTGGGCTGGTGCCAGTACAACTCAATACAATGAGAAGCAGTTATTGAAAGAAATGTGAAAAAATAAAATGTCCAAATGTTTGTTCATTCATTCATTCATCTTTGATGGGGATTTAGATTCACAAACCTGCCATAGTATTTCTTTGTTACTATGGGGCAACATGCATTGTTTATTGTCGATTTGTCCAGGTTTTTTAGCTGCTGGTTGGCAGTACGATGGTGCTCAAATGAAATTTGCAGCAGGCAATAAATGAATGGTGAACATAAGGAAAAGAACAAATGAAGATGACTTTGCAATATAGAGGATGAAAACAGTTTATCTTCCTTATTTTTAGTTATTTTAAAATATATTGGGGGTTTTTCACATGAAACACATCTGATCCCCAATTTACACAAAGCAAGGAATGTCACATAAGTCACCCATACCTTTTGAAAGAAATGACACCAGAGGGGATTTTTCTTCCCCTCTGCAGCCAGGAAACGCCATGTTGAATAGCAGCATGTATTGTTATCACGCTGGTATTTTACTGATGTAAACTTTCATTCTCATTACAATGAAAAGCTTTTCCCGGACAAACTCGTGTAACTACATTTACGTGCTGAAGATGCTTTATGTTAATTGGGGCTCAAAGTTTATATTAAATAATCTCTTTGGCAGTCTGTTATTACAGTTCAATCAAGTAAAAATATCTGGATGTTCTATTATGGTTGGTGAATTTTCATGGGTTCTTGTATTGCAGATATCTCTGAGATAGAGTCGTATCGCTCATACTCCCCCCAGGACGACAGGAGGGGTCACCACTCAGACCTCTCCTCGCATTCCTCCAATGAGAGGCTGAGGGACAAGCCCAGGTACCGCATCACTTCTGTTCTGTTAATATACTTGTACTTTACATCTGTAAGTTTACACTATAGACGGGAATATTGATTTCAAAAAACAAAAAAATCATTGTTAGTGATTTTGTCATGCCATTTTTTGGCACTTAAGCAAAATATAATAACAGAATTGGCAGTCTCCATCCCTTACTTTATTTATGTATCTAAAAGTGAAATCAAACATGATGTACCTGTTGAACAAACCTGCGTTCCCACATAGGATATTTCCAAACAGCACTGTGTAAAAACAAAATGTTTTATTTCAGACACTGATTTCCATGACACCAAAAGGTCTTCCTGGTTTTATTTTAAATGTTATTTCGTCTTTCTTAATACTTCTATAAAACCTCTTCCCACATACTTTTAGTCTTTACTCCCATAGTAGTGACTTGAAACACAAAGCTCACAATTGGACTGATCTGGCGTCCCTATTGTTTAATTTTCATTACATTTTCCAAATGTCAACTTCCTGTGCATTTTTTAATAGGTTTGTTTTCACAGAGAGGAGCCGTCTAATCGATTTGCCAAAATGGGTGCCATGGCAACACCGTTCAGACCCCCGGAAGACAAAAGCCCTGTAGTGGTAGAGAGAGAAGAGCAGCGAGCAGAGACCCCTCCAGGTGCAGCACCACTTATTACTGATACACTAGTACTACTAGTACGGCAGGCTTTTGAGAAAAAGAAGAAAACATTGGATATGTCATAAAGTAATTTTTATCATCAGAAATAGTGCATTATTGTCATTCATGTACATAACCATAGCATTGTAATTCCTCTGATGAAACCAACAGTGAAATAGATTTCATTAGCCCTTAATCAGAGAATCTCACATCTATCCATCTCCTCTGCATTTGCCTGGCCTTAGCCATCCGTCAACTCCGGTCAATTATCATTTCCCTAAATGTACAAAATTAAATTGGCACAATGGTGTGGTAAGACCTGGCTATCACTGCACTGCATCTCACCTAACATGAAAAGCAACCAGAAATCCAATCAATCAACTTTTCTTTGCAGAGCACCTTTCCTACACAAGGCAACACAAAGGCATAAATTGTAGACATTAAAATCTACATAAACTGTAAAAATACAATTGGAATCCCAAAGGGCATTCAAAACACACCATGAGATCACAAGAAAATTAAAAAACTTTAAAAAAAATAATCACACAAGTTATTAATAACATGAAAACATTAAAATCACACATGGGATTAGAATGGATAGATACTCCAATGTTAGTCCGTCGTTTCGGCTGAAGCACTGAAGCACCCCACTCTGGTAGTCTTGAGAGGAGAAACAGTGCTGCACATTTAGACCTAGAGATTATGGTAACATGGTTTGGTGATCATCAAAACCTACTTTTTAATTGAATGACATTAATCCTCTGATGGTAACAGTGCGAGGGCCTGAAAAGTTCCGTGGGCTTCTGTGCCTTTCACAGTTTTCATATTTTGTAACAATTAGAACGTGTCCTTGTCTCCTGCGTGCACCATAAAGTTCCAAAGATTGACAAAAGAGCAGCACAAGAAATCCTAAACAAATGTATTATTCAGTTATGTACATGGTTTAAAAAGGGGATTGATGAGGGTTATATTATTGAAATCCCCTCACTCATTCAATCTTGATTTATCTTCTTTAAGAACAGTATCGTTTGTATACTGTATTTTACATAAGATTCAATTCAAACTTCGCCCATTCCTATGTAGACCATAACATTTCTCAGCGCCAAATGAAAACAGCTGGTATACAGTACGTTTGGATGTTGTGGAACTGGAGGAGATAACCAGTCTGTTTCTCTTTCAGTCGTGGCGCCAAAGGTTCATTCTGCAGTTAAAGTTCCTCTGAAGGCCAGTGCAGAGGACCAAGACATCTACGGGTGAGATGTGATCCTTGCCTCTCTCACACACCTCTCTCTTCCTGTTATTCCTTGGGAGGACATTTTCTGTAGTGTAGTCCCAGTAAACTCTGTGTGTGTATGTGTGGTCAGGCCCAACACGGTCATGGTGCGCTTCGTAAAAGGGGACAGTGTGGGTCTGCGGCTGGCCGGAGGGAACGACGTGGGCATCTTCATCGCTGGAGTACAAGAGGACAGTGCCGCGGAGCTGGAGGGTCTGCGCATGGGCGACCAGATCATGAAGGTCTGAGGGTCTCACTGCTCAAACTCATGCACCTTCACTGTCAGGGCTGAAAACAACAGGATAGTAGTCACCGCAGTGCAAGTTGGCCTCCATCCAGACTTCTAAACTCCTATTGGGATTTTATATGGGATTATGAGTGTGTATCACATATTTTCAGACAGAATAGATAAATGTGAAAACAGGTTTATCTGGGTTTTAGGTGAGCACTATTCATATTGGTGTGAATGCAACTGTTTCTAAAACTATTTGAAAATCATATATCGTTCTTGAAATACTTAATACAAGTAAAGCTGCTTGCTCTATTGAACTATTATGAGGCATTCAAACCATACACAAGGCAACTCAAGTGTATGTGTCACAGTAAATATCATGATAAAGTTAGACAAGTTTGGACTCATTTCACTGTAGAATCTATGTCTTGGAACAGATTTCATGGAAAATAGTTTATTTTGGTTTTGGAATTGTGAAAAAAAATATTCTTTAGTTCTTCAGGTTGTTTTGTGATCTGAAAATCACTTGTAGAGCTTAAAGAAATCCTAGATCCAGATAGTAATACGGTTCACCTACAAATGATATGTTCCTTGTGCTATTCAGGTTTACTGAAAATATCTGAGTTATCTTTCTAAAATTACCAAACAAACCCAGGTAAAAACGTAGCCTCCTTCACAAAGATAATGCATGTTTATAATATGGACCTCCCCACTGCAGGTGAACACCATGGACTTCAGAGGAATGGTGCGAGAAGATGCAGTCCTCTATCTGCTGGAGATCCCCAAAGGAGAAGAAGTGACTATTCTGGCCCAGAGCAAACCTGAAGGTACCAGTCGAGGCACTCAGCCTATTTTCCAGGCATGAACGATGAATTTACGATGTGAAACTACAAAACGACACACTCCGTGCACACAAAGTGTGATTTATCAATATTTTATTTGTTATAGAGTCAATAATTTGCTCACAGCTTGTAAAAACCCCAACTAAAACATTAGATTATACAATACTAGAATATTCTAAAAATTGACTGTAAGCATCAACATTATTACAAATACTTGGCATATGTCATTTTGCATGTAATAAGTTCATATTATAGAAAATTACAGAAATATTTGTTTTAATGATATTCCAATTTTAAGTTAATCTGAAAAGTGGAGAAACCATCACTAGACATGAAACACATGATTCACCTTCCCAATGCCCTTCATGAGCTCCATTTATCTTCATTACTAATGCTGACAGCAGAGGGCGCTGCATCACCTTTATGTAAGTGACTGCAAACAGTGGCGTTATGGCCATAGACGTTATGGCATGAAGTGCATCAGAATTAACTTATCTGATCATTCTACAATTTGAAACAAGAATGATTATATTTTTTATGAATTCAACCACTTTGGAGATTGGGTACATCATAGTAATCACTTCATCATCATTTTAATGATTATCATGAATAGTGATGATACAGATGTATTTTTGGGTTGCAAATACACACTTATCCAAGACAAGCATACATATTATGAAAGAAAAAACATGTTTTCAAAATTTAAATTGGTTTGCAATTTATTAACAAAGTTCAGTGAAAAGGTTTGAACTGTTCGATTCTCTGATCTGTTTGGCTGAATCAACATCTTTGAAACACTACTGTTGTCATTTATGGCTACACAAAAAATAATAATAATAATTGTATAAGTATTTATAAAATTGTATCTTCGTCCCGATGGTGAGTCCCCAGTGCAAAATCTGTTTATTCTCTTTTGCGGTTTTCCAGTGTACAGGGACATCCTGGACTCGGGCCGGGGCGACTCCTTCTTCATCAGGACACACTTTGAGTATGAAAAGGAGGCTCCTCAGAGTCTGCCCTTCTCCAGAGGAGAGATCTTCAAAGTGACCGACACCCTGTACGACGGAAAGCTGGGCCACTGGCTCGCCATCCGCACGGACAAGGACAACCAGCTGCTGGAGAAGGGCATCATCCCCAACAAGAGCAGGTCTGTGAGTGCACAAGCAAAGCAAGACCTTCCAGGGTTCTACTGTTGATGAAGTTGCACTAAAATGTCAAAAATTGTTTTTACTAGGATATGAAGAGAACACTATAAAAAACATATTTATGCATTTTATGAGTTTAGTTAACATCAATGCAACTATAAAACACATATAAGGAATTTCAGGATTTTTTTGGTGACTAGCTAACTGGCGTTTTATTTTTTTCAGGGCGGAGCAGATGTCCAATGTCCAGAACGCAGCTCGGGCCGCGTCGGGTAACGACCGAGGAGACTTCTGGAGGCTCCGGGGCCAACGCGCCGCAAAGAAAAAGGACTTACGCAAGAGTCGAGAGGACCTGAGCGCTACACCGGTCACTACGCGCTTCCCTGCCTACGAGAGAGTGGTGCTGCGAGAGGGTACGCCGCCACGGAAACCACCCACAACACTGATCAGATCCAACCTAATCTAATCTTTCTGAACAAAATTGCAGGAGGATGTATATTCTTCTTAAACTATTACTTATATGTGTGAATAATCACAGTTGAAAAGCATGTCAGGGGCCATATTTTGTTTAAAAATAATTTACTTACTAACTTGACCTGAGCGGAGTCTGCACGTTTGTTTGATTTCATGGTATATTTATTTCTACTGATTACAGCTGGATTCAGACGGCCTGTTGTTATATTTGGACCAATCGCTGATGCTGTGAACGAAAAACTGGCTACAGATTTACCCAATGAGTTTGTCATAGCAAGTAAGTCATTTTCTCCATCTTCTCACACAATGTATTATTCTGATACAAATATTTATCAAATATTAAATTCCAGAAACTGAGCCCAAAGATGCTGGCAGTGAAAAGTCTTCGGGTGTTGTGAGGCTAAACACTATTCGACTAATCATTGAACAGGTAAAACGTTTTTAGTCTGGTTTTTAATATTCTTTGACTTCTTTGTGAAACTCTGTGGTCCTTCAGGGAAATTATAATCTGGATAACTAATAGCCAAAAAGATCTCTGCTCACATGACTTATTCATCCTCAAAGGAGCGTTACCTGTTTCTGCAAGTTCTTTTTTTCAGTTTAAATGTTTTGCACCGCCCCCCAACTCACTCACAGGCTTCTAATTTCTCTCTCCTCCCACGGAGCCATCTAGTTTTATTTGCGATCTGATATGTATGCTAACGTTAGCATGAGCGCAACTTAAGCTGTACATCAATCACTGATGAAACGGTACAAAAGCAACGCACTGCTAACACTTTATATAACTGAAAGATTACTGCTAGTTTCGCGTCCGAATGTAGTCCGAGGCGGTCCGCGCCGCAGGTCTCTCCAGAGGATACGGTGTTAGCTAACGCTACCAACGTTCACTCGGGCTTGATTTCTTCTTTGATAATTTTTTTGCTTTAGTTCCCTCTTCTCTTCCTCACTCTTGTGTTGTTTAGGCTGTTTTGCTGTGTATACAGTTACAGCCATAGGAAGTATAACCACTTTCTGCTAACATGCTACTGTGTTTACCAGTGCTGCAGACGCTAGAGGAGGCGTGGCCTGTTTGTAACAGCGCCGCTACTCGTTCTGTGATTGGAGTGAATCAATGAGCTCAAGTTTTCAATAAATTACAGATTTTAATACAACTTGTATGTAGTAATATGCATTTTTATAAACTCTTTAGAAAATAAATCGGGTATAGTTCCTTAAAGCAAGAGCTCTGGTGTGTGCGGTCTTTTCTGTCTGGTGCACACTGGGGTAGACTTGAAGGGTTTGTTCTATGTGGTTTTACTGCCAATGGCAATGAAATGAATCTAAATCTGGGGTTCCCAACTTTGAAACCAAAATAATTATAAGAGTATAAGAATTAAAATAGTCTAGTCTCAATAGTTTTACTGAGTCCATTATAGAGGGAATTGCAATAATTTAAACGACAGGTTATAAATGCATGGATTAAAGTTTCAGTGTTGACAAAATAAAATCAATTTGACTTCACAACAGCGCTGATTTGGGCATCCAGTTATGGATCTACAACGAATATAGATAATACTGCTCATATATTTGTCCATGATATATCATATGTCCCATACAAAAGATTTTTGTATTGCTTTGTTTTTGATATTGTTTCTGTTTTTATACTTTTAACATGTTTGAAGTTCAGTTCAAATAATTACTATGAATGTGAAGTGAAGCAACTGGAGAAGGTTGTGTACTACAGATTTGTTTTCAAATGAAATTAATATCTTGAGTTTAATCTAAAATACATGATGTGGTTGTGTTTCTGAGAGAATAATCTTTTAAATAAAATATAACATGTCATGGTAACTAACTAAGTTGCCCCACTTGGACATTGGCTCCCATTCCTTTAAGTTGCACCATCTTTTGGATAAATCATGTTTTAATCAAAATTTTGTGACAGAAGCAAACAGAAATAGAAAACTGAATGGACGATGCTGATCAGAGGAATGGGTGTACAGGAGGTGTTTTTGCAAACGTCTGAGTTGTTCAAAATGATTATCAAACATTCTCTGTGGCCTCCAGGACCTCCATGCACTGCTGGATGTCACCCCTAAAGCTGTGGACACACTGAACTACACACAGTGGTACCCCATCGTGGTATTCCTGAACCCTGACAGTAAACAGGGCGTCAAGACCATGAGGAACCGCCTGGTGCCCGGGTCCAGCCGCAGTGCACGCAAGCTCCACGACCAGGCTGTGCGGCTGAGGAAGACCTGCTCACATCTCTTCACCGGTGAGTCACAGCTCAACGCAGCAGACCAGAGTGTGCCATACGGCCTACAGCCTCCTCCATCCAGCTCCACAAAAGATTTAGACTTCGCAAAAATATCACAATATTTCAAATTTTATGTTATAGCCAAACTTTGTGCACTTGAATGAATGAATGGATATTAGATTGGTTGCTGTTAGTTACCCATAAAACAATCCAAGACATTTCACCATAAAACATTATTGACTTGAAGGGGTAGCTCTCTGAGATCCTCAGACAAGGACATCATTAGCGCAGCCAACCTTATCTGCCTTAAAATCAAAGTGTTACGTCCAAATTGTAAGTGTGTGTGATTTGCTGCTTTTATCTCAGGATGGCGTTTGCTTTGTCAAAGAAAGTTTCTCACAAGCATCTTTGGAACTAGCATCATCATTAGTGATGATTATTTTGGCTCTAGAGTGCTTTTTTCTGTCTGTTCCTAACTAGGATCAATGTCCCCTTTATGTAAAGGATGTGAACAGTTTTATAGGTCACACTGATCCTGAGCTCTTTGTCTTCCAGCCACTATTGATCTGAACAGTGCTAATGACGCGTGGTACGGCAGCGTGAAAGACTCCATCAGAGAACAGCAGGAGAGAGCCGTGTGGGTCTGTGAGAGCAAGGTGAGCTTTAAAACAGTTCTGGACATATTTTGTAGATTATGGCAAAAACATTGGGAATGAGAATTTTGACATTTTGTTAAAGATTTAAGTGACAATATTTTACTTCAGACAGCCTCTGTGTACAGGCAGGCTCATGCAGGACCTATAATGCTTCCATATGTTGTGTGGAGTGATAAAAAGGCTCTCAATAGTATAGCACTGTCTGGCTCTGTGTTTATTAAAAAAGAAAGTAATTCACATAGCAAAATTAAATAATTACTTTCTGTCTTACTACTACCTATAATATATGAAATCATTTCAAACTTTTTGTTCTTCATTCAAGATATAGTCTCATACGAGCCCAGCATCTGTGGGGCTACGACTCATGGCTTGACTCATCACTGTCATTTAACAAGCAAATACAGCGAATCACAAACAAAATATCTTTTTCTTTTCCTAGAAAAAGGATCATCTCATTTGATTCTTCCAATTGTGTTTTGATAGATAGTCATTGTAATCAACAACTCCAGCTTCTGAATGTCACGTATAACTCACCACTTCTTGCTGTATGAGCAGCAATGATGGCTCACAGACTGATATCTATCTGAGCTTTCTGGACTATTTAAAACTTTATTTGATTTCTTTCCAATCTTGTTGTTTGGTGCAATTTGGAGGATCCCTTGAAAACAAGATGTATGATTTCTTGGAGCCAATAAATAAATATTACATAAATAATTAGACTGTACCTGTGTGCATGACGTCTGCAGCTGGACGGGTCAGAGGAGGACCTGGACCTCAACGATGACCGCTTGTCCTACCTGTCAGCCATGAGCGCAGACTACCTGAGCATGGACAGCCGCCTGACCAGTGACTACGAGGACACAGCCGACGAGGGCGGAGCCTACACCGACAACGAGCTGGATGAAGCGCAGGAGGAGGCCCAGCCCGTGTCTGCGATCGGCCGCTCCTCTGAGCCCGTGCTGCCAGATGACGTGAGTGACTCCTCTGCTTTAAGAGCAGTGTATCAGCTTTCGCATGTAAATGAACACGTTTGTGTTCATTTACATGCTCCAGGAAAGCCACTGGAGGCAATTTACAGTTGTGCTTGTGTACGCCCTCAGCCGGAGATAAAGTTGTTCTGGCCATATTTTGTAGATTATGGCGCAAACGTTGGGAATGGGAATTTTGACATTTTGTTAAAGATTTAAGTGACAATAAATTACTTCATACAGCCTCTATCAATGAGTCCTTGTCGTATCATTTATAATCTCATCAAACCATTCGGAATTCCTGCCTAGGGTTGTAAACTTTCAAGCACAGCTGTACTTGGAACACCTTCTTTTGCATTTTCATTATAGTGAAAAAATGTGTCCAGTTACATGGTTAAGAACGTTCAAACTAATTACATAATAGTCTTTACATGATCATGAGCATCTGTACCTTGTTCTTTCCCACCCCTGGTCCTCTGTGTGTAGCGCCCTGAGCCTCGTACCCGCCTCAGGAAGTCCGGCAGCAGAGAGGTGCTCCATCGAGAGCCCAGTCCCCCCCCTTCATTTGTCCCTGAGCCCCCCAAGGTGAGCCCCCAGCCTCCTCTCACCTTGTCTCGCACTCATGCTCTGCATATTACAGCTACAACATGGTTAAAGCATCAGCAGTTGTGTAGAGTGCTGCAAAGTCTCTGTTGGACAAAGTGCAGTTTCAGACTTGACGAGGACCAACTATATTTACACCCAGACTGACTCTGAAGTGAACTACGCAGTACTGACCAGCTACAAGGATTAAAACATGCACTAAACCAGTGCACCAGCTACTTATTCAACATCAAATTCAACGTATGTTTGGAGGGTGGTTGACTGGTGGAGCTAATGTTTCAGCTTGTAAATATTGTAATTTGTTCAATGTTTATGTTCTAGAATTTTTATATTTTAGTTTCTATGGGAAAGAAGAAATTATTGGGGCGGCACGGTGGCTGAGTGGATAGCACTCTCGCCTCTCAGCAAGAAGGTCCTGGGTTCGAATCCCGGTCGGACCAGGGCCTTTCTGAGTGGAGTTTGCATGTTCTCCCCGTGTCTGCGTAGGTTTCCTCTGGGTACTCCGGTTTTCCCTACCACTAAAAATATGCACAATAGGTCTGGCATGCGCCTCCTGTTCGGCGACCCCGCTTCCATCTCTGTGTGGAGTGAGAGGGCAAGTGCCCAAAAAAATGATAACAATTGTAAACCGCTTTGTGACCCTTGTCTGTGAAAGGCGGTATATAAATAAACATTACTTACTTACTTACTTATTGAAAGACGTGTGGATCTTGGAAAACTACTTGTGTGGACTTTCTGTCGATCCAGTGTATTATTCATAAGAAGCCGCCGTTTTGGTGGTCAACAAAAGATTAACGGAACTCGCCCATATTTGGGCATATGTCTGGTCATCCTGGTTCTGCACAGTGATGGAGCTCCCATGATTCTTTGCGGCAAATGCCTGTGTGTGTCTCTCATGCACGTGCACAGAGGGGCTCGGCCACGCTTTCAGAGCTGGAAATGGATCGATCAGTTTGTGGCACTAAAATGTGGATTTAAAGAAAACGGAAGCATTTAAGAAGAGAGAAAAAAAGTTCAGGATGACAAGGGACACTAAAAGCCGAACTTTGGTGATGTCACATGTGTGTCTCTCAAATGACGGGTCTGGTGTTCTTCTGCAGGTGCGCTCGCAAGGCCGCACAGACTCCTCACGGAGCTTTGACTCACACTCCAGCAGCACCATCAGCTCTGACACGGCTCACAGACCCCTGCCCCCTCCTGTGGCCCTCAAGCCCCCCTCCATCCGCCCACTGCAGCCCCCTCCAGAGCTCAGCCCGAGACCACAGGCCGAGGAGGAAGACCCAGACACCAAGACGTTCCGAGGAAAGGTGAGTGACTGAATCTAGCTGTGACAAGAGCAAATTCTGAAACAAGATAGGACTGTACTGCTCTAGTTGTTTTGCAAAATACTATCAAAATTGATTTCTGTGAAACACAAATCCAGCCATCTGCCGTCTTGAGAAGAAATGTTTCCAACTCTTTTGTGTTTTGTTTTAGCACTGCTTGGATGAAGAAATCAATAATCAAAATAGTTAGTGGTATGCAAAAGTGTGGGCAATTTTCAATTTCAGTTAAACATATCATATATGAGACAAACGAGAAGTTAAATAAAGTTTGTAAGTACAGTAGGTCTCATTTCGTTTTGTCGTCTTCACTCACGCTTTTCATGAATCACGCAGCTGCGTGAAACATATTACATCTTATCGCCACAAGGTGGCAGGTTAAGTCCGCTTTAGCTCTGCCAGCGACTTAAACGCTCAGTTTTAAGTCTGCGTGCAAACGTTATGAGCCTAGTGATACTATGTTGGCCGAATGGTTAGCATTGCAAGTTAGGATCCGGGGAATCTGGGTTTGATTCTTGTCTGAGGCAATTTTGGTTGCACACCTTTTGGTTGGTTTATCAGCTTGTTATCTTCTTTCCTTGTCAAAAGGATTTTTTGCTCACTTCGGGCCTATCAAAACGCGGTTTAAAGTCAAAGGATTGACTCTGTAAAACACTGTACTAACTTACTGCACTGTATTGTAAGTACTGTAACAATACAATTGTATTTTACTTTATTACTTATTTTTACTTCTTATTTTTTAATAAAAACACTTCTTCTCAAAAGTTCCTTTCTGACTTCTTCAGTATGGGATAGCCAGCAGCAAGTGCGTTATTGAACGTGAAACATTGGAACAAAACAAACACGAGTGTACACTGTATTCTGAATACTTTTACTTTGATTAGCAATATATAGGCTTTGTATAATTAAAACAATTTAAACTACACATGTTACATATAGCTACCATTAATTAGGAATTCTAAAATGCACAGGAGTAGCAGATCATATGGCAAACATTTGCATTAACTTGCATATAAGGCATTTTAAGCGTCCCGCACATACGCACTGCTCATTCACTCAGCGATCTCTCCTATTAGATCCTGGGTTTTCTCCAGCGCCTGTGTGGCGTAGCAGAGCAGGATTGTCCAAGACTTTCGCTTGGATGATCGGGGTTCGAGCCCCGGCCAATCCCCAGTTTTTATTAGCGGGGGGAGTATATGAATCAGATTACTCCGTTACTGAATAAAGTTGCATTTTTTTCCTGCAGTTTGGTTGGTGCAGATTGTGAAGTTTACAACAGTTTACTACAGTCTAGCAACTATTTTAAATGTGTTGGCCTAATTACTAAGTATTTTTAACACTGGAGAAAACGTGCTCGGTTTTTGCTTGCATGAGTGATAGGCTATTAAAAATGTCTTGTCCTAAATAAAGGACGCACAGGCTCCTTTCACTTTATGACAGATAGTAAAGAAATTGCAACTCGTGTTTTTTTCCCGGTCCCGTCCCAATCACGAGATCAGATGTTTTGCATATGTGAAGATGAACTGGATTTTCGACATTCCTGTGGACTCGAGCCCTGGTCAATCTAGTTCAATACAGTTCACAAACTAAGCAGACATTCATCAGCCAACTCCATTATATTTGTAAAACACGGAGAAAGAACGTTTTCCCCCCATCATAAATTTGTATTAGCAATATCGTGAGAATGTGTTTTATGTTTAAAAGTGTCGCTACTGAATGCTATTTCAAAGTAAGTGGTATAACTGGTATAACTTTCAAATTGTTAGAATACTCATTTTGAGTAATTGTATTCGGTAGAGTTACTGTACACTTCAAAAACTCCGCCGAGATCGGGAGCGGCATGAGGCTGCGTCAGCCCTCGCTACAACAGCAGCGTCTAAGAGCGCCTTTTGAGTAGCAATTTCTATCTGAAATCTATCTGTCCTAAAGACAGAAGAGCCTGTGCGCCAGCCGCGGCGGCAGGGATAGGCCTGGGTAGGCCGGTGCCTACCAGTTTTTTTCTTGGCCTACTCAAATTTGTTCTTCGCCTCTCAAGTCATTAGCCTTTTTTATTAAAAGTCATAATTTAAATATTGTTATTTTTATACACAAATTATTGCTAATGCCTAAATGTTGCGTTCTAATGTTTTAAGAAAATATAACCCCCTGAGCGTCATCACGTTCCTACGTTGCTTCAAATATAGTCCTGTTTATTGGCTGAACAATTTTGTCCAATATCATATCACACAGCGTGAAGCTCGTTCCCGAGAACAACCAGCTATTCCTCGTCTTAAAGATTGACAACGCTCTCAAAACAGAGCAGCCTTTTTCATTTTAGTTTTAAGAAAGTTCAGCGTGAACTTTGTGAGGTAGAGTAGCCAGAGGCCCGGGCCCGTAGGTCCCAGAGGAGGAGAGCGCGGTCAGGCCAGGCTCGCCTCGCACTGATGAGGTAAACTCTAGGCCTGTGTGAGACACACTGTGGGCCTCATGTATGAAACTTGCGTACGGCCAAATCAGGGTAAATGAGGCGTACGCAAAATATTGCACTTTTCCGCATTTATCTATCTGGACGTGAGCGTACAATACGCAAAAAATATACGCCAGGTCTGGAGGTGGTGTAAATCTATATTTTCCGACAATGTTCCTAACCCTGCAAAGATAAAAAGCCAGTACAAAAGTGGAATAATTTTATCTTCATAACTTGGTGCTGATTGTGGAGTTGTATCAAAAGTCTTTAACTTGTACTCGAACCCAGGTCCTCCTGCGCCAAAGACTTGAGCTTTATGACTGGGTGTCATAAAGCTCAAGGTGGCACTGCTCACAAGTGCCACCTGGTGGTTATTTGGGTCATTGCAGCATCACTGGGGGAAAAATAAATAAAAGACGCGCGTTTCACACGTGAGTCTCGTGCTATTCACGCATGAAAGGCGACAAAACAAAATGGGACCTACTGTATTTATCTTTTATAGAAAGTGTGCAAGATTTGCTTAAGCCAAATTAAGCGTGTAGATGCACCCTTTAAATGTGGACTGATTTCAACAACAGTGGCTCAGTTGGTAGAGCATTGGTTTCTGAACCTAATGGTTGTGGGTTCGATCCCCCCACGACCCATGTCATCTGCTGTCGTTGTGTCCCTGGGCAAGACACATTGCCCAAAGCCCAAGGCTGTATCTTTGTTGAAGCCATCTTCCCGTGGACCCACCACCTGCAGGAGGATCAGCGAGGGGCCAGTACCATGTGATTTGGGTGGCAGCTCGGATTGCCAACCCCCCAACCCAAAAATGGAATTACAAAGGGGATGAAAATGACATGACATGATTTCAACGCCTCTAATCATTTGAACTCAAAATTGTAACCTCAGTGACCCTTGACCCCCATACACAGGTGAATCCAAACAAGAAAATGGATGTTGGTAAATTCTTCTTTCCCCTCTTTGAAACTTATCTGAAGAATGGCAACATGGGAGCCTCAAAACAATTCTTAAATGAGCTGAAAACAAAATGGAAAATTATGAAAATTGTGTGCCCAAACTTTTGCATACCACTGTAAGTATTAATTTGTTATAATAAAAAATAAAGTAATGCCAAGCAGGGTTACAGTGGGAAAAAATGATCAAACAAAGAGTGTGGTCATTGCATCTTCCCCAACACTTGAATGCTAATGCTAACTTGTGCTTTGTTCACCTTGTTTTCTCTGCTTCTCACAAACAGAAGTCTTGTAATGAGGTAAAGACGTGCTCTGATCCGTGTTATTGTGCTGCACCGTGTGGATGCTGTTCTTTCATACTCTCATACACGGCTCATACATGTAGTGGCGATGTTGTTTGGACCCGTGTCTACATCATGTTTCCTTACCATTGTCCTCACATGTTTTCATCCTGATATGACTCCTGGGGCCCGCTGCTAAAGGCCAGTTTGGTTTAGGTCTGGGGGGGATAGCATCTCGGCTCTGGACCAGGGTTTGCTTTGGTGTAGACCACAGAACCAGAGTTAAACCCATAACCCAGAGCTGTGAACCCATAAATCAGAGCTGTGATTTATGCAGAGTACAGAGGTTGAGGTGAAATATAGTTTCCCAACGCTCCAGGAATTGACTACCAAATTGCCAATACTATACAATAATCTCACTCCTCTCTACAAAAAATGACGAAACGTGAAAGCATCATTATTGTGTTGCTACCCGGTGCTTATCCTTCCACTCAAAGCCGTCTGCAGCTGCTTCATGGGAGTCCACGAAGAACGTTTGTATTCATCTTTCAGCTACACATGAACCTGGACTCACTCAGAATAGTTTTGGATTCAGTGACTCGGAAGTGGCTCCATAGCTCAATAAGTTCTTCCCTATTTGTTTGTCCTTTGGCAGATCCAGGCCTTTGAGAAGATGGACCATTTGGCTCGAGCGCAGAGGTTGCTGGAGCTGCAGGAGGCGGAGAATGCACGGGTGAGCCTGCTGCACACACATGTAACTCTCACGCACACCCATCACAATCCAAATCCTAAACTTACACACACTCACCTGCACACGCACGGACACTCGCACACAGATGCCCACACAGTCCTGATCTCTGCTTCTCTGTTTTCAGCTTGAAATCGCTCAGAAGCACCCAGACATCTACGCCGTCCCAGTGAAGCCCAACCACAACAGGCCGCAGCCCATTGGGTCAGTCCTTAAATAAGGCACGGCTCTCTGCTTTTCTTATGTTCTTATAATCCATCACTATGTACCCACCCTTTATTTTGATGTATCTTATGTAGAACATAAAGGGGAATATCACATTTAGAACCCCTCATTAGGGTCTGGTGGATTTTTATTTATGTGCATAACTGTTAAAGCAAATTTTGGAATTGTGGAAACACATTTAGCAACCTGTTCAGAGGACAGAGGAGCTGAACAAAGTAACAGATGTCTGCTCCCAATCATAAGACCATCCATAAGCTCAAAGCTCTGCTGCAGAACACAGCTTTAGCTACAAACTGATAACAACATTATTGACCACCCAACAATTTGTCCTGTAACGCATACTAGCATGTTGCATTTGATTCTTTTTCCAACTTCATTGCAGAACTTTGGTTTAAAAGCATTTTACCACCAAACCAAAGGAAAAAAACTCTTAAATGGTGCAAAAAAGAATGCATAGGTTTTATACAGAGCTTTTCAGGACACTCAAAGACTCTTCACATGTAATTTATCTTTTACTACATACACGGTGGTGATGAACTACTACTGTACCCACAGCTGCCCTGGGGCACACTGACCAAAGTGAGGCAACCAGTATGTGCCATCGGCCCCTCCGACCACCACCAAAACCACCAAAACCATTCACACACACCAGATTCATTCCTGGGTGAAGTGTCTTGCCAAAGGACACAACGATAGTTTGGCACTTTACAGCTGCAGCGGCCCCACTGTGGCATCAGGTGTTCCCAGAGGCCTCCCATCACAGTACTAACCAAGGTCTGCCTTGCTTAGCTGCAGAGGTTTGATGGGATCTGCAGGTATGGCCACAAAAAAAAAAAAAGTCCAGTAGAGCACATGTGTCAAAGTCAAGGCCCGCGAATGAATTATCTATGGCCCCCGGGATGATATTTGCCATTGACACATTAATACGCTATTTTCATGTTCTCTGGTGTTTATTATATCTAATATTTATGGGGATTAGCTCTAGACCATATTTTATCGAGACAGAAGGTGGCACCAGGGCTGCCTCTGGATGTTAATAAACATTGAACTAGTCCGGCCCTCGGCTCGGAGCAAATTTGTTTTTTTGGACCTCTGATGTAAATATCCTTTACTACAGGCATGTCAAAGTGAAATACAAGTATTTGTCTGGCAACTCCAAATCAAACTTTTGCATTGCACCTTCTGCTGGGTAGAATGTGTAACAACAGCCTGGGAGCAACTGCCGCTTTGACATGCAGACGGGATCAGGGATGAAGAGGCATTTGTTTGTTTGCTTCCAAACATAATACTTCTTAACATACAACAAAGTCTTCTTTAGCGTCAAGCAGACCTGGGCTCTGTTCGTACACTTGTGACTTTACATTCCTCACCACAGAACAAAAAAGGAGGCTGAGGTTACAGGAAATTAAGTTGAACGATAAGTCATACTTCATAAGAAACCACTAACAAAAAGACAGGAAGCAGAAGGGAGAAATATTCCGAGGAAAAAAAGTTGAACTTTTTGGCCGCCATCATTGTTATGGTTTGAGAAAAGAGTGTGCAGAAAACCATCTGACTCAAGGGTTTGGCTTTAGGGTACACGGGCAGCGTATTGCCGCAGTGCACTTCTGTCTGTATCTGTTTGTGTAATGTATGCATGTTATGTGTTTGTGTAATGTATGCATGTTATGTGTTTGTGTAATGTATGCATGTTATGTGTTTGTGTAATGTATGCATGTTATGTGTTTGTGTAATGTATGCATGTTATGTGTTTGTAACAGGTCGAGCTCCAACCCAGAGCCCCAGGCCTCCCCCAGACACTCAGATGTTGACGAGGCCGAATACCGCCGACAGCTCCTCCAGCAGGACAAGAGAGGCTACTACAACACGGGGAAGTACAAGGACACAGAGCTCTAGTACAGCACAAGGACTGCCAAATACTCACACGCCGGGACATTCCATCGCCACCCCAAGTGCCTCTGCTTCAGACTCCACACCGCTTTTCTACGGGACACTGTCACAAGTGGATGGATCATGGAAATGTTCTACTGTAGGCAAAAGAAAAATACCAGATGTTGTTTTGTAAATGGAAACTAAGACTGCTGAACACTTTTCAGGACTTAAAGCAGTGTTTTTAAAAGACACATATGATGAACTCTTTTTACTATCTTCTCTAATTATAAAAGACCTGGGACTTTATTTAGCTCAATTCATGTTGATCTCAAGAACTTCAAATGCTCTTATTTAAAACTTGTTACTCTATAATCAATCTTTACACTATTATTTTATATGCTTTCTGCTTTACAAAACAAAAATATTTCCTCCAAATGACCTTTTTGAAAACTGCGTGTCTTCAGTTAGGTCCCTCACCTTGGATAGATATAAAAGCAAGGTGTAATATCACACTTTTGCCACCAGATGACACTGTCGAAACAAATTGGTCACTCAATTTTTCTAAATCAAAAGATTTCACAATCTATAACTTGTTCACTGAGATTGTTTCAGGTCCCAAATTAACAAAAGGCTGAATATGTGTTTTTTAAATGCACTGTAACAATTTTTACATTAAAAAGAATAAACCATAACAATGAGGTTTAGATTGTTCGTACTTGGTCTGGTTCACTTTAACTGGACCACGTCTGCTTTACTTGTGACAAACATGCTTCCAGTGGCTCATCCCTTTTTCACTTGGGTTCATCTAAATGTTGTTTTTACCTGGATTTTTGTACAATTTGCTCTTAAACTCTACTTTTACATCGGAAACAAGGACGTGACTTCAATTGGCTAAGTTACAAGTTTGCAAAGGTGAATATTCTCATCTAAAAAAACTTTTTTCCAGTAGGAATCTATCGCTTTCTTAAAACTTTTGACACTTTAAACTGTTTTGCCTTATTATATTTACTGGTTTATGTCTTTTCCCTTGTGGATCAATAACGTTTGTTCCAAGACCAAGCATCAGACCACTTCACTGCCACAACCAAGATAGAACATGCTCCTGTTTGTGACTTGTGGACCCGTGATCTGATGTTTGGAGGTTTTCTATCCACAAAGCATTATTGCCCCAAGTGAAGCAGAATTAGACCAGCTAAAGTGAATGTGTCCTAAGACAGCAGAGCTCAGGCCTGCTGTCCCTCTGCTCGGTGATCTCGCACAGTGAGTGTCCAGACCGTTTCCTACAAAATTCTTTTGTACGGCCTTCAGCTCAAAGCGCGTGACAGAGATATTGTGTCTTAGGGGAGACCAAATGTTTGTACTACAAACTATTCAAATACATTTTTCCTGTCGAATAATTATGTTATATTGTAGGTTTTATTTTGAGAGCACAATCTGCATTGGAAAATAATGTGTAAAAACTAGAATCATATTTTGAAAATGTAACGACAAAATGCATCTCGAGTTTCCTCCTGTTGTACTCACTTTAAAGGCCAATTGTGTTTTATATGATGTAAACCTGTGTAATTGGTTGAATCATGAGACAATCACATTTTATTCAAAGTGGAAAACACTGACTTCAATTAAATCCATGTTTTTTTTTTACCTTGTTTGTTTGAGGCCTGACCTGTGTGAGTGACTTGAGTATCAACAGAACCAGTGAAAATGGTTAAGCCAATGGATCACTTGCAGAAAGAGCATATTTGGTAACACTTGATTGTAATGTTCATTTTTTAATTTCTAACCAGCTGCCATTTACAGTGGCAGAATCCGGAATCTCATTTTTTATGTAGCTTCCAGTCCCATAATGATCGGATTTTAGCAAATCATTATTCAGCATCATGTGTTGCCAGGGTCCAAAACCGGCCTTTGGGCCTTCAGAAGAAACAGCTGACCTATGGTAGCAGTCAATGAAAACGAACCTGAGGCATCAATCGGCGTCAAGTTTCCTTTACAGCACGGCTGTCAAAGTCAAATACATCATAGGCTTAAGGAAAACCAAATTTGCTTCAAGACGAAATTATTGCATATAAACTATTGAACCAAGACCCAGCAGTATACAGTGTTTTTTTTTTTTTTTTAATGATGAAATATTTTTGTATGGCTCGGTCAGTCACTTCAATTAAAATCATTTGTCAACAGGCTCACAGGCAAAAGCAAACGTCCTTAAAACGGAAAACACGTCTTGAACTTAAAATGAATATTTTCTTATGGTTCTGTGCAAATATCATCCCGAGGGCCAAGATAACTTCGCTGGCCGGATCTGGCCCCCGGGCCTTGACTTTGACACCCATGCTTTAGTCTATGGGCCCAGCTCTTAGGCCTACAGCTTCAGAACGTCCACATATTTTGATTGGGTACGCAATAAAGATAGACATGTTAATGTCATCGTTTTTTCAACCCTCTTACTCTGTCATGTGACATGAAGCTTTTAACACTAAGGTTGTTTTATCTTTTAATCCTCCTGTTTCCACTCTACACAGTTCCAAATGTGAAAACTCATGAAAAACACACAGAATATTCCGACCAGTCGACTGGTTTCTCTCATTTATTCACGTTTCCTGTTGAAGTATTGTACATGCACACTCGCTCACGGCAGCTTCATACACTTGTGATAGGTCCAAGGTCAGTACATTCAGAAACGCACAAAGACAAGAGGGTCCCCAGAACACAGGGGTCCCTCAGACATTGCGGCAGGAGTTTGATATAACTAAGTTTCAGTTCTTTCCCAGTGGCTTTGGTCAGACAGTAGTGAATATAGGGCTGCACAGTTCATCGCAGGCGAAGAGAAACTGCGATTTGACCAGAAGTAATTCAGCGATGGGCACAAGTACTCACAATAATTTGCATATGTTTTGACATCAATTAAAACTGGGGTACCAAAGATTTATTCACAAACAACCCAAAATATTTTGATGGTTTATCCTGACCAGCCCTGGGTCAAATTAATTTGGGGTCTACTTTAAATGTGTAGCACAAGTGTTCAAAGTTATGTGCTGTTTCCATGAGGACGCTGCGACAGTAAAACGTGAGTAGGGTATGAGATTGGCCTTCGGTTTACATGGAAACAGTGTTTCAAGGGGGTAAAAACTAAAGCGTTGAGAAGCAGCCACCAGAGTGGAAGAGAACAGATAGGTGGCGGAGGGCTCTTTTACAGCCACATGAGGAAAAAGCAGGCAGAATTCTGTCTGCTCTTCCCTGCACGTACATTTGGACAAGCGCCGCAGCTGAGAAAAAACAACTGGTGGATTAACTAATGCTACATGTGCGTCGAGCGCTACATGGCGATGAGTTTTACTCCTACGTTCACAGCTGCTGTTAAATGCAGAATGATGTTGGTGCATCATTTCACGTCTTTGCGTTGGCCTGAGGAGGATGTTGTTGAAATGGTACTTCTGGGGGTGGCACATGTGTTGTCCACTGCCCACTACTGGCCGGGCGCTTAAACTACATCTTTTTCCATTGTCGCAGAGACACTGTGCAGTTCAAATATGGAGGCTGGTCGTTTTTGCTGATTGCTTTGCAGCATCTCCGTCTAAACGGGGACTTAGATACCTCAGCTTTAATGTGTGCAATTTGTGTTGAAAGTACACATTTCCAATGGTTGTCTTTTTCTCTGGGAATTCAGCATTTCCCCTCTGTATATCAAGTGAGAAATAGTTTAACTTTACTTTTGGTAAACCTTTTTTAAATGCTGTCACATTTTGCTTGTATCAAGAGGAACTGGCTGACTATCGCCCTGTGCTAACAAGACAATGTATTTAAATATTAATTGAGAAATCATAATTAAGATGTTGCCAAAATCGTGTAGTTCTTGTCTGTCTAGACTTTTCCCTTGACCGTTCGAAGCGTGACACAGCCCCAGACTTGTGGAGGACGGTTCCTGGCGTGTGATCCTGGTCAGTGCTCAGATGTAGACGGGCTGCTCCTGCGCTGTCAGCAGCCGGTACATGGCAGCGGGCATAGTCTTCATGTGTATCTGTGGAGACATGTGTGGGTCAGAGCAGAACAGTTCTGCCCCCTAGTGACACAGGGACATCACTGTAGTTCAGGCTGGGTTCAGGTTAAGGTTAAAGTTCACCAAATCTAGGTCGAGCAAAAGCACTAATGATCGATAAAATTTAATACATTAGTTAATCCAATTTATTTCAATCATAACAAGTTTTTAATTATAGTGTGTCCTTCCACTGCTTTGCAGACGACACACAGATATACCTCCTCCTGAGTCCCCGAATGTCCGGCTGCTGTGGTAGAATGCTTTAATGACGTGAATAACTACAGCTCAACACCTAAATCTAAAGTCCTCCTCATCAAGCCGCCCCAATCAGACTCCCACATCCAAACACACATTGCTTCCTCCGCTCACAACCTCAATGTAATCTTTGACTCTCATCTCACATTCAATTAAACCACCCAATTCTGTTTCTTTCACATCCGCACCAACTCCAACATTCTCACTCCTCCTGATCTCCACAAAGTTGTCAAAATTGTCTCATCTTCTCCCGCCTCATTTAGTGTAACTAAACTTGGTTTCCAAATCCCTCTCCGCCTGGTCCAGAATGCAGCAGCACATTTTTATTTCTTTATGCTGTGAAGGGCTTTGTAAATACTGTCTTTAAAAAATTGCTAAACAAATAAACATTTATTATCAATATTATTATCATCAAAGACTGCATCTGGACCAGAAAATATGAGGCCTCACCTCACCTCACCTTCTGGTCCAGATCCAGTCTAGTCCTGGTCTAGTCTTGGTCTTGTTCCGGTCTAGTCCCGGTCAGTGGCCTCACCTCTCCCATAGCGCTGGACAGGATCTGAACGATCTTCTCATGGGGCGTGGCTACTACGCTCTGACTGTTGATCTCGATGATGCGGTGTCCCACACGCACCCCGCCCCGCTCAGCAATGCCCCCCCGCATCAGGCTGCAGATCTGCCACAAAACATCCACCAATCATCAGCTTCATCAAAAGTGACTTCTGCTGGTTGTGTAATTCGGCAGGATTCAGACTTTTTCACAAACAAACCAAAGGGTTTGTTTGGACAGATGGATAATGTACAGAAATCAGAATTATGATACATTTTTTGTGAAATTTGAAACACTAAGTATAACTGCATGAGTCACTCCTAAAAACAAGCTTTTCAGTGTGTGAATGATAAGGGAAAACAAATTGAAATTCACTTCCGGAGCATCCCCCAATCCCAGAGCAGCCCCGTCACACAAATCTCCATCATGTTTAAGGAGTAGAACAAAGTAGGAGGTCAATGTCTTTGAGCAGCAGCAGGACTCACAATGCCGTTCTGCACACTGAAGCCCAGCTGGTAGCGCAGGTCCGGTCTGCGGATCAGCACCATGGTAACCGGAGGACAGCGTACGATGTTCATCTTGATCCGACACAGGGACTTCAGACCCTGCAACAAGAGGCCCGCATTAGGAGCTCGATGATTCAGTTCAATTTATTCCTGTATTTCTCTAAATCACATCTGCAGTTATAAGAAATGCAATGATAAAAACACAGAGCCATTGGTCCTTGAGGGATAATGGACATTTATCAAGTGTTGATAAATCTCTATAAATGTTGTTGAATATCGAGTGTCCTGGATCATCACCAGTCCTTTGACCCTCCTGCAGCGGTAAGGAAAAACTAATAACAATTAGAGGAGTTATAGGAGAGCTGGAGGAGAAGAGAGAGAAAGAGTTGGAGGAAAGCTAGAAGAGAAGAGAGCAGGAGGAGAGCTACATGTCCATGTGTTTGCATCTGTGTGTGTTCATGGTGTGTGTATTCATGGTGTGTGTGTATTCATGTTGTGTGTATTCATGGTGTGTGTTTGCTACCTTGATGATGCTCTGGCACGTACTGAGGGGCAGGCCCACCAGACTAGTCCCATTCACTGTCATGATCTGGTCTCCGATGTTGAGGCGTCCGGACCTCTCCGCGGGCCCCGAGTGCATGAGGCTGGCGATGATGACTGTGGGGAGGATGGACCCCCAGCCCGACTCCACAATCACCACGCCCAGGATGTCCCCCTTCTGCTTCTCAATGTACACCTGCACACAACCAGAGGTCTGAAAGTCCTTTCCGCTGAAACTTTATTACTTTTAGACACCTTTACATGAAAATAATCACCAGTGGACAAATGTGCTGACAAATAAGATGTGGAAGTTTGTTTTGACACTTCCCAGAGCTACCAGGAAATATTTTCAGCTGCCCTCCACTTTAATGTGAAACCCACTCTGCATAAATGCCAGTACTTACGTCTCTGCAGTTCTCGGACTTGGAGAAGTGGATGAGGTCATCGTTGTACATGTCCTGAGTGCTGAGGAGGTCACTGTACTCGCGCTGGCTCAGGTCCTCAGGGTCGATGCCGTTCGCCCGCAGGAACTCCTGGTAGGCCACGCTGAAGGACTGGCCGATGGACTGAGCGATGAGCTGAGCCTGCGGAACCATGGGAACACGTGTCTGCTTGGGTTTAAAGACCCTCAAAGAAGACATGCCGTTGAGACCTAAAGTTCCCACACACCTTTACAACAATAGTTTCATTCTGTTGTTTTCCCAATTGTGATATTTAATCAAAAGTAAACTTTCCCTGCTAGGTTATGGTTATGTGCTTGTTATTCATTATATCACAACAGGTCTACAGAAACAACTCAATATTTGGTTGAATTACAACATTGTTTATAGTGACAAAACTTCTCTTGACAGAACAGATGTGAAATGCAAATAGAAAGTCACAGTCCCAGGCCGACACAGGATCGAACCCATAACTTGAGCGCATCCCTCGTTTGCACAGAAATGTGTGTCCATCAAAATAACTGGTCCACTAATACAACTTTAGACTTTCCAGATTTCACTGTCTAAACTAAAGGGCCACTCACATCTTCTGACTCAAATACATGGCAGATCATCTTGTAGACCCGGTTCTGATCCGGGCTGTGGCTCCGTTCCTCGCCAGGGTCCTGGGCTGATCTCGAGCGCACCATCTTTCCCCGCGCCATCAACACCACCATGTTCCCGATGTCGGCGATGTACGAGATGGTCCGGAGAGGCAGGTCCATCAAGCTCTCCTGCAGACGCACAACCAGACGCTGACACACACAGACATGTGGACTTTGGATGACATGTTGATTTTGTCTACCGGTGTATTTAAATCACCTATGCTCATCACTCTTCCTAACATCCCCTACCACCACACGGAACGTGTACAGGGTCGCAGAACTGTTTTCAGATGTGTGTCAACTGTGGGGCCACACTGAACCGCAAGCGGCTCGTCCACCCAAAATACACTGAAGCTTATTTTCACCGCAGTATAGTTTGGAAAGATGATGCTGGTAAGTTGTGGTAACGTTACTTTTCTCTGTAACTGTTTGCGGCTGTCTGCATTATTAGGATTTTGACTAGTCTGTTTATTGTTGTCCCATTGTCTGTTTCATGGCGGAGCGATGGGAGCCCTGAACCTGACCCCCTCCATCTACACCTGCGGACTGCCCTGCCCGGGGGCTGCAACCCCCCCACTTGGGAGCTGCTTCAATCCTGCACCGCAACAGTTCTGCGCCGTGGTCTTGGTCCTCGTTCTGTAGCCTAGATCCTGCATCTATAGCCCGTCCGTCTTTCTTATTTTTCACCAAAGGGTTTTTGAGTTTTTCCTTGCCGATGCAGGAGGGTCTGTTGGACAGCTGAAGGACTGTGGTGATGATAGAGGACACTCTAACATTCTACAACATGTATGGACATTTATCAACTTTGGTTAACTTTCTAAGGACCAATACATACAGTGCCTTGCGAAAGTATTCGGCCCCCTTGAACCTTTCAACATTTTGCCACATTTCAGGCTTCAAACAAAGATATAAAATTAAATTTTTTTGTCATGAATCAACCACAAGTGGGACACAATCATGAAGTGGAACAAAATTTATTGGATAATTTAAACTTTTTTAACAAATAAAAAACTGAAAAGTGGGGCGTGCAATATTATTCGGCCCCTTTACTTTCAGTGCAGCAAACTCACTCCAGAAGTTCAGTGAGGATCTTTGAATGATCCAATGTTGTCCTAAACGACTGATGATGATAAATAGAATGCACCTGTGTGTAATCAAGTCTCCGTATAAATGCAACTGCTCTTTGATAGTCTCAGGGTTCTGTTTAAAGCACAGAGAGAACCATGAAGACAAAGGAACACACCAGGCAGGTCCGAGATACTGTTGTGGAGAAGTTTAAAGCCGGATTTGGATACAAAAAGATTTCCCAAGCTTTAAACATCTCAAGGAGCACTGTGCAAGCAATTATATTGAAATGGAAGGAGTATCAGACCACTGCAAATCTACCAAGACCCGGCCGTCCCTCCAAACTTTCATCTCAAACAAGGAGAAGACTGATCAGAGATGCAGCCAAGAGGCCCATGATCACTCTGGATGAACTGCAGATAACTACAGCTGAGGTGGGAGAGTCTGTCCATAGGACAACAATCAATCTTGCACTGCACAAATCTGGCCTTTATGGAAGAGTGGCAAGAAGAAAGCCATTTCTCAAAGATATCCATAAAAAGTCTTGTTTAAAGTTTGCCACAAGCCACCTGGGAGACACACCAAACATGTGGAAGAAGGTGCTCTGGTCAGATGAAACCAAAATTGAACTTTTTGGCCACAATGCAAAACGATATGTTTGGCGTAAAAGCAACACAGCTCATCACCCTGAACACACCATCCCCACTGTCAAACATGGTGTGGCAGCATCATGGTTTGGGCCTGCTTTTCTTCAGCAGGGACAGGGAAGATGGCTAAAATTGATGGGAAGATGGATGGAGCCAAATACAGGACCATTCTGGAAGAAAACCTGTTGGAGTCTGCAAAAGACCTGAGACTGGGACGGAGATTTATCTTCCAACAGGACAATGATCCAAAACATAAAGCCAAATCTACAATGGAATGGTTCACAAATAGACGTATCCAGGTGTTAGAATGGCCAAGTCAAAGTCCAGACATGAATCCAATCGAGAAACTGTGGAAAGAGCTGAAGACTGCTGTTCACAAATGCTCTCCATCCAACCTCACTGAGCTCGAGCTGTTTTGCAAGGAAGAATGGGCAAGAATTCCAGTCTCTCGATGTGCAAAACTGATAGACATACCCCAAGCGACTTGCAGCTGTAATTGTAGCAAAAGGTAGCGCTACAAAGTATTAGCGCAAGGGGCCGAATAATATTGCACGCCCCACTTTTCAGTTTTTTATTTGTTAAAAAAGTTTGAATTATCCAATACATTTCATTCCACTTCACAATTGTGTCCCACTTGTTGTTGATTCTTGACAAAAAATATGTTTTATATCTTAATGTTTGAAGCCTGAAATGTGGCGAAATGTTGAAAGGTTCAAGGGGGCCGAATACTTTCGCAAATGTGTTTGAAGTGTTTGATTCTCTGATGCGTGTTGGTGATCAACAGTTTTGTTAAGTCATGAGATGACTACTGATTTAGGGCTGTATAAGAATAAATTGAATTGAATCAAATATTGAGAAACATTGTCAAGATTGAATTCATGTTGTCTTCACCTATTATTCAACTTCAACTCTTTTGATAAATATTCTTGAAATATGTAAACATTTCAGAATGTGAAATAAAATTAAAGGAGCTATACCTGTTTCTGCAAGGTTTGAATGTTTAGCACCGCCCTTCAACTCGCTCACTGGTCTCTCATTTCCCCTACGCTCTCATCCCACGGAGCCACCTATTTTTATTTGCGATCTGATACATATGCTAACGTTAGCATGAGCGCAACTTAAGTTGTACAACAATCACTGATGAAATGGTACAAAAGCAATGCACTGCTAACAAAATATATAACTGAAAGATTAGCGCTAGTTTCGTGTCTGAATGTTGTCCAAGGCGGTCCCGCACCCAAGTCTCTCCAGAGGATACGATGTAAACTAGCTATGCTCACCCGGGCTTGATTTCCCTCTTCTCTTCCTCACTGTTGCATCGTTTGGGCTGTTTTACTGTGCTGCAGTTACAGCAAGAGGAGTTATAGCTACTTTCTGCTAACATGCTACTGTGTTTACCAGCACTGTAGAGGCAAGAGGCCGCCTCCTTGTTCTGTGATTGGAGGAGAGCTGGCGTCACGCCAAGTCTCTACTCAGCACTTTTATTAGGCCTGAATTCATACACAAGCTGAATCAATGAGCTCAAGTTTTCAATTAAATTACGGATTTTAATACAACTTGTATGTAGTAATAAGCATTTTTATGAACTCAATAAAATAAAAATCGGGTATAGCTTCTTTAATGGCTTTAGATATTTTCTGACCAATAATAGATTCCAGATCTCACTGACCTGAGTGTCTGCGTTCAGCACCTTGATCCTCTGAATGGACATGAACAGGTCCACCTCCACTGTGGACAGAGCCTCACCATCCGAACCCTGGACACACCCATTACACACATATTTTACACAAGCGCACACAAGCGCGCACACGCACAGAAACGCACACACACACATCACGGAGCTGTGGTGTGATTTGGGGCGTACCTTCTTTCTGTTCTTGGCTTGTTTCTGTGCAGCCTGTAGACAGAAAAAGAAGACATTATCATTATTGTCAAAATATTGAATAGAGGTTTCCTGATTATAATTGTCATGTGATTTATCCTTCCATCCATTCTCTTCCTCTTTGTCCATTTATGGGTCGGTCAGAGCTGCACCCAGTACACAGAGCAGCAGCCCCTCACTGATCCTCCTGCAGGTGGTGAGTCCACAGGAGGATGCCTTGATCTTTCAGCAGGTGGCTTCAGGCAAAGTGGGGTAAAGGGTCTTGCCCAAGGACACAATAACAGCAGACATCCCTGGGAGTCAGTGGAGAAGGTCTTGTGGTGGAATCGAACCCACAACCTGTCGCCCGTCATTGCAAAGTGATTTATGCCACCTATTTTCTGTTCAGCAGATAAACTATTTATTTATATTTTTTATGTAAAGTTATCCTGATTGTCCAATGTATGTAAAGAGCCAAACTCTTCATTGAGCATCTAAATGTAAGTAGATTGCAACTCAAGTAACTAATGGGTAACTATTTTGAACAGCAAATCATAAATAAAAATCATGAATAAGCAGTAAATTATATTATAAAGTTGTGTTTATGACCTGAATGACTGCTGTAGACTTCAGATCTATAAACAGATCTGAATCCTGGGTCTAGTTTGACCAAGGGAGTTGATGTCTGGCTGTGTGTGGCCGTGTCGTACCCGCACTCGGTTCATGGCCTCCTGCGCCTGCTGCATGCGCGCGCTCTTGGACGGCGTGCGCTCCGACAGTAGGTGGGTGCAGCCCAGGTAGGTGGCAGCAAAGATGATACCGTCGATCAGGTCGTCTGGGTCACAGGGCCCTGGCACTGACACAGCAGCGTCAACATGGTGGACAAGCACTTTCACAGAGAAACTCTAACGATAAAACAAGTGTGCTTATGTTGGCAAAGCTGGGGTACCTATCTCCCTTGTTTCAAAAAGAACACATGTTGTTCGTCAACAATAGCCCAACAGAAGGAGTCCTGTAAAAGGAACATGCTGTCTTCATCATGTAAGAGAGCCCTGTGAGTCTCTTTTTGACACTTTGTCCTGAGAGCTGATTTTACTTTTCTGTCTGATCTCCGAATGAGACCAAACTAGTGATTGATCCAAACTAGGTCACTAATTTTTCTCATAACATAGTTAACATTTTAGTGGCGTGAAAGGTAGGTACCCCAGTTCTAACTGCTTCACATGGGCTGCTACTTAAATAAGATTATATAAATGAATAAAATGGTTTGGACATAATTAATGCATGGGGCATCTCTGCAGTAATTTACAGTATGACTTGTATATCTTTGGAAATGCCCAATGAAAGTAAAAGTACGATAATTATCAGAACATTATCCATTACTAAAACTAAAAACCAAAGTGGGTTTGTGCGATTCATACCATCAACAAAGGTGGGAAATGTAGGCAGAGAGTGTCGAATCTGAAAGACACAACATATGTCCATGTCAGATACAGAAGAACCAAGAGTCCCTCATTCATCCAGGAGTGAGCCATCAAGAGCTTACTCTGCCCCAATCTCCTGCAGAAAATCAGACGGTCATGGATTTGACAGTCTGACCTTCACACCTCATCTCATGTCTCACTCACTGACCTCTTGTATTGTGGGTGGTGTTGGGGCTGGTGGCCCCCTCTGCTGGGGGTTTGGAGGACGGCTGCTCTGTCTCGGGGCCTCTCTTTGGAACGTACTGGAGGCCTCAGCTCTCACAGGACTGACGGGGTCCTGAGGCGAGGGGGGAGACAGGGAGTCACAGGGGGAGCCCGGGGACGTCTGCAAGCACGCACACACACACACAGATTCCTTTATTTGCCATTTGTAGTAAAACCACATTGGAAAAACTGTGCAAGGCTACCCCAGTGTGCACCAGACAGAGAGGACGGCACACACCAGAGCTCTTGCCACGGCGGCATCTTTACGGCGCCATGCACATACACACACACATTACACAACATGGGATCAGATGAGAATTATGACTTTGATTGGAATGATAAATATAATTTCCATTAGTCGTGAATCTAACAACTCTAAAGTCGTTAGATTCACTTTTTCACGGGCCTTCTGTTTATCACAGGTGCAACACCGTAACGCTAATTGCTGTAACTTAATGAAAACATAGGGCGGCCTTCACTCTATGTTTAGATCAGAGAAACATTGTGGTCCATTTCTTATAGATTCCTTCAGATTCATTGAAAAACGGACATGTTTGTTAACCGAAACCATTTGGACTATATTCTTTTACAAACTGTTCATACAAAAAATTAACTGAAAGGATTTTAAATATTTTGCATCACCAAACTTTACTTTCCAACGTTTGCAAAAATGGACACTCTGGTCCCACTCTGACTAATCAGGATTTAATGATTTGGTTTTAGAATTTCACAAATATAACTCGTGATATGTGAGACAACAGTGGTAGCACCTGTCCCACGCCGCTGGGCTCCTCTGTGGGACTGCTCTCCTGCCTCATCACCCACACCGGCTCCACGGGCTGGTCAGGAGTGTAGGGAGAACGCACGGCCCGCGTCTTCACCTCCTCGATGGCCTCCTTTATGCCCCTGATGGCCAGACTAATGGCGTCTCCCCTGGGCCCAGTCTCTGCTGGACTCCGCTCATCTCCCGGGGACATGCCTGGAACAGAGTTTGCTACGTTCACTCTGCCAGTTATTGCACTTTAAAGTCGTCTTTTTGAATTTCAAAACAACTTGTGTTTTTATATCCTCACAAATATCAAGAACTGATGCTTCCGTCTGAGTATTTCAGTCCACACATTTTGAATGTACCTGTTTGCTTGTTCCCAGCCTGCCCTCTCCTCCCGGGGGCCTTCCTCCGGGCTCGGGACACAGGGCTGCGTTCGCTGCTCTCTCCGTCAGACTGGCCATCGTAGTGGTGTAGCCGGGAGCCGATGGAGCTGTCCAAGGGGGGTAGGTTGCGAATGGGCTGCGGTTTGGGGGGCTGCGCTGGGTAAGAGGTCCGCAGTGGCTCCGGGAAGCAGTTGGGGTGCTGCCGAGGCTCAGACTGGGGCTTTGTCTGGGGCTGGGACCTGTGGTGGGACTGGGAGTAGAAGTCGGCGTAGGTTTGTGGGTAGGACACCAAAGAAGACTCTTCCTCCTCATCATCAGGATGCGTGTCGCTTTAAGAGAGAGAAATGCTCTTAAAGCTGCGCTCATAAACTTTCAAACCAGAAAAATTGAGAATTAATATCACCCCTTTCTTTAATGTTTAATAACAATGAATGGGAACAATATTTCTCCACAATTTCATTCATTCTGTGCTTAAAAACTGGGACTTCCTGTGCTCTCTCTCGTACCTACTGTTAGACTCCATCTGCGGGCATTATCAGGAATTACTATAAAAATTACCCCGCTCAGTGTAAACAAACAAATTTGAGGGTCATTGAAAATAGGGGCTCATAGAAAAAATATTCCAGCTGATTAACCCAAGTAGTATATTTAGGTATGAAAGAAAATTCTGATTTTTGCATCTAAACATTCTTTTGAATTAACTGGTAAAACAGATACAAACCTGGAAATTGTCCAATATTTTAGTTTAGTTATTTTTGCAGTTGAGTCAGAACAGTTCTCACGCACATTTTAGAATTATAAGACACAGGGAATGGGTCTTTTGTTTGATAGAACAGATGTGTAAAGGTGAGTCTTTTTAATTACAGCCCGTTTACTAAAAGAAGGCACAATAGCAGTTCACAATAAATAGCACATTCTACCAGACTTTATAACGGAGCCATGGGGGGGAAGGATGGTTTTAGGTTATTGACAAACTGAGCTGTTTGCGCTAACAAGGAGGCAGTGGAAGTGGTGGCCCATAGGATATTAACTTTGTTAGAGAAGATCTATAGAGAATGATGTCACACAGCCTGTGTAAGAGTGGACAAAAGTTGGTTCATCTCTTGAAAAGTTTCATTTCCACCTGCTCTGCTTTCCTACACTTGATCCTCACAGAGAACTCACCTCTGGTCGCTGTCCCCAGGCAGTGCGTGGCGTGTGTGGGTTGGGCTGGCGTGCTCGCTGAAGTGGTCAATCTGGGGGAAGCGTGGGATGTCGGGGGAGGAGGGTGGGGTGGGTGAGTGCATGGGTGGGGGGCTGTGCAGTGGCCCGTCCAGGCTCAGGGAAGCGGCGCTCTCCGTGTCCGAGCAGAGGTCCGTGATCTCGCTCTCCTGCGCCGCTGCTTCGTCCCCGACATCTCTCTGTATAATTGAACCCTCACTCTGGGCTCGTAGCTCCTTCCCTTCTGCAGGTAGCTCCTCCCCCTCTGGGTACAGCTCCTCCCCTTCTGCAGGTAGCTCCTCCCCCTCTGCATCCAGTTCCTCCCCTTCTGCACACAACTCCTCCCCCCTTGTCCCTAAAAGTTCATTTTTTTCATCCTCTATTTGTTCTTTCAATGAGTCTCTAAACTCCTCCAGGTCCTCACTTTGCTGCTCCATTTGGCCAACTAGCCCCTCCCCCTGCACAGTTGTCTTCTCCTCATCTGCCTCCAGGCCCTCCCCCTGTGCCTGAGCCTCGATTGGCTGTATATGATCACCTAACTCCACCATTTGTTCATTGTATGAATCTCTAGATTCTGGCAGTTCATCATTCAGTCTACATAGCTCTCCCCTTTGCTCATATAGCCCCTCCCTGTGTGTGGCTAGTGGGTGGTTTTTTCCAATGAGCTCCTCCTTATATACTCTTGTCTCTTTGCTTGATGGGCCCTGTCCTCCATTCTGTCCCTCCATAAATTCTGTTTGCTCCCTAGTCTCTCCTTGTAAACACTCCCTCACTCCACCTAACCCCTCCCCCAGACCACTAGGCTCCTCCTCTACATCCAGCTCGGAGGACTTCGCCTCGTTTGTCGATTTGTCATGCGATGGTTCGATCTCCTGCAGAGCTGCTTGTTTTCTGGGGTTGGTTTTTCTTAGTTGAACATCTGGAAAAGTAAAGTAAATCATTAAATCTGTACATTTGAAGATAGATACTATTAGGGCTGCTTTTCCTAAATAATCTATTTTAGTAATGGTTTAATCTGCAGGTAAAGGATTAATTGCAATTCATTGTTTATTTAAAGAGTTGGCAGCCAATTTAGTAATGGATTAATTGATTCTGAAACTTGCATAGACTTAAACATCCCTAGGTGAGGTTTTATGATAATTCTAGAATGAACTGCAGAATTAAATTAAAAAGTATTTTTCAAACAACCTAATGTGTAACGAGTCAGCTCTGCAAAGACTTGGGCTTTGTTTGGCTCATTGTGAATGTCTCTTGGCCAGGACACCCTTGCAAAGAGATCTTTGAATATCAATGGATTTTCCCTGGTTAAATAAACAAATCAATAAAATATAGCAAAAATTCACAGAGCGTTCAGGATTTAGAGTTAGACAATTAAACGATTCATAAAGAAGAAGAATTGACCAACTGATCCAATGAAAAAACTAATGGTTAATAACAGCCCTAATGCACATGTCTGCCTGTGCTTGAAGGTTTATATGCCCTGGCCGCCTTCAGAGAACTGTATATTTGATTTGCTCAAATAATTAATAATTATTGAATTTAGAATTCATGGTTATTAGGCAATATGTGGCTATACACAACCCTCAACGATTAGTGGAGAAGAAATCTCATGACTTAAACAAGCTAGATTAATAGATTATCTAAACAATCGTGAGCTACAGCCCTATCTACAATGCATTATAATTATATTGCTGTTTGCCCCTAAAATAGACACAGCTCTGACTCTGAACCCCCCAAATGACCCTCAGGGAACACGCTCGAACGCTTTCTCTAGATCAACAAAGCACAAGTGGACAAATGGCCATGATCCTCCAGGGGCTGATGACGAGTATAGAGCTGGTCCAGTAACAAAACCATGGCTAGGACCTAAACCACAGTGCTCTCCATGAATCCAAGATACCAAAGTCTCATCCCCAGGCCCTCAGGAATATCCCTTACTAGGAGGCGTGTGATAGTTGGCAGCCCCCCTCAGGTCCCCCTTCTGAACCCTTTATGAGTAAAGAGGAGATGACTTTACCTTTTGTGTGCAGGATGGAGTCTTCTTCTGTAGGCCGTCTCAGTGCTGATGAGTCTCTGTCCACTTGGGGGGTGGGAAAGCAATCACCCCCCGGTGTATGGAGTGAGAGACTTTTCTGTGACTGGTCTGTTTTGTTTTGGTCTTGTGGGCTGCGATGTGCCTCTGCTCTGGACTCCTCTCGGGTGGGTTGTCTTTGCCCAGCTCGGAGCCTGGGGTTAGGGTCTCCCTGGCGACGGTAGCGTGAGACAGCGGGCCGTGGGTGGGGGGAGGGATTGGGACCAGTGGAGTCTGGTCTGTGCACTGGGGCGGTCTGTTGGTGGTGAGGTCGTCTTCGAGATCTGAAACAAGAAGGAATATCATAATTTGTAGAGAGAGTTTCGATGGTTGTATTGGCTTGATGAGCTTCAAAACATCAACAAACTAACCATCTGTGCACCAGTTGTGAATCAGTGCATTTTGTGTAGTCAGCCTAACTCCGATTCAAGACGCCAAGAACAGCTGCATCATCATTCACATATTTAATGTAGTCCCAAATGAATGTAGTCTGATAAAGCAAAACTGTTAAATAATAGGACAGTTCCCAACCTGATCAAATTGTGCTTCATGTTCAGTTTGAAAAATATATTTCTGAAGACAGTCTTATTGAATCTTAATAATTTGTTTTGTTATTATTAGTCAAATATTTTGTCGCTGTCCATTTGCAGTATATAGAAAATAAATAATTAAAGGGTGTTGGGGTAGCAAAAAAAATATGAATTTGAAGTGTGTTCTGAACCTGCATGTATACCGAGACAAGAGTGATCTGAGCCTCATGTACACTGAATATGGGGAATTCTCTATATTTGACCAAAACAAAGCTCACATTGGGCTGAAAATACTAAACAGATAGATATAGAATCATTAGTTTATTATCTGCGAATAATCAATTAACTTAATAAACCCCTAATGTCTACCAAGTTGTCATATAAACGCAGTGAGTGGCATTACCGGTGGTGAGGAGCGGGGTGTGGGTGCTGATGGATGTGGACCACCTCTCCGTCCTGGTTGAGCATCTGACATGGCCTCCATGACCTGCGCGGCTCTGAGTGAGACGTCCCATTCAGGGTGGGGGGCTCCGTCTCCCTCGGCGACGGCACCTCAGGCCTCTGGCTCATGATTCAGTCCCACAGACGTTCAGCCCAAAGTGCATCTGAGGGAGGACATTGTATTCAATTACATAACATACAATTAAAAACATTAGATATGTATTTTTCTATAATTTTGGACGTTGTGAAACCACCTTCACAACTATCAGAAAAGACTCAAAGCTGTTTCTGTTGACATTATCATTTGAAAATAGAAAATATGTTTATTTGACAGTAAATTACGTCACACAACCACTCATGAGTCAGTGAACATTTTTGTGTTATTCATAATCTTGGAAAAGTGGTTCAAAAAAACAACAACATTCCTGCCTGGGTGTGTAAACTTTAAAGCACAACTGAACATTCCTAGAGGACTTAAAATCATTTGAATTTAGGCTGATGTCGTTTTTGACATCAGATTACTTTGCTAAGTCCTTTCTATTACTGTGTACTGATACTGGCCATCGTCCTGCAGACTGCAGAGGAACCGGGGTCATGAATGAGTGGACCTGAGCTCCATCTGTCACAAGATTAAACACGCACGCACACGCTCACGCACGCACTAATGGAGGCGCAAAGAAAGTTCAGACAAGTATCCCCCGTCTCTTCTACAGGCACCATCTCATCCGCCCTCAGTTACAGCTGGCACATTCACACACCTGCATCCTCGCGCCTCCTGAAGCTTATCACTTCAGTTTCCACCACCAGCGGGGGGAATTCCATTTTCATCATCTTTCCATCACACTGAGTCTATCCGAGTCCTACAGCAGTAGGTGAATCACTAAAACATTTAGACACAAAAAATAAACATCTAATTACAATTAAAATGATATAAAATTAACCCCAAATAAAATGTAATTTAAATCAGTTAATCAATTCAAAAATGAATTTAGGCAATAAATTCCAAGTCAGCATTTGTTACCTGGAGATCTATCCAATTCTGATATTACATAACAGATTAGATCAGATATTCAAACTTCAAAGTTTGTATTATTGAAATTAGAGACCCCAATATCTTTTGCTACAACTACATATGGGGTATCGACCTCCTCACTGACTAATCATCCGCATTGGCACTAAATAATGAATTTTTGTCATTTTATTACAGAAGGTTTATTCCACTTTTACCACTAGAAAGATGGATGTGTTTTACTATGTTTGATGAACACTGACACAGGAAAATTCCCCATCTTAATCTAGTTAAATCTGACTGATTGACACTGTGATAAGATCTCAGAGTCTAGGGGACTGGGTGGCTGTCACTGGCATCGCCCTAAATTGAATTAAGTCTAATCTAACAAACAGGAAGTACCTTGTTGAGATTGGCAAAGACTCATACCATGTAGCCTTGACATGTGGAGTGCCACAGGGATCTATCCTGAGACCTCTATTTTTCAATTCCTACATCCTGCCTTTATGTCAGTTAATACACAGTAACAATGTGTCCTATCACAACTACGCAGATGTCTCACTGACTGCAGGAGAACATGGATTAACTCACTCCTTCACTGCATCCAACATATCAGTGGATGCAAAACCACTGTCTCTCACTGAAATTAGATAAACCTGAAATTATCGTCTTTGGTCCCCAGAAACAATTTAGTGGTCATCTCCAGCCACTCTCCATAACACCCTCACATCCGTATATTAGTCTGAAGACCATGTTTTAGGATGAAAATATAACTAATACAATTCATTATATTCATCAATACAACAGAATCATCTGCTTCCTAAACTACAGGAGTTTTTCCACATTCTACATGAAGTGTCCAATGCATTCCAACTTTAATAATGTATAAAATGAATCAAAAAGGTGAGATGGTTGAGGAAGGGCGTGAGGTGTGCATGATGTGATTATTTATTTAGACGAAGAACCAGCTCATTGTCCATGCAAAATGTACAGTTCAGTCTGAGCATAACAATTGCAGAGGTCACAATATCCAAATAACCTGTAAATGTACAGGTTCACAAGTGCTTCTTTGTCAACCAGAAAAAAGGCTTTCAATGATTTAAGGAAAAACAAATTAGGGGAACAAAAAATTACGAGATTCTACTGTCAGATACATTTATGTAACTGTTTGTAACAGTCTTTTTGTGTTTTATTTGTTTCCTTTTTCAAAACAGTATTACCGACTAGGACCGGTGAACATATTTTCACATCTACAAATGAAAAAACAGGTGTTTATGCTCGAGAACGGAAGTGTCCAACCTGTGGCTGGGAAACCAGGTATCTCTCCAATGGATTCAATAATATGACACATGATCCTGAACTATTCACCTTTGAAACATGAAATATCTATTTTAGCTATAAATCTTGTAATTAATGCAGGGATACTATCCGGTAGGGTATATTATGCATGCATGTGTTCTCTATGATTGGCTGTTATTATATAGACAACTACTACTAAAAGGAGTACATTTTTTTGCCATTTCTGATTTTATTGAAGTATTTGTATTTTGTATCTCTATCCATTTAGCTCTCCAAACGAAGATGGTTGGAGACCCCTGCTCTATAATAAATAAAAAAACCAGCACCTTGTAGCTTCCCAGTAGAATTGTATACCAATAGCATGGGGTTGGAACAGTACGTGGTCAGTGTGAATGCCACTGCATGCACTATTATGTCAATAGTTTAATTCTAACCATACACAAACAAATAGGCCTACGATATAATGTAAGTTGAACAATGACAGAAGCGCTGTTTACAACATCCCACAGCTCCAGCCATCCGCAGACAGCCCTGCTCTGTGCTCGGTCCCAGCCCCAGGGATTTCAACGCGGAGAACCGACTTTCTCACGCAGCCCCCTCACGGCAAAATATATGTATATGACCGAACCTTTTCCGCAGCAGAAACAGCGCTGTAATCCGACCTGGCGCTGTCACACGGTTTAACGGGAGCAGGTGTCCCGACAGCCGCCATCATCCATCCCGTTAAAGCGCTGCTCACGCGGAGCTAGAGAGCGCGCGCTGCTGAGGCAAGGGTGGCGGCCATCTTGTGTTTACAGAAAAGCAAGGCCACGTATCTGCGTATTTCAAGTGGCAATTTAACAACGTATCTCGTAAATTCTACTTGAAAAATCCTGGAGCTGTCCAAGGGTCTCCTTGTGAGGGATATTATAATACATGATAGATATAAGAGGGATATTCCCCAGCTCAATCTTGAGTCGGATCCCTTTTTCCTTGGTAAGCCAGGTGGGTGCATGTATAGGGAACAAATATCACATTAACATATACTATTACAGCACATTAACGTTCTGTGACTTGAAGAATATCCCATAGACAAATCTTTTGAGACCAAAGAACTGGTGATATTTTCTTACACAGTTACATAAATCTTTTTGCATTGTCACCATAAATCCCAGCTTTCTGAGTTCTTCAGAAGAAATTTCCATCACAACATGGAGCTGCTTTGAATGCGTGGTGTATTATAAACTGAACAGTGCGCTGTCCGCTCTAGTCCTATTGAAACAACACTCAAACGCGCGCATCCACACACACGCACAAACACACACATGCACACACATGCACGTGCACACACAAACACACACACACACACACACAACCAAAGCTCCATCCTCTGTTACCTGCCGCCTCAGTGGACCGGGAAACGGGGCCTGGTCATCCCGTGGCACCGTGAGTTCCCCCACTGCTGGGATGATTGTGCGCCCGGCTGTGGAGGCCTGGTTTGGCTCCTGGATGGGGACCGTGTCATCCACGGTTCTGGTGCCGCTGGTGGGATTAAAGCAAAGACACGCCCGCCCTGCGTGACGAAAGCGCGCACCGAGAGAGAGAGGGGGAACGGGGAAATAAGCACACACTACAGCTTCTTTATTTGTTTAGGCCTGTACTTTTTTGTTTATCTAAAGATGCACGATGTGCGACTGAAGTAGATTACTTTTTAGATTATATTTATCTGGAAATACGTGTTACAGTTACTTCCAAAATATGCTTTATGATATTCATTTCTTGTGGAACTATATCTCACACAAATTAAACAAGCAAAAGCAGCTTCAACATGACATGATCTGCTTAAACGCCTCATGACATCATTATTAGTATGTTTATTAACATATTAGATTTTTCTTTTCTTTTTTTTAAAGGTAATTCCATTGTAATGTTACTCAGTTACTGTATTTCACTGTAACTAAGTCGAGTACTGAAAAAGTTCATGAAGATAATTTTTGCAAAGTAATTAATTACAGGTATAAAAAAGCAACATGGAATCATCTGCAATTTAAATTATTTAACGGCAAACGATATTCAATAACATTGGTCAAATGTGAATTCACTTTTCTTTTTTTTGACTTTATAACGCCTATATAATATATGATTTGATATTTTGAAGATAGCACTGGGGGAAAATTACTTTTATTATTTATTACAACTCTCTTTTCCACTAGTTTTGACAAACTTCACAAACTGTATGTTACTGATCGACAATCTAAAAAATAGTTCCATCCACCGAACAGACTGTTTTTATGGAATGCTCTTTTTTAAGACTGTGACATTTGATCCCATTAAAAAACTATAATAAACATTGCCTTGCTCACTTCGAGACTGTTGTACCTGCTTATTACCACCAGGCGTCACTGTTACTGAGATACCAAGAATATCAGACACCTAAAATAAAATGTCCATTGGTCTGAGAAAGTTTGGAATATGCACCTTCCTGCACATCTGATCACACATCTGATCAATTGTGATGTGTCTATGTGTGTGCATCAGATCTAGTGCCACAGCTCTTAAACCTTTCCACATGCCCTTAAACGTTTCTTTCCTCAGTGACTGTAATGGACTGTGATTGTGTGCTGCGTGTCATACCCATCATACTTCAGTGCACCGGTTGTTATCCTCTTCTTACAGGAGACAAGCAAATTATAATTATAAATAGTTCTAACAGTGTGGGTTACTATGTACAGCATATGACTATAAACTTCTTTGGAAAGAATGATTTGTTTGAAGTTTGTTCTCATTTTAGTTGTGTAATAATAATATAAGTTTTGTTTATCCAGCTTTTAAAAAATGTGTTTAAAAAAAGATTAGTAGGTTACATATTTGAAAAATATGTAAATTTTATTTCATTTAAAGTTGTTTTTCAAATAAATAATACCTGTTTTTCTAACTGAAACAGTCTTATAGTCAAACGTTGTGAAGAAATCTGACCACAACATAGTGAGAAAACATGTTATCTTTTGCATTGTGAGCGCTGTGAGTTATTATTTTACACTTATTTTGGCTGAGAGCTGATTAGCTGAGTGAAGATTGTCCTTGCTTTCACTTTTCTGTTTGAAAATGTTTTATTATGCTTCATCTATACAAGCTTTATTATGCATGTGAAAACTACGCTTAGAAGCTAACTGTTGTGAAGCCTGCAGGAACAAGTCACATTACACAGTTCCATTTTTGAAAGTGAGGAAGCTCAGCTGAGTTGCAAGTATCCCTCCTCTCTCTCTCTCTCTCTCTCTCTCTCTCTCTCTCTCTCTCTCTCTCTCTCTCTCTCTCTCTCTCTCTCTCTCTCTCTCTCTCTCTCTCTCTCTCTCTCTCTCTCTCTCTCTCTCTCTCTCTCTCTCTCTCTCTCTCTCTCTCTCTCTCTCTCTCTCTCTCTCTCTCTCTCTCCCTTCCTCCTGCACATGTGCGATGTCAGACCTCAGTCCTGGACCATAGGTGTCAGCTGAGATGCTGCTTCTGCTTGCCGCGCTGGGGGCTGGTGAGAGGCTTCATGTTTTACATTCTTTACCTTTGTGTGCGTTAAGGTTGCATGACTTATCTATGAGGTCAGGCAGCGCATTTTAGGTGCTCCGTAGCGATGGAAAATAGACGTCCTTTAGTTGTCTTGTTGTGGGAGAATGTGTTGTTTATTTAATGTATTTTTGGGATACAACATTTCCTGCATTATAATATATTTTCTCATGAATTCTGATCCATCGTTCAATGCTATATTCTTAATTGTTTTTAACATTCATTTGCATATTATTTTAGTGAAAAAGCACCAAGTTTGTTTCTACACTATTTGGAATGCATTTTTGTATGATGCAAGACACTTGCAAAGAATCCATTCATCTTGGACACTTTCTGGGACAGAAACCAACAGTTTTCCTGTACAGAAAGAAATATAACAATATGGCCACAATTTAACACAAAATACAAAATTAACTTTTGAAGACTATGTCATGTTGAAAAAATATTTTTCTCTTTCGCCAAAACATTTTGCCCCAAGAGACATTTGGTGTCTCATCTGGCAAAGCACAATCTTCCTCATGTTTCTGGTGTGCCAAATATGACTTCTTGTAAACTTTTGATGAATATCCATCGTTCAACTTCTTTAAACAATGGCATTCTTCTTGCCACCTGTCCATAATGGACAGATTTCTGTAGTGTGCAAATATTTGCCCTATACAGATTCCCTCAGTTGGAAGCTGGGTCACAGTGACATCAGTCAGTGGTGTTAGGTTGGGTGGACAGCGGTGTCTTGGTATATTTTTAGTGGTGCCATACTCATTTTCCGAATAATGGACTGAACTACGCTCTTTCTATTCAAACTCATCATAGCTTTGAACTTCCTCACATTCAAAACATTATAATAAATCAAAAAAACCAACAGGAAACTTGTTCAGAAACACAAGGACTAGTGCGATGTGTTCAAGTTTCCTCATGGTTCCTGATAAAAGCTTGTCTAATTGTAAGCGTGAGAGTGCATGGTGGGAGATGCTGGTGGGAGATGCTGGTGGGAGATGCTGGTGGGAGATGCTGTGGAAGGGCATTGCGGTGCTCCAGACGTGTAAACTGTGAACCTTCTGCTCTGTCATGTGTAAGTCTCTATGCAAATGTTTGTTGTGTTACAAAATTAAAAACAGTTTTGTACAATGGGTGTAGCCATTGTCAGAGTAGAAGCTTGTTTCACAATTTCAGGAAGACCAGGATATTTATGACGAAGCTGAAGTTGGCTGAATGAAAAGGTTCTACTTTCTCACCAGCTACATAAGTGACAAATATGAAATGCTGTACCTATGGCAGTGTTTATATTAATCAAGAACCATGTAGGCCACTGTGGAGGCAGATCTTTTTGTGTGCAGACCATTTAAAATAATAGAGTTATCAGAGGCCAAAACTACTGAGCCTGTAGTTCGTTTATTCTCCAAAGGTCCTAAAACAGATAGTTTTTTTTTTCATATAAGGCCGTAGTGATGAAGAAAACATTTTTGTAATTCAAATGATTTTAAAAACATTGGTTTCACTTGGGAAATAGAACTGTGCCCATGAGGATTGTGTCTTTGTGTTTGTGTGCGTGTGAGAGAGAGAAGACTGCTAGCCATATGCTCCTGGCTGAGGTCCGCACACTGAAGCCAGCACTCATGATTCACACTCACCATAACATTCACCACTTTCCATGTGAGCACCAAATCCAGCATTCATAAAAGAAATGTACCATCAAATACCATGGCAACGACAAAAACGAGAGGACCTAGAGTTAGGAGCAGATTGCACAGATTAAAAACTGTGGTAATATGCAAAAAGAATGACATACAGTATTCCAGAGGTTCAGCCAGGATGAAATGTGGTATCTGTAACTTAGGTAGAAATAGTACTGAGGGTAAAAAATATACATTCTATCATGTAAAGTTAAATTTGTTATTAATGACCCTAAATCATTTTACATATAAGGTCCATGAATACAAATCCTGGCATATTCAAATTATGGATCAATTGATTGTCGGCCCCTTCTGATTATTGGGGCTGATATCAGACAATATTAACAAAGGATAATTTTTCAGAGTATTGTTTATTAGTCGACAACACAGCTCAACAAAACAAAACCTATCAGCATTCACAATTCTACTGTATATGTATCCAAAGCATTGTCTGATTAGTTTGGTTTATTATTGGCAGCACTGAGGTCCAGAGGTTACAAGGTTTTTAGGTGGTTTTCTTATCTTAAACCTAGTTTTAGAGTCTGGGCCTACTCTCTGCATCACATCCAGCCCATATACTCCCACCCATATAAACATATACTGTACTTAAGAGATGTGTGTTGGACTTTGTATTATTCAAAACAAGTCATGTCAGCTCTATATATCGGTTATTGGCCTCCTTGACAATACAATATCTTATCAACCCTGAGACAACTGCAAACTTCTGATTCTAATAAAAATAGTGATTAGAATAGATGGTATATTGATCTGTTGTTTTGGTCCCTTGATGTGTGCAGCTGTGGTGGGGGGGCAGAGGCAGTCGCCCCCTGGTTCCTGCAGCTTTGAGACTCATACCTGTGGATACAGCTCCGACCCAGACTACAGCCCCTGGAGCCTGCACTCAGAAGGTAGAGCGCCACCTACTGGAGAAGGATACATGACATACAACATTGGCTTCTCACAATTGTTTTCAGAACTATGCATGTTTGAATCATTTATGTTGTCTTAAACTCGAGATCGCATCGCTCCCCTGGCACTGCTGTTTGCCTTGCATGGGTGATTACTGTTCATTTCAATTCAATTTAAAGCCTTAAATCACAACAGTTATCTCGGAGGATTTTACACAACCGAGAATTAAACTTTTCAAACACAAGAAATGCACACAAACACCACACAAAGCCATTGTTCCTAATGATTGAACAAACAATTGTCATGGTTTATATCTATTTCTTGTTTTATTTTGTAATTTCTGGCATTATGTGCCATGTGACAGAAAAAGGGAGTACTAATACAAAACTGAACCAAACTGGTGAGGATAGGAACTAAAAGTGAAAATGACAGAACAGGGGGTGAAGGACATCACAAGGTTTAGATAATTGACAGACACATGAAGGCAGGACGGGTATTTACACAACATCCATCCATCCATCCATCCATTTTCTTCCCCTTAATCCTTTTCTGGGTTGGGGGGGGTGGCAGTCAGAGCTGCACCAGTACACAGAGCACCAGCCCCTCACTGATCCTGCTGCAGGTGGTGAGTCCACAGGAGCCTTGATCTTTCAGTGGGAGCTTCAGGCAAAGTGGGGTTAAGTGTCTTGCCCAAGGACAACAACAGCAGACATCAGTGGGAGTCGTGAAGTGGGTCTCGTGGTGAGCTCGAACCCATGACCTTCAAACCCAAAGGCCAATGCTCTACAAACAGGGCCACTGTCGCCCCTGTTATGGGTTTGATATTTACACAACAAGTAGAAAAAAGGAAAACCTAAACCATGACAACAATAATACGCTGATTTCAAACTTGATCTGATTCTGAGCAGAGGTACCGTCGCTGGTCCACCTGCTGGTCCACTCTCTGGTTGTGGCTCTAGAGCTAGAGCAGGCTGATCCGGTGCACATCTGGTCCATCTGCAGACAGCACATGCCTCTGTTTATGTAAAGGCACACCCAGCACCGCTCGCTCCAACATGTGGGCCGCAGATAAGTGAGGCGCAGAGACCAGGCTGCTCTGGATGATTGGTCCTGTGGGCCGAGGACTGCTGAAGACCACTATGGGGCTTCATGTCTCTAGACTAGAGGTGTGTAACACTGGTTAGACAGCGAGGGTCATGCAGGGGGTACTTGAAATGGTGCATGGGAACCCATAACGTGTTTGTAGTTTAAAAACAAATCCTCTCAACTTAGCCACCATAAAAAAGTGATTAATTAAGAACATTGGACCCATGATATGTCATTAAATGACAGTTGTGCTTGGTCTACCAGTCTGCAATGACAAGCCTTCCTTAGTTGTGGTCCAGTTTTGGCTCAGTCCGTTTTGTGGTTCGGGGGAACTGATTGTTGAGAGATTGAGAGATTGTTGAGAGATTTCGAAACGTGCCAACTTCATTGGATTTTGTATTGAGAAGGAGGACTGTCAGAAAATGCAATTAAAGGACTCATTACACATTACATTACTTCTAATAATCATATACAATATTTTATAATCTATAAGATCTGTATGGCTATGCACTTAGGACAATTATCTAGTTAAACATACTGTGCTTTTGCATCCAGACAGTCTCAGTTCTCATATTTAATTATATTTTATATATATATACATATATATATATATATATATATATATATATATATATATATATATATATACAAATTGTCCACTCACCTTTGGCCCTCCGCGGGCGGTTATCCCTCTCTAAGCTCGGGTCCTCTACCAGAGGCCAGGGAGCTTGAGGGTTCTGCGCAGTATCTTTGCTGTTCCTAGCACTGCACATTTCTGGACCGAGATGTCCGAGGTTGTTCCGGGGATCCGCTGTAACCACTCATCTAGCTTCGGGGTCACTGCCCCGAGTGCACCGATCACCACGGGCACTACTGTCACCTTTACCCTCCAGGCCCTCTCCAGCTCCTCTCTGAGACCTTGGTATTTCTCAAGCTTTTCATGTTCTTTTTTCCGGATGTTACCATCGCTTGGAATTGCCACGTCCACCACCACGGCTGTCCTCTGCCCTTTGTCTACCACCACGATGTCAGGTTGGTTTGCCATTACCATTCGGTCGGTCTGTATCTGGAAGTCCCACAGGATCTTCGCACGCTCATTCTCCACCACCTTTGGAGGAGTTTCCCACTTAGACCTTGGGGTTTCCAGCCCATACTCTCCACAGATGTTTCTGTACACTATGCCAGCCACTTGGTTATGGCGTTCCATGTAGGCCTTCCCTGCCAGCATCTTGCACCCTGCAGTTATGTGTTGGATCGTCTCAGGTGCCTCTTTGCACAACCGACACCTTGGGTCTTGTCTGGTGTGGTATATCTGGGCCTCTATCGCTCTGGTGCTCAGTGCCTGTTCCTGTGCAGCCATGATGAGTGCCTCTGTGCTGTCCTGTAGGCCAGCCCTTTCTAGCCATTGGTAGGACTTCTTGAGATCAGCCACTTCTGTTATGCTCCGGTGGTACATGCCGTGTAGGGGCTTGTTCTCCCATGATGGGCTCTCCTCCAGCACCTCCTCATCTCGCCACTGCCTGAGACATTCACTGAGTACGTCATCCGTTTTGGCCTTCTCCATGATGTAGTTATGGAGTTTGGATGTTTCGTCCTGGACAGTGGCTCTCACACTCACTAGTCCTCGGCCTCCTTCTTTACGGCTTACGTACAGTCTCAGGGTGCTGGATTTGGGATGGAACCCGCCATGCATGGTAAGGAGCTTTCGAGTTTTAACATCCGTGGTCTGAATCTCTTCCTTTGGCCACCTGATTATTCCTGCAGGGTATCTGATCACTGGCAGGGCGTAGCTGTTAATTGCCCGGGCCTTGTTCTTGCCATTGAGCCGGCTTCTTAGGACCTGCCTTACTCGCTGGAGGTATTTGGCAGTTGCCGCTTTCCTCGTCACCTGTTCGAGGTTGCCATTTGCCTGTGGTATACCGAGATACTTGTAACTGTCCTCAACGTCTGCTATTGTTCCCTCTGGGAGTGAGATCCCTTCTGTGTGGACTACCTTGCCTCTCCGAGTCACCATCCTGCTACATTTCTCGAGCCCGAATGACATCCCGTTGTCATGGCTGTAGATCCTGGTTGTTTGGATCAGAGAGTCGATGTCTCTCTCGCTCTTGGCGTACAGCTTGATGTCATCCATGTAGAGGAGGTGACTGATCTTTGCTCCGTTCCTGAGGCGGTATCCATAGCCAGTCTGGTCAATTACTTGGCTTACAGGGTTGAGGCCTATGCAGAACAGTAGTGGGGACAGAGCATCTCCTTGGTAGATACCACATTTGATGGTCACTTGTGCGAGCGGCTTGCCATTTGCCTCAAGGGTGGTCTTCCACATTCCCATCGAGTTTGCAACGAAGTCCCTTAGAGCCCTGTTGATATTGTACAACTTCAAGCATTCCATGATCCATGTGTGTGGCATTGAGTCGTAGGCTTTCTGGTAATCAATCCAGGCTGTGCACAGGTTGGTGTGTCGTGACCGGCAGTCTTGGGCGACTGTTCTGTCAACCAGGAGCTGGTGTTTGGCTCCTCTGGTGTCCCTACCAATGCCCTTCTGTGCTGTGCTCATGAATTGTTCCATATGCCCACTTATCTTAGCCGCAATGATGCCTGACATGAGCTTCCATGTTGTGGAGAGACAGGTTATTGGCCGGTAGTTGGAGGGGACTGCACCCTTGACAGGGTCCTTCATGATCAGGACCGTTCGCCCTTCGGTTAGCCATTCTGGGTGAGTCCCATCTCTCAGCAGCTGGTTCATTTGTGCTGCTAGGCGCTCATGGAGTGATGTGAGTGTCCTTAGCCAGTAGGCATGGACCATATCAGGGCCAGGTGCTGTCCAGTTTTTCATACCTGAGACTCTTTCTCGGATGTCTGCCTCTGTGATGGTAACTGAGTTCTGTTCTGGGAGGTGGCTGTGCTCCTCTCTCAGGGACACCAGCCATTGTGCACTTCTGTTATGTGCTGCATCCTTCTCCCATATGTTCCTCCAGAACTGTTCAGTTTCCAGCCTCGGTGGATCTGCTCCCCTTTTGTTACCCTGCCACTGAGCGTACACCTTCGCAGGTTGTGTTGCGAACAGCCTGTTCACCCTTCTGGCTTCATTCTCTTTAGTGTACCTCTGTAGGCGGCTGGCCAGGGCTTGGAGCCTTTGTTTGGCAGTTTCGAGTGCTTCAGGTATGGTCATCTGGCTGTACTTTCTGGGTACTGGTCTTTTCATTGCACCTCTCTGGGCCTCTCTTAATTGACTCACTTCTCTCCGAGCCGCTTTGATCTTAGCCTCCAACCGTCTTTTCCATGGTGGGTATTGTCCATGGCTCCCATGGTTGCTCTTATAGCCAAGCATCTCTAGGATCACTGCTGCTGAAGTGTATATCAGCTCATTGGTTTCAGTGATTGTGGTGGTAGGTATTGCCCTCACTGCTGCATTCACGCTTTCTATGAGATCCTTAGGTGGTACTTCACACAACCGCTGTAACCGGTGTCTTTGCCCTGTGCCCATTCTAGCCATGATCTTAGCTTTCAGGTCAGTCGCTGCCTCGTTCAGCGTTATCGGTTCCATTGGGGCTATGTACCCAATATCTGGTTGGGGAGTTGCAGTTGGTGGGATCTCCCCTCTGACCTCGGCAACTGTGGCATCATACATGTGTTGTACTTCATCAATCTCAAGCTGTGATAGCAGTTGCCGTTTGTGGATGTTGGAGCATTGAGCTACCAGTTGTTTCGGGGTCAACTGTGACTGTGGGTTTCGAAGTAACCATTCAGCCCACATTCTCTGCATATAACCTCTTTGGCCAGGGTTACTCGAGTAGTAGCATTCCAACAGAGCCCTGTTATCGCATCTCGTCCACTTTCGCCTTGTTCCAGTAGCCCACTTTTCATCAAGGTGCTCTGGTTCCCCAGCACCTGACGCAGACCTTGTTTGGCCGGGCGACGGCTGATCCGGCATCTCATTGCTTATTTGTACCTTCATGGTTATGAGTTAGGCAGTAGCATTAAGGGTCTTGCCCAAGGACCCTCACTGGATGTTGGTGTTAATGTGCTATATATATATATATATATATATATATATATATATATATATATATATATATATATATATATATATATATATATATATATATAGTGCTGTCCAACGATTAAAATATTTAATCGCGATTAATCGCATGAATTTCATAGTTAACTCGCGATTAATCGCAAATTAGTCACACATTTGTATCTATTCTTTATGTCCCTTGAATTATCATTTTAATACTGCTAAAAAGTGAATAGGCGTGCTGTGTGCAATTGCTTTTTTTAATATTTTGTAAATTTGTTCATGTAAATACTCTATGCTGTTTCTCTGTTTACTTTCGGTATATCTATGACTGAATACTGTTTGCTTGTATTGCCTTTTTTATTAACCCCTCCCCCCCATCTCCCACTTCATGTCCCCCCCCCCTTCTGGGTTTCTTCTTTGGCCCCCTGTATCTCCAACTACATATTGTTTGTAATCTATGTCTACAATGTATCTGAACTAGTCCTTTTGTTTGTTTCTATTTTTTTTTCTGTATATGTGTTTGTCTGCAATAAAAAGTAAAAAAAAAAAAAAAAAAAATAACAAATTTTTTTTTTTTAATTGCGCGATAAAAAAAATGACGCCGTTAATATTGATTTGCGTTCACGCGTTAATAACGCAATATTTTGGACAGCACTAATATATATATATATATATATATATATATATATATATATATATATATATATATATATATATATATATATATATATATATATATTTAGTATTAATCTCTCTCTTCTCCTGAATGAGTCATTGTATGCAAACCAATGTTGAATCAGAAAGATCCCAGGGCCAGCGAGCGGCAGCAGGAGGCCCTCAAAGTGTATTGTTTACTCTCAGACAGACACATAAACATATCTGCTCTTCATTCATTTCTACACACACACCAACACACCAAATGTCCTTTCGCAACTTTCTTTTGAAATTTTTATGAGGAGAAGTTCTGGTCCTGCAGTGTACTATGCATAACCGAACCTTAGCTTGACCCATGTTCTAACCGCTTCCCCTTGTCAGATTTCCACACACAGTTTGGTCATGTACTGTCTATACCTTCACCTGATTCTTGGCTCGCCTGTGGGTGAAGGTGAGGAAGCCTCACAGCAAAATGTTACAACATTTAGTTCACTACTTGTTCATTACAAGTAATATTATCCCGATATTGTTTTTATTTGTAAAGATACTGATTGACTTTTGATGTTAACGTGCTTCTATGACTCAGGCCTGACCAATGGAGCTGTATTGAAGATTTAGACTCAATCCTGCCTTCAATCCAACCCTCCTCCATACCCCATTTGTAACATTGTGTAGTGACAAATAAAATTCATGAAGACGTGAACTTGCAGAAGCAGCAGACTAATCACATAAAGGTTAGATCTATTATATTTAACCATTTATTGGGATTAGTAAAAATACAAGGTTTGCAGACGAATCATGTTTAAAACCATTTCTCATGTACATTAAGTATTGAGTCAAAGACTGCAGAAGTAGAAGCAAAATCAAGGCTAAAAGAGAATGGCGCCAAACCTGGTGAACAAATGTTTAGATCTCACAGATTTCCTCTCTCTGCGGTCATTCTCTGATGTTCAGTAAAAGCGCATCTCCTCAGAATGACCTCAGCTCTGTGCAGAAAACTAAACCAGGCGAGAAAGAAAACAAGCAACAAGCGACTCACACGAAGAAAAGAAGAGCGATGGAGAGAAGCCAGAGTTCTTCTCACTCTGTAGTCACCACAGCAGCACTGTATAGGCATTAGGCACTGTAATCTGATATGAGACATTATGGTACATCAGGGGTCTACTTAAGTAAAACTAGAGACACTAGTATCAAAATAAACTCTGTTAAGATAAGTAAAATGGATTGTTGTTTAATAATTGGCACAATATTTACCTCAGACAGTTTAAGCATTGACTTAAAGACCTAAACAACAGTTTACTGTACAGTAGTAGAATTATCTGACACTAACAGAGAACAGATGACGATCAACACAACATGGAGAACTCAAAGATGAAGTCAGTGATTTTTTCCAGACACATTTATTTATTTATTTTTATTCCGGGAAAACGTCCCTAAACCCTAAAAGTAGTCAAGTAATCATGTGTTTTCAAATAGTAATGGAATTGACCAGATGCTTATAGTCTCCAAAAAATAATAAAAAATATTTTGGAGCGGACCGATAAAAATAAACCTTGCCTTTACCCCCTTCACCCTCTTCTTCTCTCTTGCGAGTGTGCGCACCTGAGTTATCGGATTTTCTAAAACCTAAAAGGGCTGAGCAGAAAATGTCAATTTCACGTTTGCCACCCACGCTCTCTGTTGTCACAAAGAAAATAAAATGCTGGATGTTTGGTTTGGTGGAGAGGCGAGGGGAGGGGGGAGTGGTTTCGAGTTGGTGCTACGGCTAAGCTAACAAAATCGCTTACTGCACCTTTAAGTTGTATGATTATTGGAACCATGGATCTATAATAATAACTGAGAAGTGTGGCTAACTAAGAACACTTTTATTGAATCAGGGATATTACCGATACTTACAATACAATACAATACAATTTATTCTTGTATAGCCCTAGGTCGCAACAGAAGTCATCTCAGAGGACTTAACAAAACCATTGAAATCACCAACACAGGTCAGAGAATCAACAGTTAAAACACATGAAGAATATAAAGCACACGCAGAAGAAAATGTCCATACATGTTGTAGAATGCTAAAGTGTCCTGATCATCACCAATCCTTTCTGTTGGACACTAACTGTCCAACAAGACCCTCCTGCATCGACAAGGAAAAACTCTTAAAAAACCCAGTGGGAAAAAGTGAGAAACCTTGGGGAGAACTAGGGAAACCCACAGGGAGGGAGACCCATTTGAGAATGGGATCCGCTCCCCCGGACGGACAGGCTAATGATCTAGGACCTAAGCTAGCTACAGAACGTGGACCAGTGGCCGCTGAACGTGGACAGGTCCGGTGCAGGACTGAAGCACTCCCAGGCGGGTCGGGCGGGGCAGTCCGCAGGTGTAGATGGAGGAGGCCAGGCTCAGAGGTCCCGTCATCGTACCATGAAACAGACAATGGGACAACGGGTGAATAGCAATGAACAAACCACAGTCAAAATCCTAAAAATGCTAAACAGATAAAGTAGGAAGGAGGAGAGGATAGTGCTCAAGTTGCCATACTTCTCCCAGCAAACTGACTCCCTATGCAGCTTGACTGACACTCTGAGGAGTTTAGCCTTCCCTGAGTCTTACCTTCCTAGCCATAAGCTAAACTAAAGAGGACTGTTTTAAACCTAGCCTTGAATAAAGAGAGCGTATCTGAAAGGAGGTGAGACAGCAGCAGCCACGGCTAGGCTAGCCTCGGTTACAGCACCAAGATTCATGGATTGCACACCAGGTGTGCAAACCGATACAATACATAACATAATACATATATTATATTATATATAATACAATATATAATATAATATAATATATATATATAATATATATATATATTATATACCATATATTACCTAATTATATGCTAAATTAAAGTAGATGTAAGGAATTAAAAATATATTTTGGTTTGACAGTAAGGAGGTAAAGTCAAAAGTTATACGAAAAATAAGTAGTAACGTATGAATACCAGGAAAAGATTTAAGTAAAAATGCTTCACATGCAAAAACAATGCTCCATCTTATCCTCTCGTAGCAGTGTGAAGTTAGTAGTGGTGGAATCAAATGTGCTTTTCTTCCACCCCCTTCTTTTGGAGGGTTGTAAATGTTGTAAACGTTATTATTAACATTAAGAGTAATATCATATAATCATGCTCCTTTAACATTCAACTAAAGGACTGTTACATTGTAGAAAAAAATATTGTAGTAAGAGCACTGTCACACATAAGACTGTAGCAAGAGTACGGTTCCACTGTAAGACTGTATATACATCTGAAGTGATGCGTTTGGGTGATGGGAAGGGGAAAGAGGGAGAAGTGGAAAAACAGAGGCACAGAACTGGCTCGGAGCAGCAGAGCTTTTCGGAAAGTCCAGCCTAATGTTTAACGGCTTCTCTATGAACTTGGAGCTGGGACAGACTTCTGCAGAAAGTATACCGTAAACGCAAGATATTATATTATTCTAGACAGAAAACATTGTAGCTGTTGTGGATCACTATACTGTAGCCTCTGACTATTTGGCTTGTGACTGGGTCAAATGCAGAAGACACATTTCCGTATGGGGACAACACAGTACAACTTAACTTACCTCATTAAAAAAGGACATGCAAATGGGGCTTTTATTGTACAATATACAATATGTAACAAAAGCACATAACATATAACATGCAATACAAATTGGAGGTTGCTTTTTTTGCTGCAGGTCATTTTGTAGCAGTGGAACCAGAAGTGGGACAAGCCGACAGTGTAGAAGCCAGGGGGGCGCGTGGGGTCCTGCTCAGCCCTCTTCTGGAGCTGGATGAGTGGAACTGTCTGCGGATGGTGTACCAGGTGAGCGTGGAGGGTAGTCTGGACGTGTACCTGCGCTCAGAGGGCCAGAGCTACGACCGGCCCCTGTGGAGTTCCAAGACCCCCTCCGAGAGCTGGCTCATCTCCAGCGTAGACCTGGGAAACACCACACTGCCCTTCAGGGTAAGAACACTCACCAGTCCAACAAGATTTATTTAGCCACATTAACAGGTTCTCCACATTCATTATTTTCACCACATTGACCACTTACAACTAATCAGTAAAAGATCAGTAATAAACATAAGTTCAAAGTAATGACAGATTATTACTCTTCAACATATTTGTATCCTTTCAACACATTAGTGCCTTTTTACCACAGCTAACCACTTTTGACACCTTGTATCAAATTTTGAACCCTGGACCTTCTTGCTGAGAAGCGAGAGTGCTAACCACTCAGCCACTGTGCCCTAAAAAAGAAAATCTAACCTTATCAGAGGTTTCCATCCCCCAGTTTTCAAAAATGCATCCATGACAGCTTGCATTCTTTTGTGGTAGTTGTGGATGAGGTTCTTTACCCTCTCTGATGGTAAAACTGCCCTTTCTTCCTGGAAAAATGAAATGTAAAGGAGCATCCAGTTCCTTTACATTCATCCATCCATCCATTTTCTTCGCCTTAATCCATTTCTGGGTCGGGGGGGTGGCAGTCAGAGCTGCACCGAATTCACAGAGCACCAGCCCCTCACTGAGTGAGTCCACAGGAGGATGGCTGCTGTCAGTGACACTGTAGCCTTAATTTTTCAGCAGGGGCTTCAGGCGAAGTGTGTCCTTGTGTCTCGCCCAAGGACACAACGACATAAGACAACAGTGGGAGTCAGTGGAGAAGGCCTCATGGTGGGCTCGAACCCACGACCTTCAGGCTCAAAGGCCAATGCTCTACCAACTGAGCCACCATTCAGTTCATTTTTGTAAAGCCCTAAATCACAACAGTAATTATCGCGGAGGATTTAACAAAACAATTGAATTCGCCGACTGAGAATCAAACAGTTCAAACACAAGAAAAGCGATGATAAAAATCACACAGAGCCATTGGTCCATAAGGGGCAAATGATCAATGTCCATAAATGTTGAAAAAGTCCATAAGTCCAGTGATAGTGCCCTCCTCCATTCTGCATTCCTGAGCCACCTTGTACTTTTTAAAACTAACCAGGGTGAATCAGTTTTGTTATAATTTAAACATTGAAAACCTGTTTATTTGGCAATAAAGTGCATCGTGCACCACTTACTATGAGTGCAAACAAAGGTTTTGTGTTATTGTTCGTGATCCCTGAAATATGACCAAAATATTTAAATCTTTGGCTGAGTGTGTAAACTTTCAACTTTCAAGCACAACTTTGTGTTGTATAAACATGCTTAAATACTGAAGCTGAAGTTATTTATGTTTTAAGTTAAATAAAGAAGCACTTTATGTCATCATACTAATTCACCCCTCTCAGCACTAGTGCTGGGGAAAAAATAGGTTAATGTTACGCAGGACTCTAAAATAAACGCAATAGTGACAGCAGTGTTTAGACAGACGCAGAGCAGTACTGGTCACACATATTATGTGCACCTACCCGAGGCCACTTGGAAACATCACTGCGGGGCCCCTAACTGCCTGTGTCAGAGAAGTATGTGAGTGGGTGTCTTCATAAGGGCAAGAGTGACCTGGAGGATGTAGAGCGAGGTTATGAGCTGGAAAAGGCCTGGTAATTAACTGACACTTCTCCTGGGAGCTGTAAGTGCATGAGACCTGGCTGTTGTTGAAGAGCTGTAGGAGGACCAGCTGAACGACAGATTTCCACTTTTTGAGCTGTAGATGTAAGCTTTGCAAAATGGATTGGGAGATAAAGTGCAGTTGGTTGCATTGGCAAATACAAATTTTATTCACAGATGGAAGGCGCAAGCAAAGATATACCAGTAGAGGGCGCGCACTTACCCCAGCAGAAATAAAGAAGATGGTGGCAGTCATGTGCCAATATTTTACAGTTTCAGAAAAAATATCAGTATTATCAAAAGTTTGGACACACCTCATTCAAAGAGTTTTCTTTATTTTCATGATCATGAAAATTGTAGATTCACACTGAATGCATCAAAACTATAATTAACTCATGTGGAATTTTGTACGTACGTAGTATGACACAACTGAAAATCTGTCTTATATTCTTGGTTCTTCAAAGTAGCACCTTTTACTCTGATTACTGCTTTGCACAGTCTTGGTATTCTCTTGATGAGCTTCAAGAGGTAGTGACCTGAAATGGTCTTCCAACAGTCCTGAAGGAGTTCCCAGAGATGCTTTGCACTTGTTGGCCCCTTCACTAAAATAAACAGCGTTATCTTACTGTATTGTCAAAAATGCATCATTTTACTTTTCCCGGGAAAGAGTTGATTTTTTAGAGTAACGCGATAAACTGAAATGTTTGTGTACTTGAAAACACAATAAATAAATAAACAAACATTGTTAGAAGATGTACAATGTTACAGAATATTATTAACAAGTGCTGCTGCTGGCTCATCCAAGATTCCCAACACACTGTTTGGAAAAACTACCAAACTAAATTCCTGATGGACAGGAAGCAGCAAGTGTGTCTGGGTTAGGGTGTCTGACACTCGGATTACTAACACAAGAGCTCCGCAGGGCTGTGTTCTTTCTCCCATGCTCTTCTCCCTGTACACCAACCAATGCACCTCCAGCCACAACTCTGAAGCTGATCAAGTTTGCAAACGACACTACCCTTACTGGACTCTCTGACAACGATGAGTATTGAGTAGCTTACAGGGAGGTGGACTGTGTCCTGTGGTAACTACCTGGAGCTGAACGCCCAGAAGACAGTGGAGATGATTGTGGACTTCAGGAAGAGCACAGTTCCCCCGCCCCCGCCCTCCCTGATGGACACCCCCATCGCCTCTGTGGAGTCCTTTTGTTTCCTGGGCACCACCATCACCCAGGACCTCAATTGGGAGGATGCTTGATGAGGGACCATCAGCTCATCATGAAGGCCCAGCAGAGGATGTACTTCCTGCGGCAGCTCAGGAAAGCCAAGCTGCCTGCACAGATGTTGGTGCAGTTCTACACGGCCATCATCTAGTCCATCCTCACCTCCTCCATCACCTTGTGGTTCGCTGGAGCCACTGTCAGGGACAAACAGAGACTACAGTGCATCGTGCGCTCTGTAGAGGAAGTGATCGGCCGCAGCCTCCCATTGTTTCAGGACCTCTGCGATGTCCGAGCTCGAGACCAGGCTGGTCGTTACACTGCTGACCCCTCTCACCCTGCACATGGACTATTCCAATTACTCCTCCAGGCAGAAGGTTCCTGGTAAATCCAGGAACAGTTTCTTCCACTTTACTGTCACATTACTACACTGCTAAACGTCTATTGTGTGTACTTAGGGCTCTTATATGTAGTTGTAATTTTTAATAAAAACCTGATATGTAGATTTTTTCTATTTTTTCTTTTATAACTTGTTGGACCGAGAGCCAACGCAATTTCCTAGTTTGTTCCTTAATCACAATGTCAGTTAATCTAATTGGTAGATTGTATGACCTTATTATGTATCAGACTGTTGGTTGTGGGCTTAATGAAATGGATTAAACCAAAATGGGTGTGATTGAGCCTATATTGGGCATAATAAATAGATTTTGGTAAAATACATAACCATTTGGGCTGGTGCTAAGTGTACTGGGTTCAGCTCTGACTGCCACCCCCCCGACCCAGAAATGGATTAAGGGGAAGGGGAATGGATGGATGGACATAACCATAGTACCTGTATTGTGTCAATCACTTTGACAAGTTGTAAAGTGCTAAGACATGCCAAGATGTTTCACCCACCTTAGTGGTGTTTAACAAGATTATGACCAATTATTTGGTTCTGTGAACTGTGCGTATTTTCAGGTGGTGATTGATGGTGTGGCAGGAAGTGCGGAGGGCAGCAGCGTGTCGCTGTTTGAGATCCACATCAGCTCTGGATACTGTCTGGGTCTGTGTCTCCTCTTGCGTGTAACATTCGGGACCCCAACATGGCTGCCATTTCAACCAAAGGGGCCATCGTTGTTTGTGCTGTTAGCCCTGCTCAGTTAAAACTGTGAGGTGGATTGGCAGTTGGGCACTATTCATCGGAGGTCGACCGATATGTTTTTTTCAGGGCCAAGACCAATATGAAAAGAATTGTCCACCAATACCAATATCAATATTGGTACATTTAATCGGCCGACCCCTCCAAGCATCTTCCCCATCTTGCCTTGCATTTGAAACACAAGGCAGAAGCATGTTATGTCCTCTTTAAAGCTCAAATCCCTAACATTTGTTACATAAAATATGTTGTTTGCCCTTATAGAAACAGTCTTCTTTGAAAAAATGTTGTCTTTCAATTAAATAATCCTTACTATTTGATATCACCACATAATTAACAGTCCAGGAGTGCTGTTGTAAGTTCCTGGACTCAAAACCCTAACCGTTATCCTATTTTTCTCCCTGAACCTGAACCTAGTCCTAACCCTAACCATTGCCAACTCTAGCTGTAACCTTAACCCTAACTCAATGAAACATTGATCCTAGGCCCACTTCTTTGGCTGTCAAGTTATTTGGTGACCTTGGACTGTGGATTATCATAAAATGCAAACTTTTTTCAAGTTATTTCAATCCCACGGCTTTTATAGTGATGCAGCTATGTGTATTTTTATTGTGATAGAGTTGGGCTGTTGTCAGAGCAGAGTTTATGGACTTATTATTTTGAATGATTCATGGAAGTTAACTTTAGGTGGTGCGCCTTATATATGGGTGTGTCTTATAGTCCAATAAGTACTCAACTTGGTGATATCAGATCATGCATTTGACTCTATGGTCTGAATTTCTGAGTTAGGATGGTCCTCTCTTTTTTACTTTTCCATCCGAAAAAGACACTGGCCAAAAATCATGCAAATGAAAACTTGTGATAGGATCAAACTTTTAATAATGTGGATTTTATTACATGCCTTATTTGTTGTGGTTGGAAAGTTACGTACCTTAGCTTTAAGAAGGCAAATGTTCCTGGACTAGTCTGATGTGGTCTTTTGTGCTAAGGCAGAATGCAGCTTTGAGCAGTCTCATCTGTGCGGCTACAGTAACCAGTGGAACGCCAACGTCAACTGGTACGTCGGAGGAGGAGTCGTGCAGCTGCTGGACAACGAGCTCAGGCCTGACCACGACCCTGACCACAGCACAGGTCACTCACTCATCAGCTTTACGTTTGTGGTCGAAAGTTTGTATCAAGGCAGACATTTGGATTAGCTTTTATGAACGTTAACCCCTATTTCTAATGACGACAGAGACTCATCTTCTGACCCTGATCAGAAGTTTCCATCCCCCAGTTCTCAATAGTGTGTATTATCCCTTCAACATCTGTGACAGCTTGGCACCTGCAAATTTGAGACCCCTCATTTGAAAATCTAATTTGACAATATATGGCTTCATACAACCACTAACAATAGGTGGGAAACAAGGTTTTTGTTATCATTCATATAGTCAATCATTACAGTAGATGTGTTAGAGAAAGTGCAGCATTATTTGTGTTGCATATAACCTTGAAATTGATTTAGTGCATGCGGGCAAGGGTTTGAAGTTATATTTCCAAAATTCACTCTGCCAAACATTTCAGTTTGCGACCACAGTTTTGTATCTCTTCCAAAACTGCTCACACACGCTTCATAGCCTGGTCTTACCATTCCATCGTATTCATTTCATTTCGTACTAAGGTATGGATTTGCTAAATTGAGCTCCATTAACAGGTGGAAGGGATTAACTCCTTTTACAGATTGAAGAGATTGGATCTGAGTTTGCCGTGAAGGATGTATTGTGCCCAAATCAAGCCCCAGTGATCCAAGATGGTGCCCTATTCAAATGAATTGTGCTCAGGTAGCGCACAGGATTTACACGGGGACTTTAAGACTAGCAGAACTCGCCCATACTTGGGCATCGTCTGGACCTCCCGGTTCTGCGCAAACTCTTGACAACACCAACACCTACCTTCAACACCTGTCTGAATGGTCGGATGGGATACCACTGAGGTAACCGCAGCCACTAGGATCCGACCCTAGACCAGTGGTTCTCAAAGTGTGGTACGGGGCTCCCTCTAGTGGTACACTGAAATAAATACAAAAGAAAAATCGTTTCTTTTTTTTTTTTTTATTTAACTAGGAAAGTCCCATTGAGATTAAGAACATCTTTTTCAAGGGAGTCCTGGACACAAAATTACATACAATTACAGATTATAAAACAGTCACATACAATTTCATAAAATTACAGATTATAAAACAAAGGAAGGTTTCTCACCCATCATCTGTACTTCTTAGCAAGTTTTCCCGACGTTTCGTCCTCAACCTGGGGACTTCTTCAGGGAATGAATTCTCGGACCGCGCGTTGGAGATTTATAACCTATGGGTGTGGTTAGCCACACCCTAATCCTGATACTAACTCATAAACAATCTCAGGTCTGCTTGATGTAGAAGGGAGCAGGTCTAACGACCCTGCTGAGGCTAACGACCCTAACTCATTAGCATGTCACTGACCTTGTCCCAAGTTAGGGCGTTGTTTTTAGGATGTCGTCATAGATGTGAGGCAAAACAAATCTTAACCTCTTTGCCTCGCATCTATGACGACGATGATGGGTGAGAAACCTTCCTTTGCTTTGACTAATCCCTGTATGACTGAGGGCTTACACAAAGATTATAAAACAGTTACATTTCAATGAGGATGTCTCAAGTTCTCTCAATCTGGATCTAAAAGCATTCAATGAAATAAGTTCAGATAATTTCCAGTCTTTTTGCAACATGTTCCATGTAGAAGAAGCAGCAAATACTAAAGCTTTTTACCCAGTTCTGTGATTTTTTGATCCAAACCAAATGATCATGTGAGTAAACGACAGATGTAAGAGGGCAGCAGACCAAGCCTTAGAAACAAAAGTGCACCAGTGTCCAAACCTTCTGTGGACAAAGATCCCACTCCAGAATATCATTCACAGTGAGTCAAGGCTTTGTAGTTCGTAATGAATTGAACATTTTAATTGAATCATTATTTAAGTACAGTTTGGTTTTTTCCCTATATTTAAGCACAGTCTTACTGTTGAAACTGTGTAAAATGTTACAATGGCTGACAATATTAAATACACCTCTTTAAGAATGAAACCTGCCTTGTTTTTGATGAATACTTAGGCCCACTATGCTACTGTGGTACTTAGTGTAAAAAGTTTGAAAACCACTGCCCTAGATGTGCATGTAGGGAAATGATAATTATACAGTTTACAGAAGTAGCCAGATTATTCCAAATATGGTCTATTACCACATAAAGTACCATCCATATTATTTCAATAGTGTCTTTTCCAAAATAAACTTGATGCATTACCATGCATCACTTGCAAAATACTAAGACAGAGAACTGAATATTTTTACGTAAAAAACTGAAAAAGGACTTATATAACAGAAATATATATAGATTTTTGATTATACATGTTAGTAGTAAATTATTCCCCATAGTTTTTACAATGAGCCCCTGGTTGACATTCTGAATGGTGGTATTTTTTCCAAATATTATTCAGCCATCATGTGTTGCTCTGGTCCAAAATCAGGAGCACTGCATCAGGGCAGTATAGAAAATTGCTTTGGATCTGAAATGTGGGTCACAGACCTGAGAATAAACTTGTTCCAACAATGGCAATCCATCATATAGAGCCCTATGTCCTCGATCTTAAATATTTAGTTTACAGTGATATACATTGAGTTAGTCGCACTGCACTTATAGATGGGAGCTCCCCGTTAGCATCGTCAATGTTGGGAATAGCACCAGGTTTCCAGATCAGCTTTTGAGTAGGTCCCGTTTCAAGGAAGCTGTCATTCTGGAACAGTCTTTGCTGGTGTCATGTCACTCGCGAAAAACATTTGCGAGTTTCATTGTGGAATTCAGACGCACGGATACGAAGCAGATCCCCGTGAACAACTTCATTCCCCATTATTCTCCGTCTTCGAGCCAAATACTGTCGTCACATATTTACACCAAAAAACAATTTTCTCCAAGTCTCATGAAGCTAACACAAAAAAGCACAGACGCGTATTTACTATCTATGGACCAGATGCTGGACTCGGAGAAAAGCTGCAAGCACTGATTCAGTTAATCCCGGCTGTCAATCACCTCTTGGCGACGGGCTTTTGACGTCATGGATTGGTGCACGTCACAATTTTAATCAAGTTGTTTTTGTTCCTCTCGAGAATGAAAGTTCTGTAACCAAAAAATCTATGGAAAAACTACTCTGGGCATGTGTATGAAAGCCAAAGAGCACTGTAATCATGTTTAAACCGGAGAAAAGTTAAAAAGCGTAACATGGCACCTTTAAATGCCAGGTGAGTGTGACTGACTAATTGCTGTTGCTGCAGGAACAGAGGGAGGACTAGCTTGTTCTCCTGTCTTCCAAATCTTTATATAAATAAAGATTACTTACTCACTTACTTCCAGGCTGAATTTCTGTTTTAGCTTCATGTGTCTGTGGGCAAAAGGCTAGGACTTACATTTGAAGACAGAGGCTACTCTGAGGCTTCCTGCAGGTCAGCTAAAGAAAGCAGGGCAAATGACCATAGTGCCCGCCAAGAGGACTCGCCCTCTACACCCTAACTCTCTACAGACTCTGGACAAGTGAGGCCGCTCTGAGGCTCAGTATGGACAAAGTGGGGACCATGGGATTCACACGGTCTGAGTCCCACACCGGATTCATACCCATGGTCTACAGTTGGACTCATCATTTGAACTCTGTTCAGGGGTCAACTCTTTGAAGATCTCTGCTCAAGTTTCCTGTTTCTGTCATTAACTTCAACAAATATCGTGTTTCAAGAAATTAGATATTTTTTCTGCAAATGTTTTTACAAAAAATATGTTACTGATTATAAAGCTTTTAGTTTTAAAAAAGGGGGATTATTTTAATACTCTGTGTCCAAACAAGTACTTTTGCCGCCTCTGGAACCTGTTGCATAAAAAAACACTGTCCACCTTAAATCCTTTCATAGCCTGGCCTTAGCCATCAATAAACTCTGGTCAATTATTATTTCTCTACATAAACTCAATAAAATGAGTGCAATAGTGTGGTAAGACCAGGCTAATCCTTTCACAAAGGGACCTATAGGCATGCCCTTTCTTCAGCATGAAATTGTGAACAGAGTGTTGATGCGTGGTCCTCTTTGTGCAGGACACTTCATGTATGTGGACTCCATTCACGCCAACACCTTTCAGGAGGTGGCTAAGCTGCTGTCACCCATGACCACAGCTCCCATGTCGGGCTGCTTGAGTTTCCAGTACCAGCGCAGTGAGGCTGGAGGAAACCTGTTCTCAGTGTACATGCGCGACCGGCTGGGACAATACCAGGAGCTGTGGAAGGCCACCCCAGAGAACCAGGCGCTCGGAGAGTGGCAATCTGTGCAAGTGGACCTGAAAGCCCCCTACTCTGTCCAGGTGAGCAGCAGAGGCAGGAGCAGGCTGATCTTTACAGACTACAGGCACGTGGGATTAAACAAATATATTGCATGAAGGACACATATCAAAATCATCATTTTACAACACGTAGAATATTTTTTTATTCATGTTATCATATCAAAATGTCTATATATGTCTTTTTAAACCAGTCACAAATCCTCATGTCCAGGACTGAGCCGTTCTCTGGTCTGAGTCCCGTTACAGGTCTGAGTCCGGGCCTGCAAGGGTCCAGGTTAGAGTTCTGTCTGGGTCTGGGCCCTGGTCTGAGTACAGGTGCTGCTCTAAATGCGGGTCCCGGTCTGGATTTGAGTCTGGCTCCTAGTCCTCATCTAGGTCCGGGTCCTGGTCTAAGCTTTCAATCTGACCCATATCGAGTCCCGATACAAATACTGTAAATACTATAAATCTTATAAGTTGCCAAAGTAATGAGATGAGTCACACCAATATGTTTTTCAGGAAAGTTTTTAGGAAGTTAAGACTTATTAATTAAAATATTGATTTTAAGAGATGAAACATTGACTTCAAAGACTAAAAGTATTAAAAGTATTAAATAGGTTACCATTTACAAAGTCCAAAGTCTCGCAGCTCGTTCACTCGAAGGGAATAAAACTCTGGAGTTGAGATTGAATGACATTGTTTGTCAGGCTTGAACTCTCTGACCCGGCTTGGATTTGCCCCTGTGTACGGAGGTCTGAGGGCGCCGCAATTCGGATTAATTGGATTTAATAGAATATCTGCCTGTTTTTGGTCTGCTACATTGCATACAATATTGTCCCCCTGAGGCGATGTGTTTTTCTCCTCCTGTGCCTTCTCTCCACTCTTATCTCACATTCCTTCGGCCAAGGCCATAATAACAAGGTCCCAATCTACAACAATTTCACACTATTCAGTCTCCAGCTTGGATCCCCTCCCCCCGCCTCCCTCTACCTATCCATCTTGCTCCCTCCCTCCCCCCACTCCTCACTGTGTTTCCGACTCACCCCCCTCCCTGACCCCGCCCCCCTCTGACAGCCACATTGGCCGGCTGTCGGAGGTGCTCATCCCGAGAAAAAAATCCGTGCTTTATACAAAGCACAATGTGTCTATCCAACTGTCTGTGAAACTGTGTGTTATTGCTCTCTGCTGTTTATTCTACTGTTTGTCGCATGGCGCCGTAAAGATGGCGCCGTGGCAAGAGCTCTGGTGTGTGTCGTCTTCTCTGTCTGGTGCACACCGGGGTAGTCTTGCACAGTTTTTCCAATGTGGTTTTACTGCAAATGGCAAATAAATGAATCTGAATCTGAATCTGAATCTGAATCTGAGATCCCACTCTAAAAGATCAATATAATAATAATAAGAATTATAGTCAGTTAATAATAAGTATTATAATTACAGTATAATAATTATTGACCCAATGAGAAAATAAAACCTAACAAAATAGGTTATAACACATGAAAAAGTATGTAAACATTGAATAGTTGAAACTCTACAAGAACCAAAGACAACTTTGAAGTCACTCAACCCAAGTTGTTTTAGACAAAGAATTGACTACAGTATGTAGTCCAAGAGCACACGCAAGGTATCCAGCCATTAAAACACAATTCAATTGTTTTGTGTATAGCCCTAATGTACAAAGTTTATTCACCAATACCAGATCAGTGATCAAACAGTTTGAACACTGGAATTGCTATAATATTGGCACATAGGGAGCAGGCAGAAAATGTTTCTTGAATGTCACTGCTGCTGTCCCACTGATGACTGCTGTCGTTGTGTCCTTGGGCAAGACACTTAACCCCACTTTGCCCAAAAAAGCCCCCACTGAAAGATCAAGGCTATGCTCACACTTAGAGCAGCCGTCCTCCTGTGGACTCACCACCTGCAGAGGGTCAGTGAGGGGCTGGTGCTATGAGACTTGGGTGGCATCTCTGACTGCCACCCCCCTGACCCAGAAATGGATTAAAGGGTAGAAAATGGATGGATGGATGGATGGATGAATGTCACTGCAAGTACATTAATGTTGTTTAATGTCTCGGATCATCACGGCTTTTCCCTCCTGCATCAGCGAGGAATGACTGTGGGGGAAAAAACTGTGAGAAAAATATTTGAGAAACATTGCATCAAATAATGCACATTTTTACCTAGTGTGCACATGCACACTAGGTAAAAATCTTCCAGCTCTGGTCCTGACCAAGCTGAGCATCAACATCTGGAGATGGGTTCCCGGGCGCTACTACGCTGACCACTGCTCCTTACGTAAGCCTTATTAGTGGCATCAGGATGGGTCAGATGCAGAGGATGAATTGCCCGGGGGTTAATAAAGTGCTCCTTTACCTTTTACATCCCAAAAGCCTGAAGTAGCGAGCTGGATTGAAAAAAAGTGCACCATTTGAAAAAATAAAAGACAAATCTGCACAGCTATGTTGCTCCCAAGTGTCTTTTATTTACATACCACGATAGTGACATTTCAGGTGAAGGCCCTTGATCAGACGTGTCTGATGATATGACACTGATTTTTATTTTTATAATATTCTGAAACAGTACTAAATCAGGTATTGACCAAGACTAAACTAGGACTTAATCCTGACGCACTAGGGCTAGGACTTGCACCAGAGCACTAAACCCTCCTGGTTTAGTGCTGAGATGGTGTTCTTGTTATTCGTGCTGTACCTGAAGTCTGCAGACTGGGTATAAAAATGCCGCTTCCTATCTGAATATTCCCATGTTGTAAACGTTAATTTCTAACCATTTTGTTCAGCCTTGATGCACTCAACTTTCTCCTTTGGAAGATTGTTCTTTACATAGGGTCTGTGTGTGTGTGTGTGTGTGTGTGTGTGTGTGTGTGTGTGTGTGTGTGTGTGTGTGTGTGTGTGTGTGTGTGTGTGTGTGTGTGTGTGTGTGTGTGTGTGTGTGTGTGCGTGGTGCAGGTGGTGTTCGAGGTGGCCTTCAACAGTCCCAGAGGAGGACGCGTGGCTGTGGACGATGTCTCCTACTCTCCACAGTTCTGCAACGCTGACACAGGTGACACTCTTTCATTCAACTCTAATTTTATCAAGCTATCAATCTAAATCTGTCATATTATAATATGAAATCATAACTGCCCTCATTAAAAATAAGAAACTGCTCTAAAACCATAAAAACCTAGTAAATCAAAGTACTGAAGACGAAGAAAGGGAGAGTCCAGAACTGGGGGTGTGATGGGAGATAGGTGACTCTTGATTTGGTTTGAAATAAAATTGATTCATAAGTTAAGATTCATCATATCAGGTTTTGAAAAAAGTATTAAAGGAGCTGTACCCTATTCTGCAAGGTTTTTTACAGTTTGGATGTTTTGCACCGCCCCCCAACTCACTCACAGGCTTCTCATTTGGAGAAATCCTCCTACTCTCATCTACGCTCTCCTCCCACGGAGCCATCTAGTTTTATTTGCGATCTGATACATATGCTAACGTTAGCATTAGCGCAACTTCTTGTAAGCTGTACAACAATCACTGATGAAATAGAACAAAAGCAACGCACTGCCAACAAATGATATAACTGAAAGGTTACCACTAGCTTCGCGTCCAAATTTAGTCCGAGCTGGTCCCGCTCCGGCTGGTCTCTCCAGAGGATACGACGTAAGCTAACGCTACGTATATTCACCCAGGCTTGATTTCTTCTTTGATCATTTTTTCGCATTAGTTCCCTCTTCTCTTCCAGACTGTTGTGTCGTATGGGCTGTTTTGCTGTGTATACAGTTACAGCCAGAGCAGGTATATAGGCACTTTCTGCTAACATGCTACTGTGTTTAGCAGCGCTGTAGACGCAAGAGGAGGCGTGGCCTGTTCGTGACAGCGCCGCTCCTTGCTTTATGAGTGGAGGAGAGCTAGCTAAGTTTCTACTCTGAACTTTTTACGGCCTGAATTCATACACAAGCTGAATCAATGAGTTTTCATTTTAATTACGGATTTTAATACAACTTGTATGAAGTTATACACAATTTTTATGAACTCATTTGAAATTAAATCAGGTATAGTTCCTTTAATGTTTGTATTCATTCATTGATTTACATTTATTCAACAGGGAAAAACTGCATTCAGACATATAGCTACATCAAAAGATGCATTCTAATCATACTTTCAATGGTCTTACTTTTTTAACTATGAAGGTTTACTAAACTAGACAATTCCATTTTCCACACCACTGCTGAGGTGTTCCCCGGTCAGCTGAGAGACATAGTCTTGGTCCCACCAGTGTGTCCTGTGTCTTCCCCAGGGTCAACTGGTCTCTTGATGTAGGGATGTAGTGGCTCTACTATGAGCTCATGTGGCTGAGCTATTTACCCTCTCTCTGTGGGAGTGGACAGCCACTCTGCAGAGGAAACTCATGTGGACTGTTAGTGTCTTTTCCTTTGGTGTATTCCAAAGGTCATGACCATAGGTGATGAAGGGAACTTACACCGAGCATATACTGACTACCACTTAGGTGTGAGCTGTACTTAGACTGGGTTTTGCTGCAGTTTGTGAGGTATACTGGCTCCGCTCTACTGCTGTCTGGTTTTTCCCAAAACCATGCAGGTTTACAGTGACAAATTTAAGGACAGCTGTCAATCAACAGGAGACAGGAACAGACTGCTGCGGAGTCAGGCAAAAATATTCCCCACATTACTGCTTGCAGCGCTTTGAGGTCAGTGTATGTCAGCTCATTGGTTTAAGCAGTCCTCAAAGAAACGTGCCCAAGTTGGGGTCAATGTACGTCACCTGAACATCCAGAGCAGTCCATCCAGACCTTTGAAGCTGTTCTCTCTTCACCACAATAGTCCGAGATGGCAATTGCTTCACTGCACTGTACTGATGATCAATCTCATGCTCTATCATTCCCTTCGGACATCGGGACCCAAAAGACTTAAACTGCTCCTCGAGTCTAGACCAATCTATGATTTTGAAAAGGCTCCATTCTATTGGATACCATATATAGTAACTTGAACAGGGCAACAGAGGTCTTTTGGTCTCCCCAAAAGACCAAAGGTCAATCAGCATATCAAACAGGTCACCAAATTGAATGTATCCTCAATGTAAGCACCCCACCTCTGTATCTTCCATTATAACAGATTTGCCCGTGGTGGGATGGACGGCACGGTGGCTGAGTGGATAGCACTCTCGCCTCTCAGCAAGAAGGTCCTGGGTTCGAATCCTGGCCGGACCAGGGCCTTTCTGAGTGGAGTTTGCATGTTCTCCCCGTGTCTGCGTAGGTTTCCTCCGGGTACTCCGGTTTCCCCTACCACTAAAAATATGTACAATAGGTCTGGCATGCGCCTCCTGTTCGGCGACCCCGCTCCCATCTCTGTGTGGAGTGAGAGGACAAGTGCCCAAAAAATAACAATTGTAAACCGCTTTGTGACTCTGGTCTGTGAAAGGCGGTATATAAATAAAGCTTACTTACTTACTTACTTACTTACTATGGACATAGATCTCATAAGATGTTAAGATTATTTGCAGATTCCCTGAGCAGCAGTTCCATGACAGTGAGTGTAACCCTTTCTGTATATGCAGAGCCTACCTTTGACCCGTCCCTGGGCAGCTGTGACTTTGAGGATGGGCTGTGTGCTTACACCCAGGGTCACGGCGCCCCCTGGAGAAGAATCTCTGTCAAGCCAAATATCTTCAAGAACGGAGACCACACCACAGGAAAAGGTATGAACACATGAACAAGCTATGACACAACTGTTTTCATTCACCAGTCTTGCATATAGCGACCCCTAATGATCAAAAGGAAACATTGCATTTGCGTCACTGGCCCCAGGAGGGGAAGTATGCTGGTCTCAGGGCTTTGTGACCCTTCTCAGACACATGCAGTTGGAGGGCTTTGACAGCAATTAACTTAACAGGGTTATAACAAAAATGACCAATGACTGAAATGACGTATTAACAGTCTAAATATATAAACCACTGAAATTTTATTTCTTCTACTAGATAATATTTATGTTTCACTGAATACATGAAACGAATGATTTATCTAATCATTTTTTGGTAATAATAAAGTTGTATTTTGAGCATGAAAAAATTGTGTCGCTATTTATCTCACTCAGTAAAAAAACGTTTACTTTTATCTAATTTGAGAGACTAATAACCATGTTAATATTAGAACTATGTATAAATCAGGACATTTGTTTTCAAGAAATTGCAAAAAGGTTAATGGGGATTTTTCATGTATTCTTGATGGAGAAATGTTTTTACACATAACATTGGCAGAATTGAAAACAGATGTTGCTGTCTGGCCTGGTGATAATCCCCAATGTTCCGGTGTTGGCACGAGCACTATGAATTCTTAGGTTTTTTCTGAAATGTTCTTTTTATGAGCCACATGGGCTCGTCCTTGTTTGAAGTGGAGCCATAAATAGGTCAGACGTCCTGAAAGAAGCACATGCAGGTTCAGAGAGTGCTCAGAGGTTTAGAAACACCACTGACAGACTGACGATTATGTGTCATTAGTATTTATGAACATATCCAAATGCCATGGACTATTATTATTGACTTCTTAGTTGTATTTCCACACAAACAATGAACGAAACCAATGTGTTCAAAGGCAGTAGGTCCGGCTTGGCGTACAATGGGTTTGTGGGATTTTGAAAAACATTCCTTTTGGTTCAATTTGAAAAACATTTTCTCTAGAGAAATATGTTCATCTTTGTTTTTCCCTTCAGAAAGTACATTGGAAATTCAGCAGTTTTTTGTTTTTTTTCTCACAACAGTGTCCAATTTTTACAGTTCAATATAATTACCTACATACAAAATGCTTTTTTGAAACTACCAAAAACAGAATCCATCAATTTTCTTTCTTGGGTCGCGGGGGCAGCAGTCTAAGCAGAGACGCCCAGACTTCCCTATCCACACACACTTCCTCCAGCTCGTCCGGGGGGACCCCAAGGGGTTCCCAGGCCAGCTGAGAGACATAGTCCCTCCAGCGTGTCCTGGGTCTTCCCCGGGGCCTCCTCCCGGTGGGACGTACCCGGAACACCTCCCCAGGGAAGCGTCCAGGAGGCATCCTCTCGACGTGGAGAAGCAGCGGCTCTACTCCGAGCTCCTCCTGTGTGACTGAGCTCCTCACCCTATCTCTAAGGGAAGTCAACGGGACAACATTAACATCATCAACAACAGAGATGCAATCCTGTGAGCCCCAAACCGGACTCCCCAGATCCACAAAACACATGTGGAAGGATTGGTAAGTACTCCCCAGATTCCATGAGTATCCGATGAAGAGAATTGAGCTGATCCCGTACGGTCAGGACAAAAAAATCAAACTTTTCCTCCTGAATCCGAGATTCCACTATGTGTCAAAGTCTCTTCTCCAGTACATGTGAGCAGACCTTACCACGGCGGCTGAGGAGTGTGATCGCACGATAATTGGAACACACCATCCGGCCCTCCTCCTTGGAACAACCACCTCAATCTGCCACTCCATTAGAACTTTCCCCATATACAAGCAAATATCCAATTGTATTCTATAAAAGTAATCATTTGTTCAAAACACCCATATAATGTAAACATGTAAAATCACATAAATACTCTAATATGCGAATCACAAGCTCTAAAAATAACCTCCATGAATAAAATATCCATGTTTTCCTCTTCTTCTCCTCGGTTCCTGTGTGCAGGCTCTTTCCTCCTGGCCCACTACCCGCTGGTACTGCGCTTTGGATACGTGAGCCGCCTGGAGGGGCCGCTTCTGCCCGCCAATACCAAGTTCTGCCTGCGCTTCTACTTTTCACTTCGAGGTAAGTGTTAGTATTAGATAAATATGCAAACATATTTGTAAATAGATTAGAAAGTACACAGTTTATATAGTCATTGTCACGTCACACATCGAAAGACATACGTGTCACAAAGAGACAGTCACATCATAGTCATAACATGGAGTCCTTGTAGAGTCCTGCACGTAGGCCATATTGCTATCTAATACTAACATAAGTTTATTTACACCAATGGCGGATGGTGATATTCATTTGGCCATTTATTTACATAATGCATATTCATTAATGTCAGCTAAAACTGTGAAAGCTTATGAAAAGGGAACAATGTTGCAGCATGTATCAAAGCTCAAACTTGTTACAAATCCTCGGACTATAGACCAGTGTGCTTTCAGTTAAACTATGCCATGTTTACTGCAAGATGGGGGTGTTCCATTTTGTATTCTTTAGGTATTGGTTCCCAGTAGTAGCCAGCTCTGTCCAATGCTCTTGGACATAAAAGCAAAAGACAAGACACAAAAATGCAATTAACAACAATATACTATACTAAAATAAAAAGAGAAATGTCATAGTGTGGTGTCTATCATGGTTCTCACTTAAAGAACCAACAAGAAAGGACAAACTATATGATTTACACTACAGATACAAATAATAATTAATATAAACAATATGAATAATTAATGAAAGATGTTGGAGAACCACAAAGAACCTGCTGTTTACCGTGCTGCTTCCTTTCCAACTGACAAGTGATCTTGTTCACCCCAAGTGTTCCATTCATTTCAATGAAATATTAAAGGTTTTGCCACGGTAAAGCAATGACAGATAGAGGTGTGTTGTAAGTGACTTTTTTGTTCACAATGTTACCAAATGTTGCCAACTGTACCAAATCTCTTTGAGCTTCTATTACCCACTCCCCTCTTAGGACATTCTAAATATACTTCTCCATCCATTCCTATTAGACAATGTCTGACTTTTTTTATACCAAGTTTCAACTTTCTATATGTAAATGTGGACCCCTCTCCCATACAGTAGGTCCCATGTAAAAATAATTTTAGGGGACGCTACAGAGTCATTATGCAACCCAGGTTCTTGTGGACATTTATTTGTTCACCTTGTGGCCTCAAATAAAAATTGGTAATTGCAATCTTCCCCCTTTTTAAAAAAAATATTGAGGGGACACTTTAGAGCCATAAGGATTACGGCCTTCTCTTGCTTGTTGCTCAGCTGACAATCCTGCGCCTGCCGCCGTTTATCTCCATTTAAATCCAACAAAGCATGTTGAAAAGATGATTTTTTTCTCAAATGTTTATATTTTGTTAAAAAGATCACCATGACAATAGCCATTGACATTTTTACAAAGGAACAACTTGTTTCAGACCTTTCTCTTCTGACCACGTTTAAAAAAATGAAAACCGTGCACACTAAAGTCGAACGTGTGAAAGGTGTGACATTATCGTTACCGGCTTGGAACGATAATGTTGAGGTGACACTACAGAGACCAGTCTTCAGATATATTTTTTTCTGGACTTCAGCCACGTGTGGAGCTCACTGAGTGCTATTTGGCAATACCAGACCCTTGCTAGTCAAATCTTGTATAATGTGATTTATAAAGTATACTTCGTTTTTTATATACGTTGATTTACTGTTACCACCTCCTATATGATTGATTTTATATTTTCTAATTTCTTTGATTCTGCCCCTTATACCCTCAGTATCAGTATACTTTATTCCTATTTTTTATGTGTACGGTTTGTGTTTTGTTTTATGATGTTATGATGTTCAGGTTTTAACCAATCGGAGCAGGCCTTAAGCGTGCACCTCCAGCACGGATCGGTCCAGGAGAAGATCTGGACCCAGGGGGAGAAGTCCAGGGCCATCTGGATCCAAGGAGACGTCAGCTTCACCACCAGCAGCCCTTCCAAGGTACATGTATGAGCCAAGCATTATATGTTGACTATGGTGTAATGGTGTATGGAAATGTAATGTGATTTGATACTCCAAGTTTAAAATGTCTATTTTCACCAAAGACTCTATATCAGTAGTGGGCTGACCTCCTCTTTAGTGTTTGATGAGGGAGCTGATGGTCGGCTCCCACTTGAGGTCCTGGGTGATGGTGGTGCCCAGGAAACGATAGGACTCCACAGAGGTGATGGGGGAGTCCATCACGGAGGGTGGGGGCGGGGGGACAGTGCTCTTCCTGAAGTCCACAATCATCTCCACTGTCTTCTGGGCGTTCAGCTCCAGGTTGTTACCACTGCACCAGGACACCAGCCGGTCCACCTCCCTCCTGTAGGCGGACTCATCGTTGTTGGAGATGAGTCCAATGAGGGTGGTGTCGTCCACGAACTTGATCAGCTTCACAGAGTCGTGGTTGGAGGTGCAGTGGTTGGTGTACAGGGAGAAGAGCAGGGGAGAAAGAACACAGCCCTGTGGGGCTCCTGTATTTATAATCCGAGGGTCCGAGACATTCTTCCCCAGACGCACTCGCTGCTTCCTGTCTGTCAGGAAGTCAGTGATCCACCTGCAGGTGGAATCGGGCACGTTGAGCTGGGAGAGCTTGTCCTGGAGCAGGGATGGCAGGATCGTGTCGAAGGCCGAGCTGAAGTCCACGAACAGGACCCTGGCGTAGGTCCCCGGGGAGTCCAGGTGCTTCAAGATGGAGTGGAGGGCCAGGTTAATGGCGCCGTCTACAGATCTGTTGGCTCTGTAGGCAAACTGCAGGGGGTCCAAGTGGGTGGAGGTGGAGGAGTTGAGATGAGAGATGACCAGGCGCTCAAATGACTTCATGACGACAGACGTCAGTGCTACAGGTCTGTCCAATTATCCTGGTCTTCTTTGGGACGGGGACAATGATGGAGGATTTGAAGCAGGCTGGGACGGGGCAAGACTCGAGAGAGGTGTTGAAAATGTCAGTGAAGACAGGAGTTAAGTCTGATGCCTTTCTAATGTTTGTGTGTGTGTGTGTGTGTGTGCGTGTGTCTGTGTGTGTTTTTCTGTGTGTGTGTGTGCGTGAGAGGTGCTGTTTGTGAGTGCGTGCAGGTCTCTGTGGGACTGTAGCTCCGTGGCTCTGGATGACATCACCCTGGACCTGGGACACTGTGAGCTGGGCACAGGTGACCTCCTCCCCCATCTGTTCACAGCTTTCACACTCAAAAATCACACAACACACAACTGGGACTGGGACTAATTAATTCAGCGCCGTCAACAATATGTTTTGTCTTTCTACTAAGGCTTGCTACAGACAAGGATTTTTAGCCCGCAAGTCCACAAGTTTGGGGAGGCATGGCCCAAGTAATGATTCTCATCTGTGACATTGTGTCGTAACAGTTGATGTGTCTGTGAGGTTGGTGGGGTCTGTCACAGACACAAAACCTGTGCCATGAGGCCACACTGCAAAATTGACAGACGTGATTCTTCTCCACACGGTGTCAAAAAAGTATTTTCCTGGTTCTACATATTGTAAATGTAATGTGTTTTTACAATATGTAGAACTAGGAAAATCATAAATGACTGACTAGAATCATATTCATACACAGACAAAAAAAACCTGTTCAACAACCCTCTGGAGGTTCTTAATTAATGAAGACTCTTAAGATGAGCTCTTGAAATAATCAATGATTCTGGCCCTGGAGTAGCCATGTTCCAGCTTCTTCCTTCGGGTAGAAGATATTGCTCTTGTTTTGCCAACAGCTTCTTTCCACAAGCTACTTTCAGTTTAAACAAAGCACTCAATTGATCTTGCATTTGTAAGTAAGTAAGTGGTAATTAATATTTATTTATATAGCGTCTTTTACAGAGAGCGCTTCACAATTGTGGGCATTTGTCCTCTCACTCCTCTCAGATGGGACCGGCATACAGGAGGCGCATGCCAGACCTATTGTACATGTTTTAGTGGTAGAGGATATGGAGCACAAGAGGGAAACCAACGCAGACAAGGGAGAACATGCAAACTCAACTTAGAAAAGCCCTGTTCCGACAGGACCTTCTTAATGAGAAGTGTGAAGGGCTGGGCGACATGGCAAAAAAGTAAAATCTCGATTTTATTTCCTGCTTTGGACGATTTTGATTTTAAATCTGTCTTTGTTGACTTTAATTTTCATTACATTTTCCTTAAAGTCACCGAAGACAGACTTTGCCCTTAAAAATATTGTTTGATCTTTCCGCTCAATATTCAAGTTTCAAAAAAATTTTTTATTTTGTATTATAAAAGTCTTGTACAGACTGTGCTGATATTGTAAGTATAATTCATGTGCTGCTGGAACTTTCACAATATCCTTCATTCGATTTCACAATTTTCACATTTTTTTTAAATTCGAATTTTACAAAAGCCGATTAATTGCCAAAATTCAATATATTGCCCAGCTCTACGTGAAGGAAGTGCGAGTACTATCCACTCAGCCACCGTGCTGCGCATTTTCTATTGAAGTTGTTTGTGTTGATTGATGATCGATTGTTGTATGTACTTGTCTGGTGCACACAGGGTACTTGCAAATGTATTCCAATGTGGTTTTGCTGCAAATGGCAAACAAAATGTCTCTGAATCTGTTAAACCAGTTTTATATTTACATTTCAATATTTCAAGCTTCTACAAGACATAAAAATACAAAAAATATAAAATTCCATTATTTTGGAGCATAATGTACTGTTCACAACAAGTATCTGTACTCAGCGCTTCAGAACGTTTGTGTGAAGCCGCAACTGTTCATGGACTGCATTTTGTGTGTAGTATGTGCTGACATTGTCCTGTGTCCCGGGACAGGCTTGCTATCGGTGCCGGCCCAGTGTGACTTTGAGTTGGGCTTTTGTGGATACACCCAGGACAAACACACAGATGACGCAAACTGGCACCGGAGGAGAGGCCCCACCCCCACCTCGTACACCGGACCTCGCGGAGACCACACCTCTGGACTGGGTAGCAGCGACACACACCTAAACATTCCTTTGATTTGAATGTATTTACACTTCTATTTCATGTTCAAAACTATAGCCGTTTTTGAGCTTAAAGGTCCCATATTACACATTTAAATGCCTTAAACATCCTTTTATAAATTTATCACTATCCTGCCCAAAGGAGTTTTTTCATTGATTCTCTCCAGCAGTTAGAGAGTGATCTTTCTCTCACATTCTAGAGAGGAAGCAAAACGCCCCGGTTAAATTTGTGACGTGGCATCAAGCTGGTATTTTACTTTCTTTGTTAATAATGTTTTTGTAATTATATTAAAACATGTCAGATTATGTAGGTGCTCAATTAAAGTCAACATTCAATACCCTTCATTAAAGTATGTTTCTACTTCTAGTCACATGTGCCAGGGCACTCGGTGGCATCTGTGGTATCAGAGGTTACTGTTGTCTGGCTCACAGGGTTTCTGGCATCTTGTGGGGCATTTGTCATCCTTTGTATGTATATGTACACATTTATTACTCAGCTCTGGTATGTGTTGTGTTTTTGACATCTGGACTGGACTCAGTTGTGGCAAATGCCATCTATGTGGTCTGTTTTCAGGCATCCGTCAGATTTTGTGGTGTTTTGCAACATCTGGTCTGGAAATTTTAGTGGGACCTTGTCTGGCATCAAAAGTTTATATTATACCTGTTCACTACTGTGTCCTATGAACAAGACATAAAAGGCTATCAAGTGAGAGTATGTTCACATGATGATGAATCTTCATTTGATGTGAGCATACAGTAATAACCCTCCTCCTCCACTCCATTTCTGCCTCACACTGCTCTGGTCACTTCTGTCTGCCTCACAGCTGGCATCTGTGCCGACATTGGTTGTTTCTTGTAACATGTGTTCTTCAGTATCTTTTGTAACACCAGGCCTTGAATCTGGTATTTTGTGATGCATCTGGTTTTCCATCTGGCCTTTTATGGCATCTGCTTTGACGTCTGTCATGTTTTGTGACACCAGGACTCGCTGATGTCATTTATGTAGTGTCTTTGCTGGCATCTGATTTAATGAAATATGGTTTGGTATTTGTCTGGGTCCTTGTCTGGTATCTCACACAGTTCTGGACACTTTGTGCTTCGTGGCATTTTATCTGAAATTCTATATGTTTTGTATTATCTGGTTTTCCCTCTGGCATATTGATGGCCTCTGAACTGGTATATGTATTGGATGATTTTTCTGCTGTTTGTCGTGAATGAGACAACAATGCATTGAAATGGGAGGAGGGACACATGAAATGTTCATTTGAGTATTTACCTGTATTTGGTGCGAACACATGGTATAACCCTTGTGGGAAAATGAATCACACAGAGACTGGATCATGGCGCACCAAAACTCTGGAAGTTTATTCTCAGTTCTTCCAGGGTTGTTTCAGTTGTCTCAGACAGAGCAAAGTTAAGACATAGTTTTATAGTCATTGTTACGTCACACATGGAAAGACATACAGTACGTGTCACATTCAGAGACAGTCGGAGCATATTATAGTCATAACATGAATACACAATCAGAGTCATTGTAGAATCTTGGGTTGTCCACCTGCGTAGCTATCTAATCCTCGTACCCTCCTCCACGCCGTCTCTCCACTGTCTGCACTCAGATGTTCCACACACTCGAAAATAACACACATGACTTTCACGGCACTTCATCACATGTACAGATACAAATGTACGCCACACCTGCATTGTATATTTTGTTTTTCTCAATCTCCCTTATATCCAAAAAAAAGCAATCTTGAAAAGTAATGTAATATAACCAAACAAAGAGAGAACATGGAGGAAAGAAATCTTGGAATCAAAGCTATATACCACATACATGTAAATCTATCAACACGCATTATGAAGTAACTTGGACACGCTGGGACACAGAAAGGACGGGCTCATTTTGTGGCATTTGCAACAGTTGTGCTGTGATTCCTGCATTGTGTATTTTGAGCTTGTGCAATTTTCAATGTTTTACTTCTTCTCCTTTTTATAAATGAGAAGAAGATCAAACTGGGATCCAACAATGCGCCACACAAACTAAATGACATCAAGTTTTGTGTTTTTTTTTTTTTTTTTTAAAGGGATCAAACGTGGATCCATATACATAAAACTCAGAAGCCCTGATCCAATTGACTGTGTTATAACTATAGGTTTAAAAAAGATCCTGAACTGACTGTTTGATATACGACACACAACTTATTTTGTCATACAACCAACTTGTAACCAAATACCAGGCTATGTGAAAGGTGAATTAACTTTTATTAGTCATTTGGTGAGATCATATTTCAATTCATTAACCCAGCTCTGACTGCTCTCTGTCCGCATGTACAAACTCACAGGCCCCTGACCTGTTCCCCGCTGTTGTCTTCAGGATACTACGTGCACCTGGAGGCGTCCCCAATGCTCCCCGGACAGAGCGCACGTATTCGGTCTCCGTCCCTGCGGGGCTCCCGGGGCCCCCGGGGCCCTCAGTGCCTCCTCTTCTACTACCACATGTACGGCTCGGGCACAGGACAGCTGCGCGTGCACGTGGACGAGGGCGGGGACATGCGCACAGTGTGGAAACAAGAGGGCGAGCGCGGCTTGGGCTGGCTGCGTGCCCAAGTGCAGTACAGCAGCGACAGGCAGCATCAGGTAATCAGGAGATGAAGACATGAGTTGTATCTTTTGTTCAGATGAAAGATACATCTATTGACACGGAAAATGAAAAATAAAGCTATTCACAATGCAGATAACTATTCAATTAAATTAAATGTATTTCTACATAGCCCTAAATCATAACAGTTGGAATTCGCCTACACAGATCAGAGAATCAAACAGGAAATGCAATAATAAAAAATAAAAACATTTGGTCCATAAGAGGCAGATGACCAATGTCCATATATGTTAAGTCCTTAAATGACATTGAAAACTATTCACAATTCATAGGAAACCTAGAACTACTCACAAATAATTCATGTGAATCATATGTCACGTCTATCACATCAGAACCAGGCCTTTATACAGAGGTAATAATGCAACTTATTAATTTTACTTCACGTCGAAGGCAGCAGCAGCATAGTCACGGTGCAGCAAATAGGGCTAGTGCTAAAATGACCTGCATGACATAAGACTATATTGTTTTTTTGTTGATACACCAGTTCTTCATGCACATTCCGATGATAAAGAAATGTGACTGTGGATTTATTAGCACAAAAAAAATATGGGAAGTGTGGAGTGCTGAAACTAAGAATTATTTTAGTGGTTGAAAACAAGTGCTGAATGTAGTTCTGTGTGTAATTTTTTTTTAAAGTATTCTTAAGGATTCTTATATGAATTTAATCTTCGTTTCAGCCCAAGAAATGGGCAATTTGTCTTTCAGCAGAATTGATGTATAATTGATGTATAAGAACACTGACGCAGGCAAAGTCTCAATCTTAATCCTGTTAGATCTGAGTGCTGCCTTTGACACTGTCGAACATGAGATCCTCTTACAGAGACTAGAGGACTGGGTTGGCATCGCTGGCACCGCCCTAAGTTGGTTTAGGTCTTACCTTGAAGACAGGAAGTACTTTGTGGAGATTGGAAACTGTGTCTCAGATCATATGGCCCTGACCTGTGGAGTCCCACAGGGGTCGATCCTGGGACCTCTTCTGTTCAATCTCTACATGCTGCCGTTAGGTCAGTTAATACGCAGAAACAAAGTGTCCTATCACAACTATGCAGACGACACTCAGATCTATGTCTCACTGACTGCAGGAGAACATGGACCAGTGGACTCACTCCTTCACTGTATCCAACAGATCAGTGAGTGGATGCAAAACAACTTCCTTCAGCTAAACGCAGACAAAACTGAAATGATTGTCTTTGGTCCCCAGAAACAAAGAGAGAGCGTCATCTGTCACCTACAGTCTCTCTCCCTAAAACCTTCAAACAAGGTCAGAAATCTAGGGGTAATACTGGACTCAGACTTAAATTTTAATAGCCACATCAAATCAGTAACATCAGCAGCTTTTTACCATCTAAAAAACATTGCCAGGATCAAAAACATAGTGTCTAAAGCAGACTTGGAGATTCTTATCCATGCATTTGTCTCCAGTAGGTTAGACTACTGCAATGGCCAGCTCACAGGTCTGTCCAAACAGGCTGTAAAACAGCTGCAGTACATTCAAAATGCAGCAGCTCGAGTCCTGACTAGAACCAGGAAGTACGACCACATTAGTCAAGTTCTCAGGTCTCTGCACTGGCTTCCTGTGGCTCAGAGAATAGACTTTAAAACAGTTCTGCTTGTGTACAATTCTCTCCATGGCCTCGCACCAAAATATATTAGTGACATGTTAGTCCCATATGAACCAGCCCGGACTCTGAGGAGCACAGGGACTGGACTCCTGTTAGTGCTCAGAGTCAGAACTAAACATGGGGGGGCTGCTTTTCAGATTCATGCTGCTAAAATCTGGAACAATCTTCCTGAAGATGTGAGACAGGCCTCCTCTCTGACAATGTTTAAAACCAGGTTAAAAACGGTGCTGTTTAGCTGTGCATACAACTGAGGGATTTTATGTTTTTATCTTTCTTTTTAATGTTCTGTGATAATTTATGATTTTAATGCTTTCTTGTTTTGTTCAGCACTTTGAATTGCCTTGTGTATGAATTGTGCTATATAAATAAACTTGCCTTGCCTTGCCTTGCCTTGCCTTGCCTTGCCTTGCCTTGCCTTGCCTTGCCTTGCCTAAGTTAAACACCATAGAACTGGGGTCTCCAACCTGTGGCTCGGGAGCTACCAGTTGCTCGCCACCTCCTTTCAGGTAGCTCCCCGAGGGATTCAAGAATTTAACACATGATCCTGAATCAATGCATATCTATTTTAAGTATAAATCTTATCATTAATGCATTAATACTGTACAGTTTAATGTTATAATATGCATGTGTGTTCTCCATGATTGAAGGTAGTTAAAATGGATACGAAAATGTCATAGTTTCACAGAAGTAGCTCTCCAATTGAAATGGGTTGGAGACCCCTGACATAGAACAATGGGGCCACTTGTGTCAATGGTTTGACAGCTCATGATTGTGTAATATTTGTATGGCTGCTGTGTATGTGTGTGTGTATCTGCAGATCGTGTTTGAAGCCACAAGAGGCTCCTCGGTCCGCAGTGACATCGCCATCGATGACATCAGGCTGGAGAGCGTCCCCTGCCCAGGTACTCCCACTTTCAGTGACTTTTCATTGGTGTGGTCATCTCACGAGGCTGTCCTGTGTGAATGTGGGAGATGTGAAAGACAAGTACAACAGGCTCCTCCTACCTTGTATTACGCTATTGTATTTACATCTACACCGACACCATTTTAATCTGATTGATAAAGACTTATGTGAACTTGTGCGCGCCACTGGAAGTGTGAAAACCCATTCCATTCTGTCAATCAGATTGGAATGAGACATCAGGCAATGATGCATTTAAGTATAACATGGTACAGGGTACTCACTCATGTAGTGTGGTACAGATACATCACTGGATGCATGTGATTTGTGGTTTTGTTCTGTCACGCAAGGAATTAACAGTGCTCTTAATAAATGGCAGTGCGTATTACAAACAAGTTATTATGATTACAATTCAATTTTTGTTGCCAGCATATTCCGGCCTGTGTAGTGTCATGTGTCCTAAGCACTGATTACTGATGCAAACCACCAGCTGGTTTGGCTAGAAAGATTACAAACATGTGACAACAAGTTTTTTGTTTTGTTGTAGTTTTTTAAATGATTATTATCTGGGAACACCTATAACATTTGTTGATGTAACTTCACATCCCTTTTATCTTATCCCACTACGGAAAGTCATAAATTATGTAATAGACATGGGTTTCCAGAAGACACTTTTAAAAAGGTGAAGTAGCGCTTGGTTGTTGTTGTTAACTGAATCAATACTTTGTGATTTACACTAAATACTTCAAAGGTCATTAAAAAATAAATAGCTCAACTATAAATTAAATTAATAAAAGTAGATATCAAGTCTGGAGTGTGGCCAAAACAGTTTGTTCTCAGCTCCAGAATAGCGCCAGAATATGATCAGCACTAATATATATTTATACAGCACAACATTTAAATAACTAATACACCTACTGTATTTTCTATTCTATGTTATTCTAATTCTGCTGTTTTTCTCAGCAGTGGAAGACCTGGACGTCACAGGAGGAAGTTCCAACGAGATCGAGTGAAGTGGAGTTTGACACAAAGAAAGAGGGACGGTGTACTTTAGCACGGACTGGAGAAACTATTACAACCTGCCACAAACTGGGGCCTAATCTACATTTAATTTGGTTTTATATCACAACCAGTGGCAGCTAACTAAGCATGTTCAAGGCAACATCATATGCAAAAGCAGACCACGTTCAGCATCATCAGCCCTGCAGACGATCAGTAATGGGACACAAACCTGTACAAAAACATTCCTCCACCTCACGTTTAATCTCCAAATTAGTTTCTCTTGTGACATCACATTTGCCAGTGCGTGCCTTGAATATGATCGCTCTATGTTCAATGTCATTAGAAAAAAGTAGAATGCCATTTCCTCCTGCTGCTGTATATTCCTCATCCTGACCAATTACACATTTTAATCCATATATTATTACATTATTCAACATTTAAAATAGGAAACCACAAAATATATGTTCACGTTTATGGAAGTAAAAACATATATCAACGGAACAATACTGGACAAAATCTGGAGAGGACTCAGGCCAAAATGGCTACAGAACAACCTGTAATGTGCTGGTTCTATTTGTTTGTAGACATGAAGACACCAATCATGTTAAATGTGGAGTTTGAAAGCTGCAGTGGGCCCTCGGTGCATGGCAGCAGCCTCGCTCTTTATATGCATTAGATTAATGCCCCCGCTCAAATAAAAAACATGTGACAGAAATGACCGTGTTGGAGAATTGCTTTTCATCTTTTCAATCTAAGTGAATGACGTCATAGTAAACTCACAATGATGTGATGTCCGCAGATGTGAGAGAAACGCACAATCAGGTGCCTTCTAAGGCTGAAAGCTAAAGTCAAACCATGAACCTACACCGAGTATCCATCCTCCTGTCCACAAAGTACTTTACAGATTAAACAATCCCACATATATAGATTGTAAAGTCAATTATCCAGCAAAGAGTGCAACAAACACTGAAACAGATGTGCTATATGTTGACAGAAGTCTAAACTTAGCTTAGACATGATTAACACTATATAGTGCTACTTAAAGCTGGAGTGCCCAAGTTTGTATACGGTAATCTACCCCTACACCAGAGCAACATACTGTGGACTACTTGCTGTCTTCTATTCTTACTAGAAAAAAAACTTTTTTATGTAAGTGATGTTTATTTATAAAGCGCATGTTATAGACCAAGGTCACCCAAAGTGCTTTACAATGTTCAGAGTTCAAATTCTGTTGCATTCACTCCTCACACGGTGATGACAGAAATGAGTCGCCGAACACACTGGACCACAGCCTCCAACCAACACCATCCATTCACTCACGTTTTAGTGATAGGGGAAACCGGATCACCCAGTGGAAACAGGGAGAACATGAAAACTCCACTCAGAAAGGCCCTGTTCCTGCTGGGATTCTAACCCAGGACCTTCTTGCTGAGAAACGAGAATGCTATCCACTCAGCTACCATTTATGGGGTGACAGTGGCTCAGTTGGTAGAGCATTGACTTTTGGGCCTGAAGGTCATGGGTCTGATCCCGTCACGAGACCTACTCCAACTGCTCCCACTAAGGTCTGTTGTCGTTGTGTTCTTGGGCAAGACAGTTAACTCCAAGTTGCCTGTAGCCCCCGCTGAAACACCAAGGCTGTGTCACTGCAGCAGCCATCTTCCCATGGACTCATCACCTGCAGGAGGATCGGCGAGGGAAATGTGCTATGAGCATTGGGTGGCAGCTCTGATTGCCTCCCCCCACGACCCCGGACTGGACTAGAAAATGAATGCGAGAATGTTCTTTATGCATAATTGTATAAAGAACATTGAAAGAGTCACAACATGAGAGTTACATTGTTAAATGAAACAAGTGAAGAACCCAATAGAAATCCTTTTATTAAAACATATTCACACACTGTACAGAGTAAAACAAAGTGAGACGGTTTTATTTGGTCCATTTGCCCATGTTGCAGGTCATCAGGAGACACTCCTTTTTGTCAAATGTTTATATATGCCCTGTTAAATGATGGGACTTCCCTCCTTCAAAGTTCTAAGATGGCTAGATTCAGGGAGAGGGCTGAGATGTGTAGTCTGTGCTCACATGATGCAGGTGCCATCGTGCAGGTTCTTGAGGGAGTGCATTTGCTGAGTTAGCTGGAGCACGTCTTGGAAGCCGCTGCTCAGTCCGGCCATGTGCTGGAAGTACGCCTCTTTCTCCACCTGCACCGACAGGTTGTTCACACCAGCGTCCTTCAGAGCAGACGTCACCTGACCAAGACAAGCACTCAGCTTTACATGCAGTAATGGTATGGTACACTCCCCAAAATAATCAAGTAAATGCTTTTGTCCAAATGCCTCTATTCACTCATTATATGTATCTTAAATGTTCACAATTCATTCTAAAGTTTATCGTCTGTAAGCTCCTCCTGCCTCTCCCGTTGTCCCTCGCTCCAGTCCTTCTGATTTTTATACTCAAAGTTATGGAAAGTCAACAACCGTTTTTTTCACGGTATGAGACAATACAGTTCTGCCGATTGCGGAAATAAATGCGCACCAGTTGAGATGCGAGTAATGTATTAAGGATTTTGATTTAAAACACACCATTATTGTCAAATTTAACGGTTGGATTATGGGTGCAATCAATGGTAAATTAAGACTGTGTCGCTCTGCTCTCTGCACCTGAAACAGTTTCCATAGATTTTACTCAGATGACATCAGCACAAGCTTTGTTAATATAAACCTTTGTCACATATTGCTTCTATTCGATCTTTATTTTTATATTTGTTTTTCCCGCTCAGATCGATTTCACCTGCTAAAGTTGTAGTTCCAAATCACATTTTGCATTATTGACATTAAAATTACTCAATTGCAGTTTATTCTACATGATATCCTCATATCAAGCGGTGTTATCCAAGAGTGAGAAGCCTTGTTTAAGGTTGATGCCCCACATTTATGCCTGAATGTGGGCCTGAACAGACCTGCTGAATGACACGCTGCTCCACCACATCGGGCAGGACCTGCAGGTGGATGGTCCCGGCCATGACGGTGGCAGAGTGCCTCCAGAAGTGTGCGTCTCTGTAGGAGATCACCCCCTCCATCTTCTCAATCTGAGGACGAGAGACGCCATAACATGTCACAACAGAATCTGTCTTCTCGAACTACAGAGTGTACTGGACCATAAAATGTACATATAACATAGACCAGAGATGGACCATAGACTGGACATAGATGAAAAATGCAAACCTGAAGCTCAATAGGAAGGTGCTTATTGGCCTTTCTCACCCCAAGCTCCCTCTGTCCAGGTGACTAACAATCGCAAAGTGACTGCCCTTTGGCTACACACTTAGACCAAGTATATACCTGCAAAAGGATCTGAATAATGTCCCCAAAAGGTTAATATTCTATTCATCCCAGAAGGGGAAAACGGGCTGCAGGATTTCATTTCAAACAAGCAGAAGCACACCAGGCTCGACCCATTTCCTCAAGGAAGACTTAACCTGAAGACCTGAGGAAATGGGTATAGTGTGGTGTTCTCCTGCTCAGGTTGGAATTAAATCCTTTAGCGACTTTGGCCCTTTCTGGAACCAGTTTGACACGCCTGATATAAATAGTAAAATTTAAACAATACAGACGACCCAGGATTAATACTATACTTAATACGATACTTGGTATTAGCTCTCAGCCCATCGATTTGCTCTTTACTGACTGGCCTCTCAGGAACAAGGAGTAGCGGTACTAATGTTAGTGTAGCTATGCTATGATTGGGGCCTTACTACGCCTTGTTTGACACTACAGCCTCCAACACTGGTCATAACACTGGAGCTTGTATCCTGATTGAACTGCAGCTCCAGAAAGATCTCCTGTATTTTGCCGCCATCATGTCCTCGATCTGCTTCTCGCTGCGGCTTTCACAACGGTCATGGTCCAAACAACGCCACTGTTTATGCGCACACATTGACCAGAGCCAGTTCGAGTCAACATGATGGCCTACCCCTACACTCCATCCAGCCAGGACTTAGCCAAGGCAGCCCTGAAAAAACTCAAGGGGCATCTGTGGTATCTCTCAGACGAGCTTGTCGTTCTGGCAAGTTTGTAGTCAGCACGGTGACGGAAAGTAAGCATGATAATCAAGAATAGAAGAATCTCTACACAAGCGCTATACAAAACAGTCGGCACAACCTCCCAACCACACAAACACTTCTTCACCCTTACAATTCCATTCTTATCTCTCACAACTCTTTACACTGCACCATGCCACCCTCAGATACTCTATGTGCAACCTTTCATACACAATCCATCTGCACACGCATTTGACCATCTAATACTTTAACACATTCACTTCTTCTAGGTTCTGCCCATTCAAGCAAACATACATACCACACACTCATCACTTTAATCTTCCGAACATTCACATTCAACTTCCTCCTTGTTCGTACACACTCACTCACTGACATCCGCAATTTCTCCTGAGTCAGCCACCAACACCCGGTGTTTCACACTGGATGAAAAGCATCCAGGTGGTCAGATCTGCTGGAAAAGGTGTTCATTGATTGGTTTGCACCTCATCCCAGGAGAATGACGCAGTTATAGCATTATAAGTGCTATACGATATATAATACTTTAAGTTTAAATACCATGGGATTTTGGATAGTGTGAGGATTCCTGTCCAAAGTGTTTCTATTGTTCCAGAGAACATGGGAAGAGGAAAGATCATGGAAAGAAAGTAAATTGGGGTAGAGATACTCTGAAGCTGTAAAAGTTGTGAAAAGTGAGAGGCATAATGACCTAAGAAAAACAGAGAGCGCAAACAAACCAAAATGGAGGTGTTGGTGGAGAAGAAATTTAATTTATAGTTGTGCTAAACTGTGCATTGGAAACGCAGTATAGAGTGGAACGTGTTAGGATGATAGTGGATGCTGCTTAATGTGGAGAGGAGTTGAACATATTGTAAACTGTATGGGATGTACAGGAGAGTATATAATAGTTATTTTAAGAAATGTGTAGATTTGTTCATTTTTATGCCTTATTCTATTTTTTATTGTTAACTTTGGCTCTCTCCTTGGCTGCTAACAAGTTATTTCCTAGTTTGTGACTTCCTGTCAATCACAATCAAAACAATTCTGTTTCTGAATTGTAGGGGAGCAACACTTTGTTTTTCTTATATGCTTCTTCGTACAGTGCTCTTAGAACAAACTCACCTAACCTAAGACTACCTGGATATTGGCTGGACAAAAGGCAGCATTAAGCCAAGAGGGGCAGAGATGGCTGAAAACCTCGAGAAGAAGGACGCCCAATGTTGTTTTCCTCCAAAATGCTCAGGCTCCAATTCACTTACATGGAAATTAAACTCCTCCAACTCAGTAACTCTTTGCTTTAGTCTGGATTCAGCTCTGGTCCCACAAAAATCATAGTTATTTCATGGACCATAGTAAGTGTATGAAAGAAACATGTGGGCATTTTTTTAACCAGCTTGTAACATTGTTTCACATCAAAAACAGACTTGGAGTTGTCCCCCCACACTTTTGTCCTAATGTTCCAGTCAAAAATTCATAACGCTTAGACAAATAGTTACAAGATGACATTTTTAAATTTTAGAGCAAAAGTATTTCCTTTATATCTGATGATACTTTGGACGAGGCTCTCTCACCTTCTCCAGGGCCGTGGTGAGATCTTTCTCGTGCTCGTTGGGAACCCGCAGCAGCAGCACTTGGCAGGCGTCTTTGAGCAGAGGCAGGACACTGAGGAAGATGAGTGTGGCGATGAAGAGCGAGCAGATGGGGTCTGCGATGAGCCAACCAAATTGTCGGATCAGCACTGTGGAGATGATGACGCCCACACTGCCAAGGGTGTCGGCCAGCACGTGGAGGAACACCCCTGCAGCACATACACGGTTTTAGATACAGACCACGTGGGAGTTTCAGAGATTCAAGATTCAGTTTATAACACAGTGAGGTGGTTCATCACACATTACAGAGTTGGGGCATTACTTTGCGAAAAAAGGACTCCCGCGACTGTACACTACGGAGGCAGCGGCTGAATGGGAACAAATTACTTACTATTAATGCAATCAGGGTTTTTTGTAACTTAAATGTTGCAGAACCACTTTATTACAAAAAACGGCTCAACCCAATGTGTCTAGGAACAAAGAGCAAGCAATATGTATAATTTTATAAAAATCAGGAAATTAAAACAAATGTGACAGAAGCACGTGGTTCCTACTTGAACTGACTCCTCTTTGAGGTTCAATAAAAAAAAGACTTGGCTGGTTTTTTTTCTTTTTGGCAGATTTTTTGGAGTGTTATTTATCCTGTAATAATATTGTTATATATAGTATATCAAGTATATTGAAAAAAAAAAAATCAAGATTTTTGTTTCTCCATTTTGCCTGGGTAATCCCCGACCCAGCCACGAATAGTCTTCAATGCCCTCGCAGATGGAAAGAGGTTTCTCAAAATATGCTTAAAGACATATGCATGTCCAGACTGTTCCTAGTTCCCCTTACACAGCCATTTTAGGGTTCCCTAGAGAGCCAGCGCATTTTTAATCTGTACAATTGGAGGTTTGGGCGTTTACGTCTGTGGTGGCCAGACGCCATCTCCTCTTTCTTTGGAAATCCATGACTGTGCAATCCAAAACACTCAGGAGTAAAGTGATAGTATGTAACTCTAAATTAATTACACATTTTAAGAATTGTATTAAATTGACCTCCTGGCCTTAAATGATAATAAAAAATAAGTCATTTTATTAATTCTAATATTACGGGTAAGTCCTGCCTTCCCTTCTCTTAGACTCCACGATGCCGTCGAAGTTAACCAATCGAGTCATGCCAAGGGCTGTCAATCATCGGCGCTGATGCTCGTAGCTGCTCATGCTCAGTTGTTTGTTTTCGCGGAGCCTCCGAATCAAGCCTCTATTAGGCTCCGGAACTTCATGAAAACTGACAAAGCATGTGAGTGGCCCCACCCACAGCAGAGGGCACACTCTAGACCTGTTGGTTACAAAGGGGGTGAACATTTCTAATGTAAACGTGGTCGATGTTGCGCTTTCGGATCATTTTTGTGTATTTTTTGACATGTGTTTCACTAACAAACCACCAGTGGACTCTGCAACTGTACGAAGAAGACACATAAATGAAAATACGGGTGAACTATTTATGGGAATGATAAACTTTGAGAATGCATCGTATTCTACTGTAGATGAACTGTTTAACTCTGTCACCTCTAGTGTTTTGAATGTTCTGGACACCATCGCTCCTGTGAAGGTTAAAATAGTGAAAAATAAGCAGAAGGCGCCGTGGGCTAAAGCAGACTCTGTCAGGGCACAAAAGAGAGAGTGCCGGAGGGCCGAGCGGAAGTGGCGCAAGACCAACCTCCAGGTTGATTACAAGATCTTCAAAGATAAGTTGTGCGAGTTTAACCGGGTGCTACGTAGTACGAGAGAAAGGTATTTTTCTGAAATGATTGAAGGCTGCAGCAACAATCTGCGTGTTCTGTTTTCAACAGTTAATAGATTAACAAACCCCCCTGTTCAGATGCCATTAGAGCTTACTTCCAAACGTAAATGTAATGAGTTTGCACATTTTTTCCATGACAAGGTTCATGGCATCAAAAACGCCATTGTCTCCAACCCACAGATAACAATCCAACAGCCAGAAAGGCTCTTTGAGCTAACTTACTTTGCACCTGTAAATGATCAAACTGTCCAAGAGATAATCTCCAGTTTGAGCTCCTCCACATGCAGCCTGGATGTACTACCCACTAGATTTCTACAGTCTGTTCTGAGCAGTCTGTTACCTTCACTCACATGGAAGGCATATTCCATCCATCCAATTATGTAACATAACATAACATAATTAATGAAAAACAACACAAAGTGCAACATAAGAAGGCACTTTATGAGGATATTTACCCTCATATATTACACCACCTTCCTGATTCTCCCGAGGAGGCGCTCCATTCTGGGCCCAGCCTCATTCACTGCATTTATTTAATTTTTGGCATTATAATTTGTGACTGGGATATTAGTACTGGGTCTTTGTCTTCCATTCCTCCGCTGCTGTGTCAGAACCTGCGCTGTGTGACTGTGTGACTGTCGTAGAGGGGGCGTGTCTGCAGCGCCAGACTTTTCATCTCCCAGTCTGCGGTGATGAAGTGAGCGGTTCCGCTCATGGATCTATTATAGGTTCCGCGGGACGTCCAAGCGTCAGTCGTGAGCGCAGCTGAGGATGCGCGGGAGAGTTGACTTTAGCCCGGTCTGACTGTGCGTAAAGGAGTTGCTTAAATGCCGCGACAATAAGCGGTCGTTGAGACGCTTTTTTCACTCATGTCTTTCTTGTACCACAGTGCTTACACATCGTGACAGTTTTGTCGAATATTAATTATCAGTGTAGTTACAGTGAAGCCAAAATGCTCTCATACTGGGGATTTAAATGACGCAGGGCTTTCAAGCATCTCCGTTCCTCCGCTCGCAATGACCGCGCTGTGTGTGGACTGAACAACGTGCGCACAACTTGTTTTTCATAAATCAAACCGCGGATCACGTCTGTACCGAACCGAAGACGTTGAACCGAACGGATCAGTGATGAACCGTTGCACCTCTACTATTTACCAACAGCTAAATAGATTTCTTATAATCAACAACTCATTTGATATGTTTCAGTCCGGCTTTAGACCCCACCACAGCACTGAGACTGCTCTCGTCAAGGTTACAAATGATATCCGGCTAAACACTGACGCAGGCAAAGTCTCAATCCTAATCCTGTTAGATCTGAGTGCTGCCTTTGACACTGTCGACCATGAGATCCTCTTACAGAGACTAGAGGACTGGGTTGGCGTCGCTGGCACCGCCCTAAGTTGGTTTAGGTCTTACCTTGAAGACAGGAAGTACTTTGTGGAGATTGGAAACTGTGTCTCAGATCATATGGTCCTGACCTGTGGAGTACCACAGGGGTCGATCCTGGGACCTCTTCTGTTCAATCTCTACATGCTGCCGTTAGGTCAGTTAATACGCAGAAACAAAGTGTCCTATCACAACTATGCAGACAACACTCAGATCTATGTCTCACTGACTGCAGGAGAACATGGACCAGTGGACTCACTCCTTCACTGTATCCAACAGATCAGTGAGTGGATGCAAAACAACTTCCTTCAGCTAAACGCGGACAAAACTGAAATGATTGTCTTTGGTCCCCAGAAACAAAGAGAGAGCGTCATCTGTCATCTACAGTCTCTCTCCCTAAAACCTTCAAACAAGGTCAGAAATCTAGGGGTAATACTGGACTCAGACTTAAATTTTAATAGCCACATCAAATCAGTAACATCAGCAGCTTTTTACTATCTAAAAAACATTGCCAGGATCAAAAACATAGTGTCTGAAGCAGACTTGGAGATTCTTATCCATGCATTTGTCTCCAGTAGGTTAGATTACTGCAATGGCCTGCTCACAGGTCTGTCCAAACAGGCTGTAAAACAGCTGCAGTACATTTAAAATGCAGCAGCTCGAGTCCTGACTAGAACCAGAAAGTACGACCATATTAGTCCGGTCCTCAGGTCTCTGCACTGGCTTCCTGTGGCTCAGAGAATAGACTTTAAAACAGCTCTGCTTGTGTACAAGTCTCTCCATGGCCTCGCACCAAAATATATTAGTCACATGTTAGTCCCATATGAACCAGCCCGGACTCTGAGGAGCACAGGGACTGGACTCCTGTTAGTGCTCAGAGTCAGAACTAAACATGGGGAGGCTGCTTTTCAGATTCATGCTGCTAAAATCTGGAACAATCTTCTTGAAGATGTGAGACAGGCCTCCTCTCTGACAATGCTTAAAACCAAGTTAAAAACGGTGCTGTTTAGCATTGTTATAAAAAAGTATGTATGGAGAGGAGGCTTCCGGGTAGCATCCAAGATGGCAGTTTAGCTTTTGGGCTCTCCGACGGTTTTGAATAAAATACCCCAAAAGTTTGGTACTTAGTACTAATTGATCAGTTTTGAAGAAATGCCTGGGGGTAAGTCAAGAAGGAGTAGAGCTGTGGGTACGACTCAACGTTTTGACGAAATGGTGGGGGATAACGAGGGGAACTCGCCCTCACACGAGGAGGAGGACGACGAAGATGATCCAGTCAGCCTAGCTAGCATTCTCCGGGAGCTCAAAGACTTTAGACACGAAAACAAGGAACAATTTTCTGAAATTCAAAGAAACCAACAACAGACGGACGCCAGAGTGACACAAGCCGAAGCACGAATTGATGAAGTGGAAACGGCGCTGGGAGAAGAAGAAGTTATAAGGATTGCCTGGCAGAAGAAACAAGTGATGTACAAGGACACGCGATTCTACGTTGACCATGATTACCCTCCGCTGATTCTAAAGAAACGCACCGAATACAACCAGGCCAAAAGAGTCCTCAAAGAGCACAATATAAAGTTCCAAACTCCCTATCCCGCAAAACTGAGAGTGTTTTATAACGAGGAGACCCGCTTGTATCAGAGCGCGGCGGAGGCGACAGTGGACATGGCTGCAAGAGGACTCCCGGTGACCGTGATCCCGTCTATTGTCGATCCCTACCAGCGCGAGTTGCAGCGGCTCTCACCGTGGCAGGCGATCCCCGGAGACCGAACCAGCACACCCCCTCCTTCAGGCACCGGATCGACTCTGACGAGCCGGCTCATCCAAAGACCGTTTATTGAAAAGCTGCGGGAATTCAGACAAAATCCACCTACAGATAAGTGATCGGGAGAAATGTAGAATCTGTTGTGTACACGCCCCCCCTCTTTGACTCCTTTATTTTATTAGGTTATTAAACAGTCGGACTATACGCTCACTATGCTAACAGACACGGCACAGCCATCTTACTGGGCCCTGCTCTTTGAAGTGAGCAGGCTTTCCCCTGTTGGGAGCTCTAAAATCTCGAGCTCCTTGAAGGTTCTATTCAGGACCTCTATCCAGGAGGCACACTCCCAGCAACAGACTATTATGGTTTCAGTATTTACTGAGATGTCAATGTTATGTTGTTCTTTTTTCGTTAATTGTTCTATTGTTAAAGGGATGCACAGTATTAATGAGTATTGTATTGAGAGACCATTTTGGATACCACCATGAAAAATACTATAAGACTCACATCGTACAATGTAAACGGTGTTCTTAACTCAATTAAACGGAGTAAAATATTATCCAAGCTAAACAAAGATAACGTTCAAATTGCTATGCTACAGGAAACACATCTGAGTTCAACTGAACATGAACAATTGAAAAGAATGGGATTTTCCAAAGTATACTATTCATCCTATAAATCTGGCCATAGAAGGGGGGTAGCCACTTTAATATCTCACAATGTACCATTTGAGCTTCTTTCTGAGAATAAAGACAAAGAAGGACGCTACTCTTTAATATCAGGCAAAATAGACGGAACAGTGATAACGTTACTAAATGCTTATGTCCCCCCAGGCAGCGAGTTTTCCTTTTATAGGAAACTTATTGAATTGATGACACAGGCAAATGGTGTGCTTATATGTGGCGGGGATTGGAATATAAGACTAAACCCAAGGCTTGACGCATCAAGGCTAATCCCCCAAAATTCCATACAGAAGAAAATGAAAATATTGATGTCGCACCATGGGATCATAGATATCTGGAGAGATTTCTACCCAACAAGTAAAGATTATACACATTACTCTCATTCCCATACAGTGTATTCTAGAATCGATTACTTCTTTATCTTTAAGAGAGACCGTAATAGAATACAGAAGGTGGAGATCGGAAATATAGACATTTCAGATCACGCACCAATAATATTAACAGTGGAACTAGGTAATAAACCCAAAAACCTCCTATGGAAGCTAAATACACACATTCTAAATGATCAGCATCTAACTAAAAGCGTTAAATCTGATATAAAATCATTTTTGGAGATAAATCTCAATGGAGAAGTTGGCGATGAAATTGTCTGGGACACACTAAAAGCAGTAATGAGAGGCAAGATCATTTCTTTCTGTGCACATAAAAAGAAAGAGAGACAAACCAAATTGTTGAACTTAAATAAGGAGTTAAAAGAACTTGAGACAGAACATAAAAAAAGTCTGAATCCAGATGACAATGTCAAATTAAAAATTTTAAGAAATAAAATAAATGCTACATATCTACTGGACATTCGAAAGAAGATGATATACACAAAGCAAAAATACTACGAGTCTGGTGCCAAATTTGCCAAATTATTAGCGAGTAAACTGCAAAAGCAGCAAGCAGATAATACTATATATAAAATTAAAGACCCACTTTCTAAAACATGTGTTTACAAAACAAGTGAAATCCAACAAATCTTCTTGAATTACTACACACAATTATATACACAGCCAAATTTAAAAAATGCTACACAAATTCGTTCTTTATTATCTCAACTTACTTTGCCAACTCTATCAAAAAGTCAAAATGAATCTCTCATAACTGAGATTACAGAAGGGGAACTGTTGCAGGCAGTGTCAAGACTAAAGGTTAATAAATCACCTGGGCCAGATGGCTTTCCGTCGGAATGGTATAAAACATTTAAATCTGAATTGTTACCATTCTTAACCAAAGTAATGAATGCAACATTAAAGGAGGGTAGAATGCCACCTTCATGGAAACAAGCCACCATTTCTGTTATTCCAAAAGAAGGAAAAGACCCACTCAGCTGCGGCTCCTTCAGACCTATATCAGTCCTCAACATTGACTACAAATTATTCACTTCAATAATAGCAAAGCGATTGGAAACCATATTACCCACACTTATCAATACTGATCAAACAGGCTTCATTGCAGAGAGGCAGACACACGATAATATAAGACGTACCCTACACATTGTGAATCGTATTCAGGAACATAAAATTCAGGCGGCAGTGGTCAGTCTTGACGCGGAGAAAGCTTTCGACTCTGTAAGCTGGTGCTTTCTTTATAGAGTTCTGGAAAGATTTGGGTTTCATGACAATTTTATAAAAATAATAGAATCACTCTACACAAAACCAACAGCATGTATAAAAATTAATGGCCATCTGTCAAATACAATTGAACTACAACGGGGTACTAGGCAAGGATGTGGACTTTCTCCCCTCCTGTTTGCTCTCTTTATAGAGCCTCTTGCTCAAATGATCAGACAAAATGATGAAATAAAAGGAATACCTATTTCTGGGGATGTCCACAAGGTGGCGCTCTATGCTGATGACGTCCTGGTCTACCTAAGTGAGCCATGTAAGTCTTTGCCTAAACTATTCCATTGCTTAAAAACATTTGGGCGCTATGCAGGATACAAACTTAATGTGAGTAAAACTCAGATAATGACCCTAAATTTTACCCCCCCAAACCTACTGCGTGAGGAAATAAAACTTAAATGGGATTTAACCACAATAAAATACTTGGGAATTTTTTATTCCCAAGCATATTGCAACAATAACCAATCACAATTATGAGGACCTGATTTCAAAAATAAAGACTGACATACAGAGGTGGACTGCCATTCCTTTCATGAGCCTAACCCAGAGAATTGAAACAGTGAAAATGAACCTGCTCCCAAGGTTTCTTTTTTTGTTCCAGGCATTGCCCGCGGAGATTACAAAACAACAGTTCTCACACTGGGATAAATTAATTTCAAGATTCATTTGGCTGGGGAAAAAACCACGAGTTAGGTTCAGAACATTACAACTTCCTAAAGAGAAAGGAGGAATGGCAGTGCCTAACCTAAGAGACTATTTTTATTCGGCACAAATTAAACCGCTCATAAATATCTGTAACCCGAACTATCATGCTCGATGGAAGGACATTGAGACATCCCTCGTGTCTGATCCACCACTACAGGCCATACTAGGAAATAAGAATATAGTAAAAATATTAAATAATGTTCAAAACCCCTGGCTTGTTGCACAACTGAAAACATGGTCGCAGGCTAAAGAGGAATATAAACTACACAATAACCTTAAAATTGTGAGATGGAGTGCTTATGATCCTGACTTTAAGCCCAATCAAATAGATCTGGGCTTCCGCACTCGGGTACCCCAGGGTCTGACCACTCACTACTCCTTAACAGAAAAGGGTATAATGAAAGACTTTCAAACCCTCAAGAATAATCATAATCTGAAAAAACAAGATTTCTATAGATATTTACAGTTGCGTAACTACATGAATCAGGAAATTCTCAGTGGGTGCGACATACAAGAACCTGTGCTTCACGAAATATTAACCTCATACAAAGCAAAATCTAAAAAAGGAATTATTTCTCGGCTTTACAAAGGCTTTATGAACAAAAAGTTATATTCAACTCAGTATGTTAAGGCAAAATGGGAGAACGAAGGTAATATATCTATAACCGATGAAGAATGGCGGGGTTATTGTGCATCATTGTGGACATGCACAAACTCTCATACATGGAGAGAGTTTGGCTGAAAGTGTTTGATCAGATTTTTTATTACTCCAAAACAGAAGGTCCGTGGGGGCGGAGATGAGCCTCGGTGCTGGAGGCAATGCGGTGACCAGGAACCCAACCACTGGCACATATTTTGGGACTGCCCGAACATAAAACAATTTTGGAGGGATATTCACAAAGGTATAGAATCAGTATTCAACGAGAATATTCCCTTTGAATTCTCTAGCTTGATATTGGGGAATACACGATTAAAATACAACGACAAATACCTATTTCAAATTTTAATAACCGCTGCCAAAAAAGCTGTTACCGGACGCTGGCTCCTCCCTGCTCCTCCAAGTCTAGAAAACTGGACAGATTCTGTAAACGGTATATTTCAGATGGAGAAACTTACATTTTCAATCCACCTACAAATGCATTCTTTCTCGAAGATATGGTCAAAGTGGAGTTTATACATTAATAGAGTACAACAATTGGAAGTGTTGAACATGGATGATTTGTGACTAAGATGGTGATTTTGTATATTTCTTTTGTCATTATTGCTCTCTGTATCCTGTTATAGAAATGCATCCTCTGCTTGTTTGTTTGTTCAAAAAAACAAAAAACAAAACAGATGTTTGAGAATTGATGACACTGTGTATATATCTGTAACAACTATTTTTTGGTCTCAACATTTGAAAATAAAGATTTGAAAAAAAAAAAAAAACTAATCGCAATTAATTATGATAAAAAAATGCCCAAATTAAGGTTCAAAGTGCAGAATAATTTTTTTGAAAGTCTCCGAGCAAAAACAATATAGGTTTCAATGACATGTGATGCATCATTTTAAAGCGTGTGAGTATACGCACGCAACCGTCACCCTAACCCCTTGCATTCACCATTGTGAAAGCAATAGGCCCTTGTTACGCCGGAGTAGAGGACGCCGTCATCCACTTCCTGCAGCGGACACTCTCCCACCTGGAGCCCTCCGGGAGCGCTGTGAGGGTCATGTTTTTCGACTTCTCCAGCGCTTTCAATACCATCAGGCCGGCACTGCTGCGGGGGAAGATGGAGGACGCGGGAGTGGACAGTAGCCTCACTGCATGGACCATCAACTACCTCTCAGACCGACCACAGTACGTGCGGCTGCGCAGCTGTGAGTCTGAGGTGGTAGTCTGCAGCACTGGGGCCCCTCAGGGCACTGTCCTCTCACCGTTTCTCTTCACCATCTACACCTCAGACTTCACACACGACACACACAGCTGTCACCTGCAGAAGTTCTCCGACGACTCCGCCATCGTGGGCTGTGTGTCTGAGGGGAACGAACTGGATTATCGGTCGGTTATCAAGGACTTTGTCGACTGGTGTGAGCGCAACCACTTGTGCTTGAACACCAGTAAGAGGAGGAGATGATCATCGACTTCAGGAGAAAACCACTTTCCCACACGCTGCTGAACATCCAGGGGGAGGACATTGAGCTGGTGGACAGCTTCAAGTACCTGGGTGTTCACATTAACAATAAACTGGACTGGTCCCATAATACAAACGCCCTGCACAAGAAGGGCCAAAGTCGCCTCTTCCTTCTGAGGAGGCTGAGGTCCTTCGGAGTGAGCAGGCCTCTGCTCAGGACTTTTTATAACTCTGTGGTAGCTTCTGCCATTTACTACGCTGCCGTGTGTTGGGCCCCAGGCAGCACAGAGCGGGACAGAAACAGACTGAACAAGCTGGTCAGGATGGCCAGCTCCACTCTAGGCTGCTCCCTGGACTCTGTGGAGGAGGTGAGGGACAGGAGGGTGCTAGCCAAAGCCACCTCCATCATGAACAATACCTCCCACCCACTGCACAGGACTGTAGAGGAGCTGAGGAGCTCCTTCAGTGGAAGACTGAGACACCCTCAGTGTAGGAAGGAGCGCTACCGCAGGGCCTTTATCCCCACCGCTGTCAGACTGTACAATAAGTCACTTTAAATGATCACTGTGTGAAAACCTGCACTACTATTTTGACACTGTTTCCAACTGACACTTGTCACTTTTGTTGTACATAATTATTGTCACTTTTATTGTACATATATCCTGCATGTAACATGTTTGCACATTTCCTCCTTTTGCACAATCTGAGTGTCTCTATCCATGCCAAATGTGACATGTAAATCTCTGAGATAAATAAAGCAAATCTTATCTTATCTTACATTAGTCTCTGACTCCACACAGAGATGGCAGGGGCCAGTTCAGGAGGCACAGACCTATGTTTTAGTGGTAAGGGAAACCGGAGCACCTGAAGGAAACCTACACAGACACAGGGAGAACATGCAAATCCACTCAGAAAGACCCTGTTGCGACCGGGATTTGAACCCAGGACCTTCTTGCTGAGAAGCAAGGGTGCTAACCACTCAGCCACCGTGCTGTGTGTACCTCCAGTAAGTGTGTGTTGTGTTGCAGAGAGCTGACCCTGGACGAGCCCCCCCAGACCTGCTGGACCGGTCTGTGTGGATTCCCACAACTGGTCACTCAGGTCCATGTGCTCAGTGCAGAAGGATTACAGGGACAGGACAACAACGGAGGTACACAACACACACACACACACACACACACACACACATACATACACACGCAGGTCCATGTGCTCAGTGCAGAAGGACTACAGGGACAGGACAACAACGGAGGTACACAACACACACACACACATATACACGCACACACACACATACAAATACACGCACACACAAACACTAAATAACTAACTAATGTTTACAATGTGTGTCTCTCTCTCTCTGTGTCTCTCTTTGTCTCTCTCTGTGTGTGTGTCTCTCTCTCTGTCTCTCTCTGTGTCTCTCTGTCTCTCTCTGTCTCTCTCTCTGTGTGTCTCTTTCTCTCTCTCTGTGTGTCTCTCTCTCTGTCTCTCTCTGTGTCCCTCTCTCTGTGTCTCTCTCTCTCTCTCTGTCTCTCTCTGTCTCTCTCTCTCTGTGTCTCTCTCTCTGTGTGTCTCTCTCTCTGTGTCTCTCTCTCTGTGTGTCTCTCTCTGTGTGTCTCTCTCTGTGTGTCTCTCTCTCTCTGTGTGTGTCTCTCTCTCTCTTTGTGTGTGTTTCTCTCTGTCTCTCTCTCTCTGTGTCTCTCTCTGTGTCTCTCTCTCTGTCTCTCTCTCTGTGTCTCTCTCTGTCTCTCTCTCTGTCTCTCTCTCTCTGTCTCTCTCTCTGTGTCTCTCTCTCTCTGTGTGTCTGTGTCTCTCTCTCTCTGTCTCTCTCTCTGTGTCTCTCTCTCTCTGTGTGTCTGTGTCTCTCTCTCTCTGTGTCTCTCTCTCTGTAGCAGTAGACCCGTATGTGATCATCTCGTGTGAGGGGGAGAGGGTGCGGTCTCCGGTTCAGAAAGACACTCGTTGCCCAAACTTCGACATCAAAGGAGTTTTCTATCGCAAGAAACCCAAGGAGGCTATTCACATCGAGGTGAGAGACCTACCCAGGTGAGAGACCCGCCAAAGTAGGCCATTCACATCGAGGTGAGAGACCTGCCCAGGTGAGAGACCCCCCCAGGAGGCCATTTACATCGAGATGAGAGACCTACCCAGATGAGAGACCCCCAAGGAGGCCATTCACATCGAGGTGAGAGACCCACCGAGGTGAGAGAAACTGTCGATTCTCCGACACGGATCAAAGAATCAAACAGTTCAAACACAGAGACATTGGTTCAAAACGAGAGATCTGAGGCTGTTGCTTCTGTGGCTCACTAGCTCTCCTCTCTCCCCCTCTCCCCCCTCTTCTCTCTCTTTCCTCTCTCTCTCCCCTCTCTCTTCTCTCTCCCCTCTCTCTCTTCTCTCTCCTCTCTCTTCTATCTCTCCTCTCTCTCCCCTTCCCTCTCTCCCTCTCCTCCCCCCCCCCCCCCCCCTCCCTCCCCCGTCTCCCCTTCAGATCTATAACCGGAACATGTTGGTGGACACGTTCTTGGGGCAGGTGGTGGTGTTTGGAGACCCCAGTGATCGACAGGAGCAGCACAGCCTTCACCTGCGAGACCGAGGGACCCGGCAGGAGAGCGACCTGCCCGGGACCCTCACAGTCCGCCTCTGCACCTCCACCACCCTCACCAACATCTGAGGACCCTGACCGTCCGCTTCTGCACCTCCACCACCCTCACCAACATCTGAGGACCCTGACCGTCCGCTTCTGCACCTCCACCACCCTCACCAACATCTGAGGACCCTGACCGTCCGCCTCTGCACCTCCACCACCCTCACCAACATCTGAGGACCCTGACCGTTCGCCTCTGCACCTCCACCACCCTCACCAACATCTGAGCACCCTGACCGTACGCCTCTGCACCTCCACCACCCTCACCAAAATCTGAGGACCCTGACTATACGCCTCTGCACCACCACCCTCACCAACATCTGAGAACCCTGACTGTGCGCCTCTGCACCTCCACCACCCTCACCAAAATCTGAGCACCCTGACCGTACGCCTCTGCACCTCCACCACCCTCACCAACATCTGAGGACCCTGACCGTGCACCTCCACCACCCTCACCAACATCTGAGGACCCAGACCGTACGCCTCTGCACCTCCACCACCCTCACCAACATCTGAGCACCCTGACCGTACGCCTCTGCACCTCCACCACCCTCACCAACATCTGAGGACCCTGACCGTACGCCTCTGCACCTCCACCACCCTCACCAACATCTGAGCACCCTGACCGTACGCCTCTGCACCACCACCCTCACCAACATCTGAGGACCCTGACCGTACGCCTCTGCACCACCACCCTCACCAACATCTGAGGACCATCTGAGGACCATATGAGGACCATGCGAGGACCATCTGAGGTTCATATGAAGACCATGTGAGGACCATCTGAGGACCATGTGAGGTTCATGTGAGGACCATCTGAGGACCATATGAGGACCATGCGAGGACCATGTAAGGACCATTAAGGACCATGTGAGGCCCCCTCTACAGAGCCACAGAGCTACAGAAAAATCTCTCTCTTTATAAAGTTCTTTGGAGCAGAGTTTGTGACGAAACTTTTGTTCCTTAATTGTGATCTTGGGAAGACCCAATACGTCACATGGTACAGAGTTGTTGAGAACAAACATTGAACATTTAGAGTCCACGTTTTATCATCAAAAGCGTAACACGTTTGAAACAGGAGCATTTAGCCAGAGAGGGGGGCAGAGATCGGACGATACATATTTGATCAGAAAATAAATATAAGTCAGTCCTCTCAGCGGTGGTCCCACATGGTCCAAGAGAATCTGTATCATTCTGTGCAGAAACAAAGTTTATTCATAATTCCTCCGTAATGAACAGAAATACAGTGTTTACACAGCAGCGGGTTTGTGGCTTTACCACAAAAGAACCATTTTAAAATCTGTCCCAACAGAAACCACATGCCAGTGGTTCTTTACCACAGGTCACAGGTCAGAGGACAGAAACCACATGCCAGTGGTTCTTTACGTTCTTTGGTCTTCAACATTCAGACCGCCCTCGATAGTTCCAAAATAGAGGCCGTCACCGATGGCGCCGTGACGCTCCCTCTCTAAGGTTTACAGTATCTCTGAAAAAACTGGTGCAAAGTCAGAGGTCACAGGTCAGAGGTCACAGGTCAGAAGCAGACGGCACATGTATATCTGTGTGTTCTCCTGTGGCTCAGAAGCCTCTGTGTTTACTCTCAGCTTTACTTTCTTTGGACCAACTGCACTTTGACTTGTTTTTAGATATTTTTGGACATTTCCAACACTTTTTATGTGAAGATAGAAATGTTTGCCAACGTTTAAGGCCAGTGTTCGGTGAACTATGCTCCGTGACATCAGCAATGTCTGAGGCCAGAGCTGTGTTTCTGTGTTTCTGTGAGAGAGCGACGGGAGAGAGCAGATGGATTATATTATTATGCAAAGATCTGAACCAGGCTCCAAAGCCTTTCTCAGCTCCACCCACTCTGACAGCAGCCCCACCCACTCTGCAGACAGACTTGGATTGCCTCTAGTGGTAGAGGCAGGGAATCAAATGGAAGGTTCTTTTTAATGTTGTACTTCCCTAAATCACACCCAAGGTGCAGGACCTGAAAGAAGCTTGTGCCGAATGTGTGGAAATGAACAAGATGTCACCAACTTCTCCACGATTCTGAAGGAAACCCGTAGCGGGCCTTGTCCCAAGAACTGGAGTCTGAGCAATGCAGTATCAATGTTGAAGCGGGTCTCCATCAAATTTTTTTGTGAAAGTGAAAGTGTATGAGCGAGTGAATGCTTGTTTACCAGGTTAAGGCAGAGGAAGTAAAAGATCTGCCTGGAGTCGTATTCTTCCAGGATTTGTTTGAGCGAGTCTTTGATGAAGCGAGGCAAAGACTGAGACGTGTGCTGCAGTGCATCGCCCATAAAGTTATAGAGCGGGGTGCCCTCTGGAGAGTAGCCAACAAGGGTGCCCCTCTGGCCGCGGCGGGATGGAGATGCCAGGATGCTGGAGGCTACCACACATACAATAAATAAATAAAATGTTTACAAGAAATACGTTTGTTGAAGAATTCATGATTCATCAGAATCATAAAAATGATTCTGATGATTCTGATTCTAAATATTATATCAGAAATCTGAATCCTTTTTATTGCCATGTGAGGAACAGGAAGTCACAAACTAGGAAATTGCTTTGACTCTCGGTGCAAACAAGTTAAGCAGAATAAAAGTGCACTAGGTAGAGTAGTAGAGTGCAGTAAAGAGACATTATCAACTTAATCAACTTAATTGTTATGTCCACACTGTTTTGTTAGAGTAGTAGTTTATCACCAATGTGTACGGAGAGAAATAACAATGCCATGTGAAGTGTCTTAGAGTGCACTATATAAAATCAGTACAGTAATAAAACAAAAACAAGTCCAGTAATCAATATGCTGTAATGATCATATTTATCCATCAGATGTCAGTATTTCTGCTCTAAGCCGCTTTTTCATGCTTTTGGCACTTTGTCCCTTTGTGCGCAGTCAAAGTGTTATGCTGTGTGTGTCTGACCTAGAATGAAGAAGGTGGCGCTGACAATGACTCCTCCAGACAGCACGTGCTCTGTGCTCTGAGCTGGGGGCGTCGTCCCGAGGGGTCTCAGACGGTCCCAGAAATGAGCCAGCACCAGTGCGGACACAAACAGAGCCGCGGAACCACATCGGGCCACACGCGGAGCCTCCATCTTCGCGCTGCACATGGCCTCTGCATAGAACTCCAGGATCATCACGCAGAAGACAATGGTAAGCAGAGGCAGCAGCAGAGACCACCACGACTGCACTTTGCTCTGAGGAGGGGAGTGAGAGTGCAAATCATGTTGGAGTAGGAAAGAGACTATGCATCTTTGACAACATTCAAGCTTGGCCCCTTTTCATCTTATTGAGATCTATCTAGTAAAGGTAAATTTGCCAAGTAGATTAGACTATTATGTATACACACATATATATAAATTAGTAATATATAAATTAGTAATATAATATATATATATATATATATATAAAATGTCCGTCCGTCCGTTTTCCTCCGCTTCATCCGTTGCCGGGTCGCGGGGGCAGCAGTCTAAGCAGAGACGCCCAGACTTCCCTATCCACACACACTTCCTCCAGCTCGTCCGGGGAGACCCCAAGGCGTTCCCAGGCCAGCTGAGAGACATAGTCCCTCCAGCGTGTCCTGGGTCTTCCCCGGGGCCTCCTCCCGGTGGGACGTGCCCGGAGCACCTCCCCAGGGAGGCGTCCAGGAGGCATCCGGAACAGATGCCCGAGCCACCTCAACTGGTTCCTCTCGACGTGGAGTAGCAGCGGCTCTACTCCGAGCTCCTCCCGTGTAACTGAGCTCCTCACCCTATCTCTAAGGGTGCGCCCAGCCACTCTGCGGAGGAAGCTCATTTCGACCGCTTGTATCCGCGATCTCGTTCTTTCGGTCATTACCCAAAGCTCATGACCATAGGTGAGGGAGGGAACGAAGATTGACCGGTAAATCGAGAGCTTTGCCTTTCGGCTCAGCTCCCTCTTCACCACAACGGTCCGATACAGCGACCGCATAACTGCGCACGCTGCACCGATCCGCCTGTCAATCTCACGCTCCATCCTTCCCTCACTCGTGAACAAGACCCCGTACACAAAATGTATGTAATGTATATGTTACACACAAATATATACATACATACAACACAGCGCTCACCTCTGTGGTGGCCGACAGCACCAGGACCCAGGGCAGCAGCACGGCAGAGCAAACCAGGTTGTCCAGAGCATAGAGACGTTTGGCTCCGCCCATCTCCACTGACAGCTTCCGGGAAGCTGTGTGGAATGCAACCTTCAAACAGAGCGCCGCCACGAGCAGCACCACACCTCCCTAAGCCAATGAAAGACGGGAAGATAGCTTTGTCTCATTGTACATGCAGGCTCAGACCCATCTTGACAAGCAGTTTCAGACCACATACATGCAGGTCAGTACCTTGTGATCGGCGACTCCCAGGAAGGCAATAGCAGTGTGGAGAAAGTGTGTGAGCGCGCTGTCATGGTGTCCCTCAGCTGGGATCAGTTAAGTCAAATATACAAAGAAACTTTCCTCCATTTATCTATCCATACATTTTATTTCAATTTATTTTTTTACCTTGTTGTGCAGGCAGCAGTCACAGCAGACGCCCATGCGTCCCTAAATAAGCCCGAGATGTTCCCATGTCTGCCGAGAGACAGAGTACGTTCACAAAGCATAAGATGGTGTCTGCCAAAAAAACTGACTACATTTGGTGCTGCTCCCAAATAGGTCTGACCACATTGGTACCCAACAGAGGTCTTTCAAAGGTAACTGTCGCAGCTGTGATTTGTAACTCAAAACTTTGGCACAATAATAAACCAATTTAAATAGCAGCTATACGTTTTAACATTTTCACCAAACACCCTAAACATTTAACTAACCACCTGAACTCACGTCTGCGAAAGTGCGAGATATCAAACCTGTTTGTGGTCACTGTCAAATGTTGTGCATTCACTGTAAGCTACAGCGGCAGAGGACACAATGCTGAGTGTAAGGGGCAGGATTGAGGGTTACAAGTCGAGAAGGCCGGCGTAGTCTTCTGAACTAATCACGGCGGTGACATTAAATAAAGGTAACTCATGTTATAAACACAGAAAAAGCAAAACAATGAAACACATGCAGAGGGATTGTAAGAGTCATCCCGATGATCAAGAAGTGAGTGAGTCACCTATATAGGGACAAATACAATTCTAACTTGGCTTTAGGCTTTAGGCTTTAGGAGCACTGTGCTCCTAAATATATTTAAATCCGGCAAGAATCCGGTTTAATTAGTAAGGTGATTTATCCGGTTTGTGCTTTTTAAGCGTACTCATAGTCCTTCCAGCATGTCCTGGGTCTACCAGAGGCCTGTCAACACCAGACTACATACTTACGGACAGCAGACCAATAAAATTTTTAACACTCTGCAGTGAGCTAAAGAAGAGTGTGAAGGATACGGTGCTCAGCCATCTTGGCCATAAGGTCATCGTTGTCGAAGAGCAGCAGACAGATGACAGCAATGATGAAGAACGCGGCTCCTCGGGTCTGAACAAAGCACACATATCAGGTCCTGAAATTAAAAGTATTGGGTTCTTCTTTTCTTGGGTTTCATATGACGTCAGGGCAGTAGCGTGAATAACAAACGTAGGACAGGACGTGACGTACCCTGGCGGTGCATTCTGTCGGGTTTATACACGGAGATATAGTAGGCAAGGCAAGGCAAGGCAAGGCAAATTTATTTGTAAAGCACCATATACAATACAGAACCAATACAGAAGCAACCCAGGGTGCTTTACAGGCACAGAGAGAACATTGGCAAACAATAAAACATTATAGGAACAAAAAACTATAAAAAATGAAATATAAAATATATACAGTATATACACACCTCATACATATATATATATATATATATATATATATATATACACACATATACATACATACATACACACACACATATGTGCACATATACATACTTACAAACAAACAGATACACACATACATCCTTATAAATGCATATACATAGGATGAATAATTTCCAAAAGAGCACGGGCTTATGTGAAGGCTGAGGCGAATAGCCATGTTTTAATACCTGATTTAAACGCTCCTATAGTTGGAATAGTTCGCAGTTCATGTGGAAGAGTGTTCCACAGACGAGGAGCATAAAAACTAAATGCTGCTTCGCTCTTTTTGGTCCTGATATTTGGGACACACAGTAAACCCGTCCCAGATGACCTTAGGACCCTCTCGTTTTCATATGGAACAAGCATATCTTGCACATATTTTGGGGCAAGCCCATTCAGTGCCTTGTACACCAAGAGAAGCACTTTAAAGTCTCTTCTATAACAGACTGGAAGCCAGTGTAAAGACTGTAGAACTGGCATGATATGATCACATTTGTTTGTATTCGTGAGAACTCTTGCCGCTGCATTTGGACTTTTTGCTGAGCCCTGTAAAAATACCATTGCAATAATCCAATCTGCTAAGAGATGAAAGCATGTATACGTTTTTTTAAAGATCTTGCTAAGTAAGACAGAACTCTAGTTATGCTTTTAAGGTGATAAAAAGCAGACTTGGTGATTGTGTTAACGTGTTTGGTGAAATTTAAATTGGAATCAACAATAACAACATTTTTTAATTTGTTTGATACTTGTAACGACAAGGAGTCTAGATAGCTATTAACTTTGGAACGTTCGTTTTTAGGTCCAAAGACAATAACTTCTGTCTTCTCCGCGTTAAGCTGAAGAAAGCTGAAGTAGAAGAAGAAGCGCTGTCAAAATGTCTTTTTGTGCGGTGTACGCTTGTAGCAACCGCACAAATAGAGAGAAAGACAAGAGTTTCTTCCGTGTTCCAACTGTGGTCTCATATAAAGGAGTACACTTTGAAAAAAATCACTTAGAATGAGGATGGATCAAGGCTTTCCCAGATACGCGCCCCCTGCAGGCCACCCGAATGAAACGCAGCAATTTCTTCTGTTTTTTCCCCCCCAAAAACAAAATCAAGACTCTTTTGAGAAATATTGTTTAGTACTCCCTTAGAATTGAGTGTCCCCCTCCCGATTAAGACTGTTAGATCAACCGTACACCGCACAGGAGGAGACTGTTTTGACTCCAAAACAGATACGATTTACATGATTTTCAATGGGAGCAAAACGGAGTTATCCCACCTCTGCTCATTCGCCCCCTACTGGCCAGTTTAATGAAACCCAAGAATACCAGACAAGGTAATAACATCACAAAACCTTATAAAGTCTGGTTTAGAAGAACCCAATACTTTAATTCTACTAAGAAGACAAGATGAATCTTCCTAAACCATATCAGCTCCTCCTCTCTCTGGCTCACAGAGCACACACACACACACACACACACCTACCTTTGAGGGGCCACCACCAGAGCTACTGAACAAGACTCCCAGAAGAGCGATGACCACCACATCACTGTGCTCCAGCAGCAGCAAAGTCCTGGACCAAGACGAAAACACAAAATACAGCTGCAACTTTACAAGGTTGTAATGGTAATGACATTTCAGGCCAATACCAAATATTCTTAAGAAAGACGTTATAACTAGGGCCGGGACTTTAACGCGTTAGTTACGATTAATAAACGCCACAAAATTAGCACGTTAAAAAAAATTAACGCATTTTAATCGCATGTGTATTTTCCACCGCGGAACGTTCCTCACAAATGAGTTTCAGACGGACCGATTATACTGGAGCGCCACCTGAGCTCTGTGACTTTTCTTGTTCAAAAGTACATTATAACAAGCATAGACCAACTCCAACTCTGAGTGAGTTAGAGGCAGGAAAGAACGCTCAGTGTGGAGCAATGGTGTGTGAGGAGGAGGAGAAGGAGCAGCAACTCCTGTGAGCGGAGGAGGAGCAGCGAGACACAGGTGTGTGAGCTGCTATTTGCTGATGTTTTAGTTCAGGGGTGCGCAATACGTCGATCGCAAAAGTAGTATTGGAAGATCGCATTACATAAAAAATAAAAAATAAATCCGTTTATGCATTTGCGAGTGGACAGAGATAACCAGAGTTTTGCATTTTTGCACGCCACAGTATGCCCCCAAAACAACAACAACAAACAAAACGTGCGACCTCTGATCACTGAAGCTTCGATCATACTGCCTTAAAAACTGTTTTCTGCTGCAGCGGTTCACAGCAGCAATCCTCGCTCCACATCAGAGAGCAGCAAAGTGATCAAGCACACTCGAAAACAACCAAAACAGGAGCTAAACCAGGATCAAACCAGGGCTGAGGACAAGGGTCAATGCTTGTAAACATATGTCTTCACCATGGATCTATAATGACGCCTTCACCCTGAGTTTCTACTATGACTGTAAGTGCCGCTACAGAACGAAACGGTTCTATGAATCCTGGATGACCGCCAGAGGCGGTACTTAAATGCAAATTATTTCATAAATCATGCGGTTTTGCATGTACATCAACATACATTGTAGATATAAAGAATCCTCAATATATTTAGAAATAAATATATGTTTTGCATTTTTGTAGTAGGTAGATCATTTTGACTTGATCATTTTATAAGTAGCTCGCATGCTGAAAAAGTGTGAGCACCCCTGTTTTAGTTCGAATGCACACATTAAAAACTTATTATAAGCTTTTGTACTCACTTCGAGTGCAGTGGATTTTGGACTTAAGAAGTGTATGTTGTGATCAGAGTGTATGGAGGTGATGACAGAAACGTTATTTGGAAAAAAGTCCGTCTGATCCTCCACAATGAACATGTGTTGCTTAAGCTTATGTATTCAGTCATTATTCAATGGTAAAAAATTACTTCACACTGTTTTCAGGACAAATATTTATATGCGATTAAAATGCGATTAATCGAGATTAATTAATTACAAAGCCTCTAATTAATTTGATTAATTTTTTTATCGAGTCCCAGCCCTAGTTATAACATTAAAAGCTTTTGAATATATATATTGTTTTTTTGCTATTCAAGTGAAATGTTGTGCCGTTCTGATATGCGGGTCCATGACGCCATTTTAGGGAGGAAGAAAATAATCCTAATAATTGGTCAAATTTAATGGCAAATATCTATTTGTTTGGTATAGATTCACATAATTTACCACAGTAGCAGCAGGCTATTTTTTCTGTGTGCCTTTTCATATTATGAGGGAAATAAGTTGCAAGTTTGTACCTCAGAGGACCACAGAGAGTCAGGCCAAAGAATCCCAGCAGAGAAATGATGCAGCTGCAGACGCCATGTTTCACCAGCTTTATCCACTAGAATACCACAAAGATCAGTTGAAGATCATACATGACATAGCGCATCGTGAGCTGAAGCAGTTGTACCTGGCGTTTGGAGATGGCTTTTCCGGAAGAGAAGGGTTTTTGAAAGAACAGAAGGATCACAGCGCTCCTGAAATCACAAACAGACATCAGCTGCCAACAATTATCAAGATCCAAGATTGTCAAGATCAAGATTGTCAAAATAATCTAACTGATAAAGTAACATGTGAGGTCTTGTTATGATTTTCAAATCTTTAATGACAAAACAAAGAATAAAAGGGATTTATATCGGGGCCTTTGTGAAAAAGGTGTTGGTTATATTTTTGTTGTTGACAAAACTCTTGTCTATTCAGATATTATGGTCCCAGCTGGATTTGTCTACATATCTGGCAACCTCAGTCAGGAAGAATGCAGTACCGGGAGTTGAGGACCAGTTAAAGTCGACATATTGTCCTGTGAAGCTACCGTAGTACCGCAAATTACTATATGATCTCAATGCTAGATGGGAGTAAAAACTTCACTGTGTACAAAAACAATGAGTTATTTTAGTTAGTTAAAGGTTTAACTAACTAAAATAACTCATTGTTTTTGTTTTGCCATTGCCATATTTTTCCTGACTGGATTAAAAACAAGATACAACATGATCAGATTTTTTTAACTTTAACTGCTCATTTAATCATGAAGGTCTACAGTACCAATGCTTACCATTAAAGAAGCTATACCCGATTTTTTTTATAAGTAGTTCATAAAAATGCTTTTTACTACATACAAGTTGTATCATAATACATCATTTAATTGAAAACTTAAGGTAATTGATTCAGCTGTGTAAGAATTACAAGCAGTGAAAAGTGCTGAGTAGAGTCTGAGCGGGCCGCTCTTTCTCCTCAGCTCACAGAACGAGCAGCGACCAGTCTGCGTCCTCTAGCCTCTACAGCACTGCTTAAAACCAGGGCTTCGACTTCAAAATTCGAATATAATTCTAAGATAAAAAATGTATACATATTTGAACAAATATTAGACAACCCTTATAATTCGAAATGTATTTAATGACTGCAAATAAAATAGTTAGCTCCCAAAGGTTTCACCGGGACGTGCTAGGCAGGTAACAGCTAAGCTAGCTAGCTGTTTCATGGTAACTTCCGGGTTTTTCGCAATCGCTTTTTGTCACATTAAAACAGTATTTTTGTCATGAAAACGTTAACAGCAAATTCTGAAATCGTCCGTGCATGTGTGTTAAGGATGTATATGTATACTGTATTGTCCGATTGACGTTTAATGGTGTTGATTGATAGATATGTAGTTGTTTATTGAGCGTGGCTAGCTCCGCTAGCTTCTCTACACAGACAAGTGTGTAGTCGTGATAGGCGCTGATAGCTTGTTGTACTTGCAGAGTAATGGCAGTATTTTACACACCTGAATTACAAACAGATTGCATTGGGGCTTCGGTCATTATTGGTTTGAGAGTTCTGTTATCAAGAAAAAGTGATCGGAAGAATTGCAAAGTCAATGGAGTGCTGCTGCTTTGAGGAGCTCTATAACAAATTATAATTAAATATTAGAATATATTCTAATGTTTTAAACTAATACATTCGGACGCGAAACTAGCGGTATTCTTTTACTTATATATTGTGTTAGCAGTGCATTGCTTTAGTGCCATTTCATCAGTGATTGTTGTTGAGCTTACAATAAGTTGCGCTAATGCTAATGTTAGCATATGTATCAGATCGCAAATAAAACTAGGTGGCTCCGTGTTATGAGAGCGCAGGGGAAATGAGAAGCCATTGAGCAGTGTTGCCAACTCCTCAGTAAGGAAAGTAGCTATTGGCTGTCCCAAAAGTCGCTAGAAGTCGCTAAATGACGTCATCGCCTAATTTGCATAATTTGCCATTTGCAAATAACTGTAACGGACGCTGTAGGAGAGAGGAATAAGGTCGTGGGAGAGACAAAAGTGAGTAAAAACACCCTAAATATGTTTAGAACTACAAATGTACAAAAATAATTTCAACATTAACAACATTTAATGATTTTAATGCTTTGTCTAGATCCACATTACACACATCAGTTTTGTCCTGTATTGTTAAATGTTATAACAGCAAATGTAATCAAAAGATTGTTATGTAGGGTGAAATTGCTAGCTCTACAACCAACCCTCCTCCTTTATCCGGGCTTGGGACCGGCAAAGTGACCCAAAAGACACACTCTGGCAGAGTTACTTAGGTTTATTTTTGTAAGTTTTTTTTTTTTTCATAGTTTGGCATAACAAATGATTTAATGTGACCCACTACTGAGAGAAAACAGAGTCACGGACAGAGCTGCCGCGGATGGAGTGGGGGGTAGTGGGGGGTGGCGGTGGTAGGAGTGGCCGGGGAGCTTTGGATGTGTGGTGGTGGTGGAGCTGAAGTTCAGTCTGCAGCAGCCTGAAAACTTCCTGTGCTTTTGAGTCTCCTCTCTCTCTCTCTGCTCCGCCCATAGACTGTAGCTGGGACTGCTGCGCAAGGCTACTGTGAGACTGGCCGCCTGTAAGTGCTTTGGGACGGGGGAGGGGCTCACGTTGAGGACAGCAGAACAATACGTGCTTCACGAGTCTCCAAAACACCAGATAAGTCGCCAAAACACCAGATAAGTCGCCAATAACACCAGAAAAAGTCGCTAGATTTGTCGCTAGTCGCTTTTTTGAAAAAAAGTCGCTATAGGGGTCTGAAAAGTCGCTAAATCTAGCGACAAAGTCGCTAAGTTGGCAACACTGCCTGTGAGCGAGTTGGGGGGGCGGTGCTAAACATTCAAACATTGCAGAAACGGGTATAGCGCCTTTAAGGGTCCCGCTGGCCCTTTATAATCTCTTTTTCAGGGGAGTTATATCCCCAGAGGGGCAAAGCCTTTTGTACATAATTTTAGTGGTAGGAAAACCGGAGCACTCAGTAATTAAAAAAAAGGTAGCAACAGGGAGAACAAGCAAACTCCAGTAGGGGGTTTAACCAGAGACGTCTTTATGGAAGCTTCCTGCTGCGCCTCTGTGTGAAGGAATTAAAGGAACTTTTCAATTCCAGAGCATCCCCTCTGTTATATGGTTTTTATACATTTTACGTTTAGCAGCAACACTATGAATTTAGAAGAATAAATGAAAAGAGAATATTCATGGATAAAAAATGAACTCATTCTAAAAGACGAAAGGATGAGACAGACCCGAATTTGAGGATGAAGATGAACTGGACAATGTGCACCACTTTGAGGATGCCATAGGCCTCAAAAATCCCCAGAGCTTTGAGCAGCTTGGAGAGACACAGCAGCACCGTGTAACGCGTCAGCCTGAAACCACAACACAGAACAGTCACCAGATTGGATGCATACAGAAAAGATCGCTGCATTTGTCCCAGGAGGGATGTAAGCTACTTTGTTAGTCGATTTAACTTCCACGTCTAAGCCCCCAATAAAGACTATTCTGTTGTTTCCAACAATATCATTAGTGAATAAGAACTAACTCCTACCTAGTGTTAGAAGTGGAAAATTGTATTCTACTTCTTGTTTTAAAATGAAAAAAAAAAAAACAGCTCTGTTCATGATGTTTTGTTACAGTAAATTATCGGACAAGTTTCAAAACAGTTCATGGCTTATGGTTGGGCATGGACTGAATGAGTCCAAAATAGAACAGTCTATTGATTATCATTATAACAGGAGCGGGTGGTCCACGCTTTTATCTCTACACGATGACACTTCGTGCAGCTCGAATCTGTCATGCCTAAAATTAGTCTATAATCAAAAATGCTACACTCTAAAAACATGTAAAAACATGTAATTGGACAATCAATCCTGACCATCTATGATCTACTATTTTTTAATTGGATTGAATAGAGATATAGAACAGGTACCTCGAGTCTGAAGCCTCAACCATCCCCAGCTTCCCCCCAGAGAGGACATTACTGCTATATTTGTCCTCCATCTGCTCTTCACACTGGAGCCCTCTGCACCATCACTGACACTGAGGGGCAACTCTGCGGAAAGACAACTTAAGTCAGACATTCATGATTTGGATGTGATTTTGCATTGCTGGCTTTAGAGATTTAAAAAGAGTGATCCATGCTGCAAAATAATAAAGCGAGTATTTTGTAGACATTAACACATATTTGAGCCACAAACTTATTGACTGAATAACAGAGTAATTTAGATGAGTTCAGAGCTCTTTTACTGGTTTAGTAGCCTGTGTTAAGTCTTAGTTGAGACCTATTTATATGATAATACTATTTGCAAATAAATCAAAAACCCGAGTGACACCACACCAAAAAGATTGTTGCAAAGCTGGGTGTTTCTAAATGTTAACAGTTTTCTGATCCAAAAGGGTCATGAGATGATCAAAATGTCCTTGAACTAACAAAGGTATTGAGAAGTGTGTCCATAGGCAGATTATTATATTTGAATTATTATGTATCATCCAATAGTTATATTAATGAATTTATATATAGCATTTTACATATATAGTAATTCAAATCTATATCAGGGTGCTTGCTCTTTTTCCAAATTAAAATTTTCCATACTTTTTTTCCCCCCAAGATCCATTTCTGTTGACCACTAGGCTAGCCATGTGTCAATAGACCTCAGCAGTGACATCATGAAAATGTGCCAGGCAAGGATAAGCAAGCGTTGATTAGTGACCACTACAGTTAGTAAAATTATAGTTTTATAGCCTACCTTCCTATTTATGCCTTTAAGCATACTGTAAAATTTTACCATACATTTTCCCCATACTTTATTAAGACTTTCACATAAATATAAAGACTTTTCAAGGTCTGGAAAAAAGTGTTTCAAAATTCCATACTTATTAAGACTTTCAAGACTTGCGCAAGCACCCTGTATATGAGTTGCAGGTTGGCCTTGTAAGTTGATGGTATGGTCCAGACACCATTCTTGTTGAAAACCACTGATCTAACTCGTTCCTCGCTCTCAAAACAGTTTTCACAAGCACGTCTTTTTGGCCATTTAAAGAAAAGTGACAGACAGAAAAGTGAAAAATAGTAGCCCAGCCTGACTCACAGAGCTCTTGTACAAAGACCTGTTTTCTTATAAAATGACAGGACGTTGTGGTCAGATCGGGGTTTACAATATAATTTTACTTTTACAAGACTCTTATATGTGTTGAACAAACTACATGCAGTGTCTATAAAGCAAAAGTAAAAATGAAATACTACTCAGAAGTAGATCTGGGATTCACACTGACAAATGTCATGACAGGTTACACTTTTACTCAGTGAGGACTTTTCTTGTGGCAACAAACATTTGCAGCAGCAGTAGAAAAACCTGTCTTACCACGGGCTTAGACATGAAAAGATCACGAATACATGTAGCGTTAGACAGTGAATGTGGTTCTCTTTATCAGGTTGTCTGAAAAAGATGTGACTGAGGCCACACGTTACACCTAGTGATAGGACCAGAGAGCGTGGAACCGGACACATGGGTGTATTTAGGTTAAATAGTCCGGTTTTAAAAGAAGTCTTGTAAAAACCTGTATCCAGTAAATTTTTCTGAGGCAGGAAATGCGCGGATCAGCTGTTAGCCCTATGCTAGCCTCACCTCCAGCATTAGGCACAGGATAGTGACGTTAGCTCGCCTCCATCATCCCGGGACCAGCTCAGGTTGTGGCCGCTGTGGGAGCTCGGTGTGTGGGAACACAGCTGCTCCGTGTCCGTGTGTTAGAAGCCGCTGTATTTAATGTTTGTAAACGGCCTCAGAGAGTGAATGGATCTGAGGATCAGCGTCAACAGTCCACGTCAGAGCAAGAGCCACGCATGGGCAATCCTCACACAGAGCAGCAGGGACACGGCGCCCCTGCTGGTCAGGGGGGTCACTGCTTTGTTTATGGTTCTGTGACAGAGTAGTTATAAGAAAAAAATAATAAAAAATAATAAAAGATAAAATTAAACAAATTAACGAAAAATCAAACAAAACCAAATTCATGTATTTTTTAAGCCCTAAATCACAACAGCAGTCGTCTCAGAAGACTTTACAAAGTTGTTGATGCCTCAACAACAACGATGAGAGAATCAAATAGTTCTAACACAGAAAATACAATTATACCAACCGGAGCCATTGGTGCATATGGATCGAGATGACTAATGTTCATAATGTTTAGAAATGTTTATAAAGGTCCCAAAAGTAATGTCAGAGAAATGTAAGAGTTCTTGGTCATAAGCGACTCTGATTCAACAATTCCTTACACCGTTGATAGGGGCCATACTTAAATTATTGAGTGTGATCAGCAAGAGCTGTTTTTTCACCAAAAGTGGATAATTATTATTTTTTGCTTACAATCTTATGGGGCAGCTGGAAAAATAGAGACCTGAGAACTGTGATTTGTGCCTTGTCAAAGCCTGCCTCTTCCAGTTGAGAGTTTTTACCAAGGTTAAGCGCTATCTTCTACCAAATGATCTTGAGAAGGTTGACCAAGCCCTATACGGCTGGACCATCTGTACTATGGCCTTGACCAGTCCTCCATTCACAGACTCCAGCGCTCCAAACTCTGGAGCGCTTTCCCTTATTGTGTCAGAGGTGGCCCGCCTGTAGAGAGCTTTAAATCAAAGCTAAAAATGCACTTCTTTGCTCTGGCTTTTTAACTCAAGCTTTTTGAGTTAAAAAGCTTTTTGAACCTTTTATGATAGTGGACCTGTATGTTTTTATGCTGTATTTTTTTTTTTTAGCACTTTGTGACAGTCATGTTGGTTTTTTTATGTGCTATATAAATAAACTTGACCTTGATCTTGACATTATGATTTGACCTATTGTTACCCAATTCATAAAATGTAACCATCAAACTTAGAAACATGAACAAAAACAAAACAAAAACATTCAGGACACAAATATGCAGTTTGAGAAAGGGTTGGACAGCGAAGAACACTTATATGGCTATACACCTCCTCTCATTCAACTCAAATGCAAATCAAGGCAAGGCAAGTTTAATTGTGTAGCACAATTCATACACAAGGCAACTCAAAGTGATAAACAAAGCAAAATAAATAAATAATCACAGTACATTAAAAAGAAAATATAAATCCCTCAGTTATATGCACAGCAGAAAACAAACACATCCAAACAACACAGGCCCAAACAATCCATGACCATAACCCTCCCTCTTGTACTTGCTCTATGTTCTTCATGTTCTCTATATGTGTGTATATTTTGAAATTGAAGTAGATTTATATGGATGCATAACATACCATTACAAGCGCATAATACCACTATACCGTAGAGTATTCCTGCCTTAAATAAATAATTAGCTAAAACAGATATGTTATGACTCAAAAGTGAATCATTCTGAATGAGTCCTTTGGAGAGCAACCTAAAAGGGGGTGGCGAGCCAGAGGTTGGAGACCCCTGTCATATAGAGTATATATTTGTAGGCCACTGTGGGTGGTACATCTTTCTCTGTACAGAAATACAAATTATAATGAGAGTAAAGGATTCATCTGAGGCCAAAACTGTATGGGCTTATAGCTTAATAAAGGGTTAAGGCGTTAAGGGATTTAAAATTATATAACTCACCATGAACATGCTTTATCCACATAGTAACAAAAATGCTCAAAAGAAATCACCATTAATTAAACTTATCGCACAACATTTACGTGCGCAGGTCTGCAGAGGTTTTGGCGGCTCATTGGACTGTGAAACCTCAGCGCCCCCCGTCCCCCGTCCCCCCGCCACCTCTGTGTGTACTTTGGGGGCGGGAGCGCGTCTGTCCGCCCCAAACTGCTCACACACATTTTGGCGCTGAGATGCAGGTAAATTTAGCGCCATTCCCACCTCCTCCCCATCTGTGCACCACGCAGAGCTCGTTACGGAGGCCCCCGGGGAACATGAGCTGGATCAGGTGTCGATGATGCTCAGTTATATTTGACCAATGCAAAAATAAAAATGGTGAAGTCTGCAGTGTATGATTGATAGTGAGACACGGACTCATTCGCACAGCACTAATAATTATTTAATGGTCCCAGGACAATAAGTTAGTGGCATTAACCTTTACACTCCTGTGCACTCAGGCGAGGACCATGTGAGGTCTGAAGTGAGGACCATGTGAGATCTCAGGTGAGGACCATGTGAGTCTGAGATGAGGACCATGTGCGTCTCAGGTGAAGACCATGTGACATCTGCGGTGAGGACCATGTGAGTCTGAGGTCAGGACCATGTGAGTCTGATGTGAGGACCATATGTGAGATCTGAAGTGAGAACCATGTGAGTCTGATGTGAGGACCATGTGAGTCTGATGCGAGGACCTTGTGAGGTCTGAGGTGAGGACCATGTGAGTCTGAAGTGAGGACCATATGAGTCTGAGGTGAGGACCATGTGAGTCTGATGCGAGGACCATGTGAGGTCTGAGGTGAGGACCATGTGAGTCTGAAGTGAGGACCATATGAGTCTGAGGTGAGGACCATGTGAGTCTGATGCGAGGACCATGTGAGGTCAGAAGTGAGGACCACGCGAGGTCTGAAATGAGGACCATGTGAGGTCTGAGGTGAGAACCATGTGAGTTTGAGGTTAGACACATGTGAGTCTGGTGCGAGGATCATGTGAGGTCTAAAGTGAGGACCATGTGAGGTCTGAAGTGAGGTCTGAGGTGAGGACCGTGCGAGTCTGCGGTTAGGACCATGTGAGTCTGATGCGAGGACCATGTGAGGTCTGAGGGGAGGACCACATTTCAAAACTAGTGATGGAACTAAACTGTTTTGAGAGTGAACTGCAGTCAGATAAGAGTCCCTGTACTTGTATAATACATAGCTCCATGTCACGTGGTTTCAAAGTTAGGTACCCCAGCTTTAAATGTCTGCGAAAACATCACAAATCCCAGTGGCTCCTCTTGCGCGCACTCCACCCCGCCACTGCAGGCGGCTCCCTCTGCTCCCTCGCCTCACCCCTAGTCCACCCCCACTACAAGCCCACTGCCCCTCAGCCGGACCCAGCTCCCTTATTGGCTGCTCATTTCCTTAGTCCCGCCTCCCTCTTCTCGTGTTTGGCTGTTGCTTTTACCGGTTCTGCAACGCGCGAGAAAACAAGCACCAGAGCGCGCAATGCAACCGGCCCTATGCCTTTCCCTCACATACACATCTACACCACTTTACACCCAACTGGCGCAAAAAACACCCCGGGAACAACCGCATTACAGCTTTAACTCCAGCCACCACTGCACAGACTTTAACCTTCTGAACGATAAAGGTTTCCAAAGGGTGACCAGAAGCGGCATTAACTCCATTTGCTGAATTCCCTTGCTGAGGTGAGTACATTTCCCTCTACTTCTAATACAATCTATGCACACATCCACTCGTAATAGCTGCTTTTTGTGATAGAATACACTCATATCACATCTAAACTTTATGTATTTTGAGTATGGGGTTGCTATGTTGTTTATTAGGATCACGAAGCAAACTTTGGATCTATCTTCTCAACTTTTAAAATCAACTCCGCGCCTTCTCACTCGTAATTTCTAATAATAACTCGTAAATGATTTGTGAAAAATCGCGTGTATAGAGTATGTATTAGGGCCGTGGGTCTGTTAAAAAGTCTGGGCTCGTCATATTACTTTCATGTCAATATAAGTTTGGTTGGCTATAGTTGCTATAAATGTGTTATAGCATTTTTAGGCAAAGTGAAATGTATCCTACGTGCTACACAATGCTCTGACGTCAGGACACTACGCTGCCACTGATGACTTTATTGATATTTGGTGATTAGATTATCCGCTACAGACGCAAATTAGCAATATTGCGCCTTTTCTGGTTGACCTGTCGTCTGGACTTGCCCCAAACTGCTCCCCCACCACCTACAGTTCTCTGCTGTGCCACTTTATTACAGTGTAAGTTTAACGCTAGGGATGTTAATAAGTATTGAGACTGGTTTACAAGACTAAATCAGGGCTAGAGATCTACATTTGGTTTAAAGCAGGGTTTAATGTGAGATAAGCCAAAACAAGACTTTACTAGAGATCATTTTCTGCTCCAAGGACTTTGGACTGGTCATGAATCAACAGAGACAAGACATGTGTCAAACTTTGACTTATTAATCAGTTATTTCACAGGATTTAGTCAGAACTACAGCTCCAAACCATACTTTTCCAAATGTACATTCTAAAGCTACTTAAAAAGTAACTTCCTAACTTTCAAACATCAAAACTAGAGCTATGTGATGATTATATCCATGTCACTATGTCCACACACATGAATGTTTTGTCCTCTGTCCTGCTTCAGAATAGTAAAACAATGTACCTGAATAAAGTGCCTTGAGTATGAGCTGTTTCTGTGTTTCTGTCTCTGTGTGTGGCTGCACTGCACTGTCTGAGAGTGACTGATGTTGCATTTATAATTATTCAATGCAGATCCATTACATTTAGCAGAATGGAGAACTATTGTTTGGTAAACCAGATTGAATAAGCATTTCAGGATGTTTTGCGGAAAACAACTTTTGGCCAAGTTGAAGTTATTACATTTAACTAATTCATGGTAATAATCAATAGATTACTCTGTAAAATAACCACAGCTGCAGCCCTAATACAACAGGAAAATCCCTGTGCCTATTCAGGGTGCTTGCGCATGTCTTGAAAGTCTTAATAAGTATGGAATTTTAAAACACTGTTTTCCAGACCTTGAAAAGTCTTGAATTTTGTGTGAAAGTAAAATAAAATATGGAAAAAATGTATGGTATTGGTAACATTTTACAGTATGCTCAAAGGCATTGTGAAATGAGAAATAGGAAGGTAGGCAATAAAACTATAATTTTGGAATGGTATCCAATCAACACTTAGCCTTGTCTGGCACATTTTTGTGATGTCATTTCTGAGGTCTATTGACACATAGCTAGCCTAGTGGTCAACAGAAATGGGTCGTTGCGTGTTTTCAAATTTATGGTCTTTTCGGTTTTAAGGTCATTACAAATAAGTTGTGAAGCATAACTCATACTTAGCTTACTCACTTGAAGGTTCTCATACTTCATTTGTGCATCTCTCCAGGTTTTTTTCAGATGGAAGTGGAATGTTTGGCGCTGAAAGACCTGACGAGTCACAGGACAAGTTTTGGCTCAAAGAAGGAAGGACAAGAGAGCGACCACAAGGTGGGACTCTATAGTTGCTGGAGGTTGAATTTAACAAGTACTAAAAATGCCATGTATGTTTTAAACCACTGGAAGAGGATGTTGATTCTGAGGAGGCTCTGTTCAACTGTGTTCCTTCATTTACCACGCCATCTAAGATGTTCACTAAAAGGACATAATGCAATTCCCAACTATTCATAACCACCAGACTCATTCTTATGTGGGTGAAGTGTCTTGCCTTAGCACACAACAACAGTTCGGCACTTTACAGCCACAGCTCCTTCACTGTGGCACCTGGTATCCCAGGGGTCTCCCAAGTTAGACTCCCTCATTTCTTCATCCATTTTGCATCTTTGAATTTTTGACTATAACTATTATTTCACTTACTAAAGAATTGAATATTCTCAATATCATGTTAAAATTTATTTTAATGAACACAAATTGTCATGATAGGAGAACGTGCGTGTTGATAGAAGGAGATCAACACCTCTGAAGTCCCCTGAGGCCGGCTCGTCTGTGCTGAGCCGAAGAGGCCCAGACCTGAACCACATCACCCCCATCAAACACAGCGGGACTCCAGCTGAGCCCTGGACTCCCACGGCCAACCTGAAGATGCTGATCAGCGCGGCCAGCCCGGACATCCGCGACCGTGAGCTCAAGAAAGTCCTGTTCAGGTCCAGAGAGAATCAGGAGGAGGAGGAGGAGGAACCCAGGAGCCCAGAGCTGTTCCCGGAGGATGACGCTGACGATGCGCAGGTAACAATCATAGGCCCAGAGTCAGCAGCAGTGATAGTGGTAGGAGTAGCATCATTAGTAGTAGTATAGTAGGAGCCGTAGCCACAGCGGGAGTAGTAGCGATAATAGTTGTAGACATGGTCATGTATCTTGACATACTTGTCTGGAACCCCCTTGGCTTCTCCCATACTCCTGCTGTGGAACTGATTAAACACTCTCTGTCATCTCCTGTGTGCAGCTGGGGGTGTCAGCGGGGGACGACGTGGACAAGAAGCCCAGTCGGAAGCAGAAGAGTCTTGGTTTGTTGTGTCAAAAGTTCCTGGCTCTTTTTCCCGACTACCCTCCTCCCAACAGCCCCATCTGGATCTCGCTGGACAAAGTGGCCTCCAATCTGGGTACAAGACTTCCCCTTTCATGCATTTTAGACCATGAGAGAACATTATTGTTGTAATGTTTTTATACAAATTCAAATTCTCAACATAGGATGATGTCAGAATATGTCAGAATTGTTTGGCCCTTTCTTAGCGTCACATCCCCAAATGTTTTATTTTTTAAAGGGAATGATTCAGGTTATTCATGATGTCCTTGCAATATCTCTCTTGTATGTGCCCCTCTGAGCTCTGAAGCCTGACTCTTGTTGAATGAGTAAACTCTGCATACAGAGCATGAATGGTGTGGCGTTAGCATTGTAAACAAGTGTAGGAAAACACTACAGTTGCTAAGATGCCTCACTGAGTGGGTTTTGTTACCATTTCTGTGCCTGCAGCGCCTGCTCTATAGCGTCCCAACGTTTCCACAGTGATCAATATTTTTATAAGCCAAATATTATGGATTTTTTCTGAGTTTTTAACCAATAGGCTTCATTCCCCATAAGCTTAACAGGCCTCATGTCCTTCCACACTGAGCTCCCTGACCTAGTCCCAAATATAGCTGTTATTTAGACAGCAACAAAATCAAACAATTTTATAGGCTGTTGCTATGTAGGTCCGGTGAAGAAGGTCATAGACTAAACACATGAGGCGCGCAATGGGCAATACTTTAATAGCAGCAGCTTCACTCTAGTTACATGGCTTGTTACGCTATCAAGTTCTTAGTGCCAATTGTTCCCTCCTCGAAAACAGACCCCTTTCCCTCCTAATATCAGAAACACATGGCACAAATCAACATGTACACGCTTTAATGCTCTAAATGTGTCAAAGTCGGGGGCCAAGTATATTAAAGCTGAGGGATATACAACTAGATATAAAGGTAAAACATGAATCTGTGGTTATTTTAGAACATGTTTATCATTATGGAGGTAATCATTTGTTTTATTTTACTTGTGGATATTGTTTTCTGATAGATTGTTCAGTTATTGCCAATATAACTCTGATTCGAATTGGAATTTCCAATCATTTTTTCTGTTTCCGAAGAGCAGGTGCTGGCTTCAATCTCATATTTTTACATCCTTGCAGCACTCCCTATACTTCTCTGCAGATTGTCTTAAATTTCTGTTCAATGTTTACAGTAACATAGGTGTAAAACATGCCATGGTAGCCATATTAATCATATTATCTATGGAGCACATACAAATAATTGAAAATCCCTCAAATATCTTCTGTGTTTGACATGTCTGCTCTAGATAACCAACAAACATATTAGCAACTTAATAATAAATGTTAAAGTGATTGATTGATTGATGAACCTCCATACTTTGAGGACATATCGACAAATGGTGATAATATCGACCCCGTTTCAAAAAGATGTAGGTAGCTGGCAGAAATCACATGGAAACCACATCTGTTCCTAATTGCTGTGTAACCGTGCAGGTGTGGAGCGCCGGCGTATCTACGACATCGTCAACGTACTGGAGTCTTTGATGATTGTGGGACGCATGGCCAAGAATAGCTACTTGTGGTACGGGCGGCGCCGCCTGGAGGCTATGCTGAGCGAGCTGCAGAGCCAGGGCCGAGAGCAGGGCTACGATCTGCACATGGAGGGGGTCAAAGGAGGGGTCCGCGGAGGCAGGGAGGAGGAGCCAGAAGACACGCCCAACGGTAAGGACCAGACACTGTAGCTGCAATGTTATGCCCACGGTGGTCCTCATCTATAGCTTAGTTCACAGTTGGCATTTCCACAGTGACAAGTGGAGCAGATGTTTGGGGTGTAGTGGTTCCTCTGACACCCCTCTGGTTTTTCTGGTTAGAATTAGTTACATGGATTTGATTATAGTTGTTGTTTTAAAGGGGCTACTTAAGGGGCCAAAATGAATACAAATAACGTGATTGTTGGATCTTTAACATAATGTATGCTAAACACTGCTCCTTTCTTACTTCTGTGTAAAAGTCATGCGTTTGACTCTCCATTGGCAGGAGGCGGAAACAGGAAGGACAAGTCTCTGCGCATCATGAGTCAAAAGTTTGTGATGCTTTTCCTCGTCTCCAAAACGCAAACGGTGACTTTAGACACATCGGCAAAGATCCTGATCGAAGATGGTCCAGACTCGTCCAGCCACAGCAAATACAAAAGTGAGCCACATTTCACTCAAACACAAACTCAAAGCCGCGCGTCTGGAATGACTGGTGTGTGTTGCGTGAATGGTCGACACCTCAGTCAACTTGCCCCAGAGCATGTGAGGAGTGAATGAGTAATGTAGGGCTGTAGTTTACTAAACTTGATAAAATTAGTTTGACTATTTCAATCATGAAAATTAAGCTGCATCTAAAAAATATCAGTGTTGTCATGCCACTGATCTTTAAACTAGAACACATAATATAATTTCCAGACCATAAGCCGCTACCTTGTTCTAGTTTTTTGACCCTCATTGTCAGAGTTGTCTGAGCAAAGTTTATGGACTTATTTTGATTCCATCATCTTTTAGTAGCTATAGCACACTGTCCATCCATCCATTTTATTGTAAAGCTAAACTGTTGAATGAGCACCATGGAAGCTAACGGTTTGGCTTTTAAACATCTCATCATTAAATCAAAGCACGACCAGTTAAAACAGGCGTCTATCTGCTACAGTACAACATGAAAACATGCGGGTTCTATTTAAGTGCGGCCATTATATGGACAAAATGCACTTTCTTTTAAAATATTGTCTAATAATCCAGAAAGTATGGTACTGAATACCACGACAATTATTATTATTTAATCTGTAGAAATTCCCTTGCACATGATTATCAGTGTAAAAGTAAAAAAATAAATATATGGGGTCCTCGGGTTCTTCTGATATTGTTAAACTTTTATCAAGAAATGCTCAAAAGGTGTGTGTAGTATGATTGTGTGTGTAGTATGATGGTGTGTGTCCAGTATGATGGTGTGTGTCCAGTATGATGGCGTGTGTGTAGTCTGATATATTGTGTGTGTAGTGTGATAAATTGTGTGTGTAGTATGATATATTGTGTGTGTAGTGTGATAAATTGTGTGTGCAGTCTGATATATTGTGTGTGTAGTGTGATATATTGTGTGTGTAGTGTGATAAATTGTGTGTGTAGTCTGATATATTGTTTGTGCAGTCTGATATATTGTGTGTGTAGTCTGATATATTGTGTGTGTAGTGTGATATATTGTTTGTGCAGTCTGATATATTGTGTGTGTAGTCTGATATATTGTGTGTGTAGTCTGATATATTGTGTGTGTAGTCAGTGATATATTGTGTGTGTAGTCTGATATATTGTGTGTGTAGTCTGATATATTGTTTGTGTAGTCTGATATATTGTGTGTGTAGTCTGATATATTGTGTGTGTAGTCTGATATATTGTTGTGTAGTCTGATATATTGATATGTGTAGTCTGATATATTGTGTGTGTAGTCTGATATATTGTGTGTGTAGTCTGATATATTGTGTGTGTAGTCTGATATATTGTGTGTGTATATTGTGTAGTCTGATATATTGTGTGTGTAGTCTGATATTTGTGTGTGTAGTGTGTATATATTGTGTGTGTAGTCTGATATATTGTGTGTGTAGTCTGATATATTGTGTGTGTAGTCTGATATATTGTGTGTGTAGTCTGATATATTGTGTGTGTAGTCTGATATATTGTGTGTGTAGTCTGTTGTATTGATATATTGTGTGTGTAGTCTGATATATTTGTGTGTGTAGTTGTATATATTGTGTGTGTAGTCTGATATATTGTGTGTGTCTGAGTTGATATATTGTGTGTGTAGTCTGATATATTGTGTGTGTAGTCTGATATATTGTGTGTGTAGTCTGATATATTGTGTGTGTAGTCTGATATATTGTGTGTGTAGTCTGATATATTGTGTGTGTAGTCTGATATATTGTGTGTGTAGTCTGATATATTGTGTGTGTAGTCTGATATATTGTGTGTGTAGTCTGATATTTTGTGTGTGTAGTCTGATATATTGTGTGTGTAGTCTGATATATTGTGTGTGTAGTCTGATATATTGTGTGTGTAGTCTGATATTGTGTGTTAGTTAATTGTGTGTAGTCTGATATATGTGTGTGTATCTGATATATTGTGTGTGTAGTCTGATATATTGTGTGTGTAGTCTGATATATTGTGTGTGTAGTCTGATATATTGTGTGTGTAGTCTGATATATTGTGTGTGTAGTCTGATATATTGTGTGTGTAGTCTGATATATTGTGTGTGTGTGTAGTCTGATATATTGTGTGTGTAGTCTGATATATTGTGTGTGTAGTCTGATATATTGTGTGTGTAGTCTGATATATTGTTGTGTAGTCTGATATATTGTGTGTGTAGTCTGATATATTGTGTGTGTAGTCTGATATATTGTTGTGAGTGTGTGTAGTCTGATATATTGTGTGTGTAGTCTGATATTATTGTGTGTGTAGTGTGATATATTGTGTGTGTAGTCTGATATATTGTGTGTGTAGTCTGATATATTGTTTGTGTAGTCTGATATATTGTTTGTGTAGTCTGATATATTGTGTGTGTAGTCTGATATATTGTGTGTGTAGTCTGATATATTGTGTGTGTAGTCTGATATATTGTTTGTGTAGTCTGATATATTGTTTGTGTAGTCTGATATATTGTTTGTGTAGTCTGATATATTGTTTGTGTAGTCTGATATATTGTGTGTGTAGTCTGATATATTGTGTGTGTAGTCTGATATATTGTGTGTGTAGTCTGATATATTGTGTGTGTAGTCTGATATATTGTGTGTGTAGTGTGATATATTGTGTGTGTAGTCTGATATATTGTGTGTGTAGTCTGATATATTGTGTGTGTAGTGTGATATATTGTGTGTGTAGTCTGATATATTGTGTGTGTAGTCTGATATATTGTGTGTGTAGTCTGATATATTGTGTGTGATCTTGACCACAGCCCTCTGCTTTCCTGTTTTGCTCTGCAGCCAAAGTGCGGCGCTTGTACGACATCGCCAACGTGCTGACCAGCCTGGGCCTCATCAAGAAAGTGCACGTACGCGAGGAGCGAGGGAGGAAGCCTGCATTCCAGTGGCTCGGCCCCACTGAGTTCAACACCACGGTCGCCCCCGGTGGACTGGAGGCCACGCAGGACACCACCCGGGTCAAAATGTCTCGCCATTCCTCTTTCAACATCCGCTCTGCTTCTGTGACGGTGCAGAGACAAGTGAGCTCTGCCCCCAGCAGCCCACGGCGAGAACACGCAGGTACAGGATGTGTATCATATGTTTGTTTTTCTATAGCACAATTGAAAGAACTAACATGCCCAATTCATTCTTGTGGCTTTGTAAAAAAAACAGCCTGATAAAATTTCATGTCAGTAAACGTTTCTGTCTTTCCCTGGTCTGCCATTGTTATTCCACAGCGTTGCAGAATCAGCCTTTGGATTACTCCAGGAAAAGCCCCGTGTGCCGTCTACAGTTTGGAACCTCTTCAGAGTGAGTTCCCTTTCAGTCTCCTCCTTTTTGTTTCTGTGTCTGTAAAGTTATAGGCCGTATATTAAGTGTGGACTAACTGAGTGCTGACGTCACCAAAGTGTTGCCATGTCATGTCTCTGACGCTCCACAGTTACAAAGTGTTTCAATAATTTATCTCTCTTTGTTTCCCCAAAATTAAACCGACAGATCAGAGTTCAGATAAAACACGAATGTCAATCAGACTATGATGTATTACTCTGCTCACTTTCAAAAGCAATACCATCATAGGTTAAATAGATATAGCTCTGTATTAATGCACAATAATGGGTTTCTGCTCATGGCAAATACGAACACGTCTCGTAGTTGATGTGATTTCATTGAATTTAATTTGAACTAAAATAAACCAACCAAAACATAATCTGGCAGAGAGTTTGTTATGTCAGAGGAGCCACAGAGAAAAACATGAAGGCTGTTTAACTCCCATTCTCTAAAACTATATCATTTGTTTGAAATACTGTGTATGGGACTATGGATGAAAACTTACAGTATATTCTGTGCTGTCGTCCTCAGCGGTCTTCCCCCAGTCCCTGTGTCGCCTCAGACCACAGCACAGCAGCCCTCTCTCCAGATGCACTCCCTTCATCCGGGACACATGTTCAGTCCCTCTGCCCCCGCCCCTGCCTCCTCCTGCCTGGCCTACCTGCAGAGCCTATCCCAGCCTTCTGTGGTCATGCTGTACAGGGCCCCCCAGCCTGCAGCGCAGGGGAAGAGGAAGCGAGACCAAGATGAAGACAACTCTGCAAAGAAGGGAGCCAACGGAGCAATCAACGGTTTTGAGGTGTGTTTAGTATTGATATATTTATGCTCCGTTATTGTGGAGTGTTTGACCGGGATCAACAGTGGAAAAATGTTTCATGTCAAAACAGAAGAACCTTTGGATATTCAAATATTAGTCACAGCACAATGCACCCAGGACCCCAGCCAATGAAGAAATGTATTGTTCATGGATTTTATGTTTAAAAGTCCATAGTTTCCTAAGAGCACCATGAAACCCCTGGGGGTCTGACAGGTAGACTGCACGGTGCTCTAGAGCAGGGAGATGCCCTCACTGCTTTGCTATGTACTTGTGGGGCTCCTCGCCCAGTCTTGGCTCCTGGGGTTGAGACTCCACTTGGGAGAGAACTTTGTGCAGTCTCCGAACGTGGAGACCCCTGAGGTGCTCAACATTCGCCATGCCCTGCACCGTGTCCGGGATCGTGGGGCTCTAGAGCATGGGGCCCTAAAGCATGCTACATAGTGCTGCATTTTGGACTAAAGACTTTTCGTTTTAGGAAAACAGAGTGTCCTGAACTTTTTAACAGACTGTTCATTTGAGATGATGTTCTGTTTTCCAGGTGACAGAGGACAATACGGAGATGGAGGGTTACGAGGAGAGCCCCAGTCCTGTCCACGACTCTCTGCCTTCTCACTACCTCTATGTGCCCAACACTGCAGGTAACTCACAAATAATGGTTGTCTGACAAAAATAATATGTATTTTTATACTGTGCTGTCTTGATATACACCATATTATTTACATCAAAATGATTTGTTGTGTTCTGGACCAGTATTGTAACCCTTTGACTTTCCCACTTACACTGTTTACTTTAATAAGTAATGGGGTAATAAAAAGTTTACTTTTTATCATTGGAATTTTTGTAATGGATAATATTAGCTACCAGTATTGGCTGAACAATAAATTAAAGTCACCCCATATTTTCCTGAATTAGTTGGGAAGGTGTTTGTAGATTATAACAAAAGAGCAATACTTTTTTTTATGTCTTCTATTTTGTGATTTCTCTTGACATTTCCCTGTGGGTTTCAGGTCTGAACAGTGTGAACTTGCTGCTCTCCTCTGCTCACTCGACCTCCGTCCCGGGTGTTGCAGTCCCGTACGTGCTGCTGCCCTCTTCCTCGCTGCCTCCACTCCCCCTCCTCAGCACCAGCCCTCTCAGGAACCCCTCTGGCCCTCCCCACATGAGCCTGAGTCAGATTGTGCTACAAACACCGTCCACTCCGGAGCAGACCACCCTCTATGCAGCATCAACGCCACATTCAGTGAGAGCCAAGCAGCCAATGGTAGGTCTTGTTGAACTTCTTACAGACTGTGGCTCTGGGAATGTCTTGGCGGTTCAGGTCGAGAGTGTCTGGGTCGCTTTGTCCACCCTCATCTGTGTGTGTCCAAGTTCTGTCTAGTTTAGTCCAAGTCGTCAAGTTCCAGTTGCAGTCCAAGTCCCAGCCTCCATCTGCTGCATTTGAGTTAAGAGCCAATAGATTTGATTCAGGCATATATTATATCTGCATGACAACGATCATGATTGACCGGAGCCAGAGATGTCTTCAGATTGAGGGCAGTAAGTCAGAGCTGTCCCCTTCAGGGCTCAACCTTGTCACCAGTTCATTTCTCTGTCATTACGGACAGAGATGATGCCTGTGATCGGAGGAGGTCCGGTTTGGGTACCAACTGGTTTTCATCTCTGCTGTTTGCAAATGATGTTGTCTCCATCAATTAAGGACTTTCAACAGTTTGAGCAGAGCGCAAAGTAGCAGGAAGAAAGTAAGCACCTTCAAAAACCAAGGCCACGGTACTGGAACAGAAAAAGGTCCCTGTCCACTCCAGGTGGTTGAGGTCCTTCCTCAAGTATCTTAGGTTCATAGTGAAGGAAGGATGATGGCACATGACAGACTGAGGATATAAATAAGCTGAAGTTACAATTTCAATTAAAGGCCAAATTTTCTTCAATTTCACTCCAGTCCATATATTCTCTGCTGTAATCTGTTTACATAAGGGTTATACATAAGTAATGGTAATTTTTAATAAATACGTAGCCCATTATTTGTTTGATTAGTTGGTTAAAGACCCCAAAAGGTCAGTGAGTATGACATACATTTGTCCAAAAGTTCTTATACATTTGTAGAAATTTTATATTACTTTCTTATGTTAAAGACAGAGATGTTATATTTGTTTCTTTGATGCTAGAGTTAGAGATGTTATTTTATTTATCATAGTTATTGTTCATTTATCTCGTGCTGTGTGCTCCTCATTCCTACTGTTCTGTAACTGGCAATGCAACACTGGAATTTAAGTGATGCCCCTGGAGAACATCTGCATAGTGATGACATGAGTTGTTTGAGTGAGTAGTCATTAGAATGATCAGAGCCATAAAACCTCTTCTCTGCATGTCAAAGTCTGTGTAACATTCAGAATACGATGAATCAATTACTGACTATTCATTCTATTTCAATAATCGTTTAGCTGTGATTCATGTAACTTTTTATTGCCCTAGGTTCTATATAATCTTTTTTTTTTCTCCGCAGACGCCACAGACTCCAAAAGAAAATGCTGCTGCAAAATCCTTCTTCCAAACTCCGGCTACACCTGGAAACAGGCTCAGTGCTGCCCCCAACGGGCGGAAACGGGGATCTGCCCAGAGGCGGCTGGATGTAGAACAGCCCACCAACATTTAAACCCACGGGATACAAAAAACTCAAATCTACAACAAATATGCATTTATTTTATTGTCTAATGTCATTGGAATATTGTTAAAAATCAAGAAGTGCATTTTGATGTTGTGAATGTGCCGCATGGTTATTTCTATGGGCCACTAGTTTGAAGCAGTATTGTGTGGACGAACCCCATTTAGTGCATTTGTTTTAATTTAATTGTATTTCTCCCTTTAAAAAATGTGATAATGCCACATAACACCCCTTTATTTGTATACTATGTAATTCCCCATTTGATATTTATATTTTAATTAATATATAAAGTTATACACAGGGAGTTGCACAAACATTTGAATTCTTGAAATATTTAGATTTATTTGTCTCCAATACTAATCCACACAGCACTACAGCTAAATAATGTACTTTATAGGTGCTGACTTTTCCAAAAACCATTATGAAGTTGCTAGAGCTAGATGTTTGCGTCCATTTCTATTGGGTTGTAAATGCCATGTTTGCTTGTTTCTGTTTGGTGAAGCGCAAAGACAATGTGTGATGTTGCCCTGAGCTACTTGAAATCTTTGTGGCTTTACTTTTAGAGATTATCAAAGTACTGTATTGGTTTTACTTTGGAATGAACAATCCTTGGTGCTAACATAATATTAGCATTCAATAGCTGATGTTGTAACTTGCCTTTTTATTCAGCTTCATTGCATCTTGGGTCTAGTCTTTTTTAGTACAGCAAACCGATCATTCAATATCTGTAGTCCCATTCTCAACACCGTGCCAAACAAAGCGTGCCATAAGATTATTACTTCAAAAATAATACAAGTTTGTCATACAAGTGCCATTTCCTTCATCTATAGAAAGGGACTTTGTAATTCAGAACATTCACACATCAGTCACCTCTCTGCAGTTTTATCCTTGTTTTGTTTCAACTTGTTTTCTTATGTATTTGAAATAAAGTATCAAATACAAATACAATTTTCTGTTATTGTAAAGAAAAAAAACAAAGCTGCATCTTTACATACAAGTCCCATGTCGGTCACTGCCCCAACTCCAGGGGCCTGAGATTTCCCGGGGGTGTCATCTCAGCGGGACATGAACACAACACAGCGCAGCAGCTCTACTCCGAGCTCCTCCTTAACCTAAACAGATCTAAACTAGGGATGAGTGACACCACAAGATTGTTTTTTTTTTACATTCATATTTTTGGAGACATTTGAATCTATACCAGAAATGTAAAAAATTAAGTAAATATAGAAACACAATATTTTGAAAGTCAGCAGAGGCATTATCTATGTCACTCCAATCAAAAGTAAAAGACACTACAGCTGTACGATGCAGGCGAGTGGGGCTGATACACCCGGCCGCTGGTTTGACGATTAACGCACAAATATACATAAATGTGTTTTATTACATGTAAACCAATGAATTTAAATGAACACCTAATTACAATACAATATGGACATGTAGAAAAAGTTCCTCATCAACACAAAGGAACAGCCCCTTAAGGAAAAAATATATATGAATGTTTGAATGCTGATATTAGCATTCACGATAAGACATAAAGAGCTCGATATATAATCCTATAATAATAGTTTTTCATTAATTTTATTCTGAATTCCTAAAAATAAAATAATTTCTGGTTTTACTGTTAACAAAATGAATAAAAAGGGAAATTAAAAACATTACACAAGCAATCTTAAATGAAAAAGGGTGATGCTTTGTCAACAATTAAATGAATGAGTAACTTGAACAGGATTTCTCTTCATCCACAGAAGCACAAGGGTGCATTTCTAAAGAGTGACATGTCTAAGAATGTAACAGTGTACAGTATATGCAAGCAATAGGAGATTTTCCATGTTTGCGCTTGCAGACAAAAGTTCATTTGATCAGGGGGAAAGACACAATTGAACACTTTTACAATCTTAAGATTCAAAACAACTTAAATGCAATGTTTTAAAAAGTCCTGTCTTTTTCTGTCTTTAAAATATTATGTCCACAGTTGATTCAGCATTTTGGCAAAAAGTAATTTGAGCGTTGGTGGCAAAGAGAGTCCAAGGAGAGCAGTGCAGTGAGGTTGCTCATAGAACCGTGAGCAGGGTCCTTGTACAGGCCAGCGTGAGCATTTCAGTCAGCAGAAGCACCACGCAGCAGCAGGAGGCCGTCAGCAGGCCATCAGGAGACCATCAGGAGACCATCAGGAGACCCTCAGGAGACCCTCAGGAGACCCTCAGGAGACCCTCAGGAGACCCTCAGGAGACCCTCAGGAGACCATCAGGAGACCATCAGGAGACCATCAGGAGACCATCAGGAGACCCTCAGGAGACCATGAGGGGACCAGGACCGAAGCCACACAACACAGGAAAAAGAGCCATGTGGTCAGTGACGCGGCCGACGCTCCTCCGCAGTCGTTGGCGTTCTCCTGGACAAACAGAAAATAGATTTAGTGCTACACAAGTTACACACAACTCATGTCACACCTGGGACATCATTTAAAAAACTTTACAGAGATTTTCCACGGGAAATCTACAAACTTCTTCAAACTTGCATTTTGTTAATTTGTTTTGCAGATATATGGTTTTGCAAAATCTCTGAAAAATATATTTCTATATCTAATATATTAAAGATGTTCGTTTTGACGATTAAATTGAGGCAGCTGCTTCCATATATATCTATCTATCTATATCACCTGTTTTAATAAGTGTTATAAACAGAAGGGCTGCACAGACAAGGATTAAATTGACTTTATAAGGGTTGCATCTAATATTCACTCTTAGTAAATATGATTTGTACATGTGACCTGTTATCTGGGGACATGTGTAAAAGATGTAGATATCATTTAAAATGATAATATCAAATATAAGTAAAAGCACAACCACACCATTTTGGTAAAATATTTAACTTTGCGTTCATGATTAGATTTGCAATAGTAATTGTTGTTTGCTAAGGGCTTAAATAATTGCAGTCTTTGCGACTTGCTGATTGCGGCGTCAATGAGTTTGCAATGAATATTGAAGCTCCCTCATCAAGACAGCACAAGGGCCTGGTGAGGGCCCCAGGATCCTCCCTCATCTCTTTGAGGAGCTCCCTCATCAGGACTGCACTGTGATTATCATGTGCAGTCATATGTGATTCTCTGACCTGCTCATGATAAGCGTGGCATGATTCTGGGCGCCTGCGGATCTTCTGGGACCTCATTCGTTCGCATTTAGAGGAGTAGTTATGTGCAGCCATGTTAAGGAGCAGCAACTACCAACACACACACACACACACACACACACACATACACACGTGCACGCACACTAGCACTTTCCTCTGCACAGATCTGACTTGTTATTTGGTCAAAAACCTGCTTCTTGCTAAATGGATCTGCGTTTTCAATGTGTTTCGCTGATGTTGTGTGAAGGGGCAGAGAGCAGATCCATATGGCAGGATTGAATATAGCTAGTATCTTTCATTACATGATTTTCTGTCAATCTACAAAACAAACCAAATCTGGAGAAGTCTTCCTGAAAATCTGAGACAGGCTTTTACTCTGACAAATATCAAATCCAAGTTCTGTTTAGCAATGATTGTTTATTTTCTCCGTCTATAATTTTAACGTTCCCTTTCTTGTTTTGTAAGCGTTGTCCTGTTTGTCCACTGTCCAAAAATAATAATGCCAATAAAATAATGTGGTTCTGGCCATTTTACAGAATCTCCATCGCACTCTTGTGATCTGTTGCTATGTCTACACTCAGTTGTGACTACGCTTGTGACAAAGCCAATTATCTTTTCTCTTTCAAAACATGGAATAACGCTGGTCACTATACAGCAGACAAAAGAAGCACATGTCTCTGAAATGACAACATGAAGGATATATTTGACTTCCTGTGGGGCCAGAGTGATGCTGGAGTACTGTTTGGAGCAGTCGCAGTCGGCCTGAACCACGAGCAAGAGCAGGTTTGTGTCTGGGACCTGCTGTACCACGAACATCCTGCAGGGAAAGAGAAGACATTCAGTTGTAGAATGAGTGAAGTTTGCATGTTTTCCCAGTGTCTGCGCAGGGTTTCCTCCAGGTGCTCCAGTTTCCCCTACCACTAAAAACATGCATAATAGGGAAAATCCTTCAGCTCCGGTAGTTCCTGACCAAGCCGAGCATCAACATTTGGAGATGGGTTCCCGGGTGCTGTTACTACGGCGACCACTGTTTTATAAAAACAATCACACTATTTATATAAAAAGATACCCTTTTCCATGGTAAATGAAGACAGGGTGAAATCCGAGGCACTCTGATAAAAGTCCTTTAATTGAGAAGGGACCAACGCGTTTCGGCCACGCAGGGCAGTGTAAAAAACATACTGAAATAACAGGTGTTAAAATAGACTCATGACGTCCACTGAACTCGTCACATGACATAAAGCAACAACCTCTATTGGATGACACATTGAAGGTAGGCGTTTAAAAAAGACCAATGACGTCCACAGGACTCGTCACATGACAAATTGAAAAATACCTAATTGAATAAAGGGAGGGTATTTAAACATATAAAGACACTACAGTATATGTTACTAAGACCGATGCCACATACAAAACAATGTACTCAAACACACATTATACTGGAGGGGCCCCTCAGTGAATACCTTGTCCTTTGAAAAAATATAATACCAATTATAAAAACACTGAAAAGTCAACATCATCATTTAACCCCGAAAAAACAGAATGTTTCTCTTTGTGCGAGTCTTTTAACTCTGTCCCCACCTCTCAAACTACCAGGGATGACCTCAATAACCATGGCTTGTAAGTGACTCAGATTGTGTCCAACTGAAGAAAAATGCGTAGCCATGGGGTAGTTTGGATTTTTTGTTCTGATAGCATACACTATTTATATCATCATCAAGTAATAAAAAGTAAACTTTGTTCAACCCAGTCTACAATGTAATGCCTCATTCCTTTTTCCCCCAGTTTTGTTTCAACCAAAGCAGCTAGACTCGTTTTGTTCCGAGAAAAACATAAATCAATGAATCTATAATTTTATTTATTTCAAACCTGCACAAGACATTTTTAAGACAATTCCTCTGGTAAACATATGCATGGTTGGTGGAAGCAAGAGCTTATTTATATCCAACCCCCTCTCACTCGATCTCCACAACACAATCACAATGCAAAAAATCACATACAAAAGCTAATCTAAATCCCCCCCTCTATATCCCCTACTACCCCCACCAGCAAAGTCAAGTAAAGCACATAACAATGCAATACTATAACAATACAACTCTGGGACAACACACGACAAGACTCAGACACTGGCCCCAAACGTTCTCTGACCACACACCACTCCCTCAATGCTCTGCTACTGCTCAGGGAATCATGGTTCTAAACAAATCGATCAAACTCCTATTCAATAAGAGTAATTATTTGGTCAAAACACCATCATTATAAAAAGAAAGATACAAATAATGAACAATAAAACTTTCCACAAACGCCTGTTACGAGCCCAAACCTTCACTTTCTCTAATGTTAAGAATGAGAAGATGCACAGTTTGTAATGTCGCAGTATTAGACATTTATCCAAAAGATAAACTGTGTGTGCAAAGTGAAATACTGTGTGCGATTTTAGTTTGATTCTATCTCTGTGTGTGCGATCGGTTTGCTCCAATGTTCATATTATGCACATCCCAGACTCCACCTCATGCGGCCCCTGGATAAATTGAGTTTGTGACCCCTGGGTATAACGTAGGCACAGTAGTAGGCATGAAGGATTATTAAAATTGGACAAAAAAGGGTGTTAGGCGCATGCATTTTGGACCAGCTTGACTGACCCCTGCGTACACACGATTGAAATAATACAAGCTGTTTTTTATAAAGGCATGAAAAAGCACTTCAAAGGTTTATCTGGACACAATGGATTTTATTTTTGCCTTTATCCGTCTGAGCTGAAAAAGGCTTGACTTGATCATTGTTATTATTTGTGATTCAAGTTTAATATCAAATTCTGTGGGGGACCCTGAGTTGACTGGAAATAGATCAGGATATCAGGAGAGCCAATCAACATTTAAGTGAAAGTAATTAAGTAACATCCATCACTGTGACATCATAATTAAAATTTCAATAAAACTTGGCAATAAAAGCACAGGACCAAACATAATTGAAAGTTTGTCAGAAATTAGGGAGCAAAAAATGTCTTTTATTTGAGAAGGGAGCTCTGAGTGTCACTCTTACTGCCCACTAGATGGCAGCAATGATCCTGAGAATAAGACATTGTGTAGAGCGAATCATTATGAACTGAGAAATGTAGGAATCAAACCTTTGGAACACAAGAAATATCAATTCACAATAATTTTATTATATTTGCAAAATTCTTCATACACAAATGCAAATTTGGCAGTACTAAACCTTTATTTTTGTTTGTATGTAGTTTGAAGTACTCTTTAAAGCTTTGCAAGTCTAGACAGCTATATGGCTCTATAACGATATGATCAAAATGTCTTTTGACGCTACTGTACATTGTTGACGTTGGCTCTTTGTATTTTGTTCGTTTTTGTTTTGTTCTATACTAGACTTGACTATGTACATACTATTTGTATGCTCTACTTGTAAAACATATTGGAAATAAGTGAGCATGTAAGCATAGAAATCAAACCAATGACATGAAAGTGATCATTCCTCCTGAGTGTTTGTGTAAGCAGATTAAGACCTACTTCTGATTCACCTCGGAACACACAAATGCAGTACATTGTGTAGATCCACCAATAAAGCCTCCTATTATTACTTTGGTAATGTCTGGTGCTAACTAAAGTTCTCTGCTATATATTTTATATTAGTTGAATTACAGTCTTGTTAAGTCAAGACTTTATTTGTTACTGTTTATAATTGGCTCACAGCTTGTATAAAAACACCAAATAAAACATCTCAGAAATGTTTTATATTTTGAAAATGGACTGTAAGTAATTTGTTTGTAATAATCAAAAATATAACAATCAAAGGCTTGGCTTATATGTCTCTTTGCATGTAATGAGTTTGTATTATGTAAATAAATTGTCTATTAAACAATATTCTATTTTCTTTCTCCTGCCAAATGCCAAACCAGTTCCACACTTTGGCTGAGCTACTACCCAGACTTAACCAGGTACAGTATAAAGTATCTTTGTTTAAGATAAATCAATAAAATATAGCCTGACACTCGTCCCATTGGAAAGTCTATTTTTTCATAATCTACTTGAAACAAGAAAAAAACAACTAAATTCACGAGTTTCTGGCCTAATCGTTGATCACTTGTTGCAGTGCACATGGGCTGAGGGCCGGAGCAGAGTGCTCCAAGGGCCAAATCAGTGGAATGGGCCTGTGCTAATACAATAAAGCAGAGTAATCACCATGAAACCTTTTTTGTCATTTGATTAAATGGTGTGAGTTATGAAAATAAAGAGAAGAATTCAATAGTATTTAGTTGAACCATCAACAACTCAAACCTCAAGTTTTTACATAGATGAGAGCAGAAATCTCTCAATTTTCACAAAGAAAAAGTATTAGTATTAGATAGCAATATGGCCTACGTGCAGGACTGTACAAGGACTCTGCAAGGACTCCATGTTATGACTATGATGTGACTGTCTCTTTGTGACACGTATGTCTTTCGATGTGTGACGTGACAATGACTATATAAACTGTGTACTGCCTTTATTCTGTCTGAGAGAAAGAAACAGAGTAAACCAGTGGAACTTGAGAGCAACTTAAATAAACTTCCAGAGTTTGGCACACCACGATCCGTCTCTGTCTGCTTAAATCCTAACAGATTTGGTGGAGAATGCGCGGCTCGGTTTGTGCCATTCTCTGGATTGTTTTGAGGGAGTTTTCTCTGTTTCTTTTTTTCGGCGTGTGGGAGCAACAGCACGTTATCTGGAAGGGGAGAAATCCCAGTGGACGCTGAAAGGGCTCGCTTTTGGATGGGCTTGCTCTTGCTCCCTCACTTTCTCTGTTTTGTGTTTAAATTGAAGATTCCGACGCGGAAAAGAGTTGGCAGACCTCTCGGACAGCCCGTGCGCACCTGTTTGACAAGAATAAGGTAAGCAGACACCTTTTTAAATGTAAAGTCTGCATAATTGGATACTAGCTAAATTTGGGTGTGTTTTTGAGGTCTGTCGAACTCTCTAAATTGTGTTCAAATAAGTGTTGGCCATTAAAGTGAATAGGATCCATAAAGTGAAAAGTGTTGGCCATTAAAGTGAATAGGATCCATAAAGTGAAAAGTGTTGGCCATTAAAGTGAATAGGATCCATAAAGTGAAAAGTGTTGGCCATTAAAGTGAATAGGATCCATAAAGTGAAAAGTGTTGGCCATTAAAGTGAATAGGATCCATAAAGTGAAAAGTGTTGGCCATTAAAGTGAATAGGATCCATAAAGTGAAAAGTGTTGGCCATTAAAGTGAATAGGATCCATAAGTGAAAAGTGTTGGCCATTAAAGTGAGGATCCATAAGTGAAACCATGGTGTAATAATAAAAGCAATTTATAAAAAGGGAAACGTGTTAAGGAGGCCTTTGTTACAAAAGCTTTGAAATTGACGAATTTCAGGCTGATAAATGACAAAAGTAAAGAAGCAACAATATTTCAGTGATCACGGTTTAAATTACATACAGAAAAAGGGAGTTTTTGTTTTTGGAGTGAACAGAGTTCACCGGAGAATGCAGAGTTTTATCTAAAGTTGAGCTATGAGAGCTTTCGTGAGTTATTTACATTTTTTTACCGAGTTTTATCTACAGTTGAGCTATGAGAGGGTTGTATCCAACAGTTGTTTTTGTTTTTTAGAAAGAGATTTTGAGTTTAAATTAGTTTGCTACCTCGATAAAATAGAAGCGTAAACGTTAAAGACAAGAGTGCCTTTTGTTACTAGTGTGGAAAGTGATCACTTCTAGACTTCGATGACAAAAGTATAAAGAACAACATCAGTTATATTCGCTTAACAAAGTAATCTTGAAAGTTATTCTTCTGTATCTTTTTGCCTGTGTGTGTGCGTCGCTCTATCTGCTGCCGTTGTCAGGGGAAACGGCCCCCACCTTCGCTGCTCTGGCTGTGAATCTGAAGCAAAGCTACTGCTTTAGGACTTTTGGCTTTTTATAGTTGTTATTCCGTTAAATTTGCTAAATTTGCCATTTGAACATTGTGTTAGACACAGTTAAACGTTTTTAAACACCATTAGGGAATAGAAGTTTTGAATTAGTATGTTTTTGAAACCCAAAGATTAGTACAAAAAGCTTTGCTTTTCTTTTTAAATCTGCTGCTTATTTTGTGAGTCCATTATTGTATCTCTGATATATTTCATAGCTGTTTGTGAGAATTTTTTCATGTATTTTTTATTTTAGTTACAAAAGCCGTTTTTCAAACATTTAAATTAGAATCTGTTAAAAGTGATTAATGATTGTAGACTTCGTCTAAAAAAGAAAGAGGGAATTAGGCTGTAAAAGTATTATATTATTAAGTTAAACTACCCAATTCACATGCAAGTGGTGACTTTTGTTTTTGTTTTGACTACACGCGTGACCTTGCTGCTGCTCAGAGACATGAGGAGGCAGCTCCGACGCACAATTGAGTTTTATTGAACCAAATCCAGTTTAGCTGGAGCTAAATCTTTTGTTTGATTTCAAGTTTTGTTTTAAATGTTTTTACAAATTAATGTTCATTTTTATAGAGATTTTTCATAATTTCATTTCATGGCGTCTTTCAAGAAACCCAAGGACGCATAGATAATTAATCACACAGTACAAAAGTATATAATACATGTTTTAAAGTTTAAAGGCGCGTTCAGACCAAAAGCTTCAAAAAGCTTTTGACGCGCTTCAACTGACGCCGGGATAGTTTTGTCATTTTGGTGCTTGAAGCTTTTGACGCGAGTGACGCGCCTGACGCCGGTGGGAGGAGCTTCTCTGTTGTCTGTAGTCAGGACAGCGGTGGATTTTTCAATGAGCAGCGAGCCTTTATTTGTTATATAAAGCAAAATAACGTTGTTGTAGGGCTTCAACAAAACATGCGCTGGGTTCACCACAGACTTGAGAGGCTGCAGTGTTTGCAGAGTTCCGTCATTTACTCCAGGAGCTGCGTACGGAGGAGTTTCGCTTTCAGCGGTACTTCCGCATGTCACTCGCCCAGTCTGAGTTCTCAAACCCCGGAGCTCGCCTCTCCCCGGCTCTCCCTGCCTCTCGCCGGCTCTCGCTCGCCTCTCCCCGCCTCGCTCTCGCCTCTCCCTGCCTCTCCCCGGCTCTCGCCCGCTCGGAGCTGCCTTGCTCTGAGCCAGACTCATCGTCAGCCTGTTCTTATTTTAAATAAACTACGTTTACTACACAGCATGTATACAATGATTTTTGTTACTCAGAATGTTACTACTCATACAAATAATATTACTAATAACAATAATGACAATAAAACAGCAGCAGCAGATACATGACTTCTCTTCATGACAGAGACAGACCCTCTGCTGCTGCTGCTCCTCGTCTCCTGATTGGTTGAAGCCCGCGTCAAAGCTTCAAAAGCTCAGCTTTGCTCAGCTTCGGCGTCAAAGGGATTGTTGTGATACGCGAGCGTTTCGCGCGTCAAAAGCTTCAAGTGAGCGCGTAGTACGCGCGACTCTTGAAGCTTTTGACGCGCGTCAAGTGACGCCGGGGCTCTCGGCTTCACCTGACGCGCTTCACCATTCACTTTCAATGGAAACCTGACGCTTTTGACGCCGAAGTTAAGTCCGGTGTGAACGCCCCTTAAAAGGTTGTTTGTTTTGAGTATAATTGTTGTTTTGATAACTTCTTTAGTTTCTGGTTTTAAATGTCATCATTAGTAAGATAATAAGTAATCTTTTATTTACATAGCGCTTGGGAAAGCCAAGAGCGCTTCAAAATTGTTTAGACTTCAGAGAGAAAAACAATCTCATTCACAATCTCTGTTGTTTTTAATTTGACTATAAGGTTGTTTTCCAGAACCAAGAGCACACACTGTACAGGGTCACTGGACTGCTGGACACTGGACAGCGCAAAGCCCACCCAGCCACAGGTCACAGATCAAAGAGCAAAGGAAAATGCCACCTCTACGCCCCTCCCCCCACTACAGAAGTAAGTGGGAGTGAGACCGGGGCCACAAAGTGGAGGTTTCTGGAGGCAGTGATGGGTGGAGCGTCAGGTAGAGACCTAGAGGGAGTTGAGAGTGTGTCCAGTTGGTTTGCATCACCACAGTGTGACCTTTGAGACCTACAGGTGGTTCGTGGAGTCTGGAGAGACAACCCCAAAATTCATACACACACACACACACACATACACTCACACATTCACATTTACATATAGATACATGAAAAAGCAGAACATGAGAAAAAGCATTTTAAAAGTTTACTCCAATGTAAACACATATTTTTAATTGTCTATCACTTGAATCAGTATTTTTTGAGACCAGAAATGTTCATTTGAATTCTATATTGTCATGGACATAATTGACCTCTGTCCTGACACTTTTGATTTGTTGATTTTGTACTGTGTGAAGTAATTACATTGATGAGAATTAGATCTGATAAAAACACAAATTAGAGAAGTAAACTGCGCTTGCTTTTTGTCTAAGGGACATTAGCAACAGCATGAATAGAAATTGTCTTTAAAGTAGAATCAAAGTGACTTAACCATAGAAAGTAACTATTGCATAACAAGCTGTGTACAGGAACTGTGAGACTGCACCATTGACCAGAAGTGCATCCCAAGTGACCTGATGTGCTTCAACTGAAAAGACTGTATCTGGAGATCCTGATGTCCAACTGGAGAGACCAGAACCATGGCTTGGACCCTACTGATGTCCAAGATGACCTGACCTGATGACGACTGAGACTCACCCTCAGGGGACCCTGAGGACCTGAGGACCTGAGAGAAAACTGGGGAGTGATGTTTATATTTTTGAAATCATACATTGATGAGTGCTAAATGAGAGAGATACTCATGATTCTTTCTTTTGTTTTTGTTTGTCCCTAGCTTCTGGACATCTGATGATCTATTGGACACAGCCATTTGCAGAACAAGAACCAGCCAATGAAAACGTCTATTGCCGATGCTATTGCTACAACCAGAAACTGTGACAAATGCAATATACATGTTAAGTATTCAGACATCTGACAGACAAAAACTTTGACTTTTTTAGTCTGGTAGACTGAGCAACTGTTAAAAACTTTGAAAATGATAAAGTATGAGTATTGTAGCGTTTTAGTAAATGTTAAATAGTAGTAAAAAAGTAGAATTGTCCTTCCTTTGTTGTTCATAAACATATGCCACGTAAGAGTTAAAATAGTACCCTACAATGTTATCCTTTTGATAGATCAGCTAGAATATTAGAATCAGAGTTATGTTACAGCCATTAAAAGTGACAGAAGTCACAAATTAGGAATATGCCTTTGCTCAAACTGCAGCCAAACTTTGGAGTCACAATAGTGTAAAAATAGGAATAGATAAATGCATCAACCATAGATGCTTTCAAAAATAGAGATTATTTGTAGCCAGTGCTAATATCAAATGGTAAAGGGACCATTTCACAAGCATTTACTTCAAAAGTAGATAAAGTTAATTACAGTTTATGTACAGTTTTATTAGATACTTGCCAAATTCACTTGTGTTCAAACATGAGTGAATGTTGACAATGCAAAAGTCCATATGAGTGTAGCCTAGATTAATGCCTAGATCAATGAGATAGATTAGAACCAACAGAGATTCAAAAGCATTTAAAAGCATTTTGATGTATTTGTGTATAGCACAACAACACAATAGTAGATATTTAGATATTGAGAAGTTTCCAGCACAAACACCATTGTAGAATAACTGACCCCAACCCCACACATGCTCAAATAGATTAGCTCTTGTAAGAATAATACTAATTTGATTAATGATGTACATTCATCCCAAATGCCTGACAATAATATCTTTAGATAATAAAAAGTAATAAATCACTGACCACTATAGAAGTGTAAATGTTGACCGTTTGCCTTACTGTGTTCACAGTTTTATTCCTGAGAATGAGAATAGACATGGAACAAAATCCCACTAACAATAAGCCACTGATAATGAGAGTATAAAACTAAAGAGAGATTTATTAGTTTAAGAATATGGCTCAATAGAAGCAAATATGCAAACATATTTGTAAATAGAGAGTAAAGTACACAGTCTAAGATTGATAAGTGAAAATAATACAGTGGAGTGAAGTGTAAACAATTAGCATTAGAATAAAAGTATAGAGTAATAAAAGTGAAATTAGCTTCAAATTTGAGACTCAGCTCGTTTTTGTCTGTGTTTTGACTGAATCTGCTGAGTTCTACTGTGTCCAATAGTGTTTGTTTGTTTTTATTTTTGATTTGTTTTTGTTGTTTTTTGTTTATTTATTTACTTTATTTTTGATTTGTTTGTTTGTGTTTTTTATTTTTTCCCAGGATAGAGGATAAAATCCACTGATATTGATTTTGATAATTATGAGTTTAATGCATACATTTTCTTTGTTTTTAATAATTTTTTAAAGTTTTTTTAGATTTTTTTTTTTTTTTCTTTTTCCACTTTATTGATTGATCGATTTGAGTGATCACATGTGATTATGTGATCAAAGGGGAGGGTATTAGTATTAGATAGCAATATGGCCTACGTGCAGGACTGTACAAGGACTCTGCAAGGACTCCATGTTATGACTATGATTTGACTGTCTCTTTGTGACACGTATGTCTTTCGATGTGTGACGTGACAATGACTATATAAACTGTGTACTGCCTTTATTCTGTCTGAGAGAAAGAAACAGAGTAAACTAGTGGAACTTGAGAGCAACTTAAATAAACTTCCAGAGTTTGGCACACCACGATCCGTCTCTGTCTGCTTAAATCCTAACAAAAGTACAGAACAAAATTAGATATTCAGGCCCAAAATATATTGTTTTATCCATCAGGTAATAGACGATAATTTGGTATAGTCCTGATCTTTCCAGCACTACCGCCCATGGAACAGCCTTTGAATCATGATTGAAATAACAGCAGTATTTGATAATGGTCATGAATGTGTCACTTTTCTATTCCTGTAAACGCAGAGGAGCAAACCCACAGGTTCAGAGCCTTCAGTGTGAAAGTGTCTGTCACAAACAGACATGTGTGTGACCGAATTTTGCCATATCTGAACTTGTGATAAGTTAGAACAAGTGATAAGTTATTCTTCATGGAAACATATGGGTATCTTGAGAGATCATGAAGCCATGATTGAGGCTGTATTTTTTATGATTAATGACATAATGATATTCAAAATAACGTTTTAAATAGGTTGATTCAAAGAATGGTTGGTAGTGTACTACATACTTCTGGCAGCGGCCACACTTGATGATGCTGTTGGTCTCTCTGACAGAGGGCTCGTACACAAAGCTGGGGTACTCTGTCTCACATGGCTGAAGAATCTCTCCTTTCCTCTTGTGAAGAGACGCTATCACAGAAAACACAGCAGCATCAGTCCAATTAGTCCAGTTATGACAAGTGAAAAGGTCAACTTCACTTTATCCTTCACTTTATCGTGAACAGCATTGGACTTCATGATGTTAGTTATAGACACTGTTTAAAGCTGGGCATACACTGCATTTTCATGCAATTTTCAGACGTACAATATTGTCAAACCTGCACTGTTCCAGTGAGTCGCAAACGAGGAAATCGATGGAAAGGACCTCACTCTTCGGAGCAACAGACGCACGTGTTCACCAGCTCACACCTGCTCCAGCCCCTCAGTGCTTCTCTGCTCTGTCTTTGACTGTTGTTGTATTTTACAGTGTATGCACAGCTTTCCAAATATAAAACTTTTACACTTCTCTTTCATTATTATAATGTTCAAGATATACATTTTAGACTTGTTCTTTGATGCTAGAGTTAGAGATTTCGTTTTATTTTAATTAGTATAGCTATTGTTCACTTATCTTGTGCTGTATGCTCCTCTTTCCTACTGTTCTGTAACCTGTGATGCAACACTAAAATTTCCCCACTGTGGGACGAATAAAGGATCTCTCAATCTTCATCTTTGAGTGCGCTCCATTCAGCTCCTACAGCTACATGTTTGATTTCCCCAGTCGCACAACCAGCAGCTGTGAGCTCATTATGAGGTGACAATCGCAGCTCGTAACCCCCATATATTGTGCGAGTAAGACGCACAGAGGACAGGGATTTTGGCCCAATCTTAAAATTGCTGTGTGACAATAAATGGTTGCAAAGATTTGGCCAAAAGTGCCCAGCGTAAATATGGGTGTGGTGTGGATTTTACAGCGTAGTTCCATTTTTGTGGTTTGAAAGTTGGGTACCTCAGAATAACTCTGTTGATTTTAGGACCTCACCTTCAGCAAAGTGATCCGTGTGCCAGAGACTGCAGATATTAAACTCGAGAAGAAACCTGGAAAACAGAAGGAGAGCAGTTCATTGAAGCAGGATGGAGAGAGGAGGAGGACAGGAGGAGAAGTGAGAGTCAGTGAAGTGACCATCAGACGGCTGAACGGACAGAACAGATTGTCCTCAAACTGGGCAAGAACCCAGCACAGCGTCATGGGAAGATTATAATGGGCCCACAGTTGTATTGGTCGCTATGGAGGATAAAGAGGACTGGTGAGAGGGGATAATGTGCCTATGACGTGCCAGAGGTCCAGGGTTGTGGACAGTAACCCTGAGCCAGAGCAGGCGGGGTCCATCCTCTGTTAGGAACAAACATTGTTCACCTGAGGGGTGTCACATTTAATTAAGAACACCTTTTTTATTTTATTCTTAGTCTGTTATACCAAGGCCCTATTATTTCTTAATGAAAAGTTTGATTTTCAGTTCATCTTTTGCATCTACATATTTTTACATCATGTAGATATTCATACCAAATGATGGCTTTTATTCAATTTGAGTTTTAGATTTTTCTGAACAGGAGTACATGTTTAGACTAAAACTTAAAACTAAAATTAAGGTAGTATAAGCAAAACTTTTATGGCACTGTGTTTTCAATGTTTGTAATGAAATAGAGAACTAGCTTAAAAAGTTATTTAGCATACTTTTTCTTAGGTATACTTGGCTGTCACTAAACCTGTACTTTTTTCCTACCATATTGAAATAACTGGCATGAAAATAAAGATATGACATTTTGTCCATATTGTCAAGTTTACAAATTAACTTTTGTCTGAATTAATGAATGATACCTTTTAGTAGTCCCACAGTGGGGAGATCAGTGGAGAAGTTTGATAAAGACACAGCAGACTTCTCATCCAAGCTCCTTTATACACCTCCTTTTCACATCATTTTGTAATTTGACAGTGTAAAACATTTTTTGTGGGTATTTTGAGCACTCAATATTCTGTTTCTGTAAAATGTTCTGTTTTGTCATTTCAAAACTCACAGCAGGAAGTTGGACAAGAACCACTTGAGAGCAGAAGCCAAACTGTGCAGCGGCTGTGCAAAAAAGAAGAAAAAAGTCAAGTAATGGAATGCTATGTTTTTATTTATGAAAAGTGATAAGAGTTTAAAAGTGATCAGTGTAACGTACGCTCATGATGTGGCGCCCGCTGCTGACGGAGTGAGAGTGCATCTTACACATGGCCTGGTAGTCAAACAAGGACACTCTGTGGAAGAACACGACACAGAATCAGTCAAACGTTTTAGAGCTATGAAACCTTGTGGCAAATACAAAAACAAAATCAGACAGCAAGATTTTTGAACAGCAGCAGAGAAAGTAAGAAAGCAAGAAATTTAATCTGGTATGGGAAAAACACTTTTTTATCAGACCAGGACCGCGAAGCACTTTCATTTCAGTGCAATATCCACACAACGCCAGATAATTTGACGGTAACCTTTCCAACCGGCCTGAACATGAGAACATGAGTAACCACAGGGTGTATGAAAAAAGGAGAAAAGTGAGAGATCGATGGGTGTTACGCAGAGGGTCCAGTGGGTCATATACAGAATACATACTAACTATATTGAATATAACTGAGGCCTAGGCTTGAATTGGACAATAATGTTGAGATGTGAACAAAGCCTGAGAGAACAGACACATGTTGTTTGTTCTTAAAGGTCCCATAATACGTGTTTGGAGTTTTCCATTCTTTAAACATCATTACAGTGCTATTTAGCCTTCATACACATGCCCAAAGTGTGTTTTAATTGATTCCCTCAAGCTTTAGTTAGAGAGCAATATTTCTCCTTCATCCTCAAGAGGCAGCAAAACGCCTGGGTCCACATCTGTGCCGCGCACTGCAGTGATGTTGCGGCACAAGCTTGGGAGAAGCCAGCCTCAATGTTTACAATGTTTCTAAAATTATGTCATTAAAACACAATTCATAAAAAATGCTGTTTGCTGTCCAGAAAAATAAAATAAAATATAATTAAGAGAGGTGACAGACTTACGCATGCAGCCTCTCCCAAGTCCAACCTATGGTCTTGCGTTTACCACATACTCAACTTAGAGAAAATGTCTTTTTGGGCGTGAATATGTGACGACACTATTTGACCCGAAGACGAAAATAATGGCAAATATCACAGAACTTTTTATTCCATCCAAAAACCACAATCTGTAAATTTGCGAGTGATCCTTCACCAAAGACTGTTCCAGAACTGCAGTCCATGAAACTGGACTTACTCAAAAGTTGATCTTGAAACCTGGTTTTATTCCCACAGTAAAAGGACATAGGGACATAGAAAAAACTTTTTCCATCAATAGTGATCCGTCACATATAGACGGATCACTATTGATGGAAAAAGTTTTTTCTCTGGTCTGAAACCACTGTGGGCTCACCATGAAAGAAGCACAGATCCACTCATTTCAATTGAGGTGACATCACAATTTTTTATCATTGTATCACACATGTGCTCAGGATGGATTGTGAAACATGAAGAAGAGCGAAACACAGGACCTTTAATATACTCAAGTGCTTTGCTCTTCTGTGTTGCTGCGCATGCAGAGGTCCTCGGGGAGGATATGCTAATGCAGCATGGCAACATCACACACAGATGCATTGAAGTTCATGCTAGTAAAGACAGTTACGTAATATCAGAGTGTCAAATGAAGCATGGAGAAATCTTTTAGCTGTATAAAAATAGCACATCACTCAGGAGGCTCCCAACATAAAAGTCAATTCTACACTCTCAAAGTAGCTCAAAGACCAGGGAAGTCCGTCTCATCTAATCCTGGCACGTATAATGAGACATCAGGAAAGACTGTGCAGATGTACAACAGGAGAACACGCTGAGAAATGAGGAGGTACAAATCTGCATGTACTGATCCAAGTCTTTGCCAGGGAACTTACCTAAAACCAAAAAAAGCCCATGCCACATTCTTGCAGTTTCAAAGGCAAGCTAAGTTAACTTTTCAAGTATGGCTGTTTAAAAACACACAAAACAATTAACACATGGTGCGGAAGGGTAGTAACCAGTGGGGCGGATCCCAGCTCAAAAGTGGCCAAAATGACGTGCGCTGACATGCTAGCAATACCACCCCGGGCCGATGGGGATGGACCCAGAAGAAGAATTAGCCAATGCTAACATATAGCATTGGCAGACCTCTCAAAAAAAGTCTTTACAGGATGGTCCAAAAGTTGGCTCTTGGCCCAAAGCTCCGTTCCACATGTGTGTCAATGCTGAGGGGGGTGAATTTTTTTGGACCACTCTAGTTTACTTGCTGTGAAGTTTTGAAGTCTCTCGTTCAAATGAATGGAGCTCTCGCCGGCAGACGCATGCGCAGATGCGTTTTTTCACAATAATCTTGTGGGCGGGACCACTCGCGGCCATTTTGGATAGCTCCAGTAGAGCAAATTTTTTGGCTCATTAGTTAGAACGGCGGAGATAGGCGTGACTCTGTCCGTTAATATATACAGTCTATGGTAGTAACCAAGTATTATAATTAGGGCTGTCAAAATTATCGCGTTAATTACCGTTTTCATTAACGCGTTAAAAAAATAATTATTAACTGCCATTGACGTGTTAATGGTATTTTCACGTTCCCAGATGTCTATTGTATCAAATATGTAAGGCTTGAGGCAATATTTTATCGAGCCAGCAGATGGCAGCATTTCTCTATGAATGGTTTGAAAACAGCTAGATGCACTTTCTGGTGATTTCAATAAAACTTACCTCTACTCGACTGGGAATTACAGGGGAACGAAACAAGCAAGAAAAACAATTATTCTTGCTAATGAAAGTAGACAGTCCATTCTTTCAGAATCTGGTTTTGGATTTCAGATAGTCATAGTACACAATATTCTGTGGGTTGTGAAAATTCAGTAAAAATCATCAGAAACGGCTGGCAATATGGGAGTACCTGTTCTGAAATAGGCTGGCAGTCAATCGCATGTCCGAATGACCCGCCCATTTATAATAATATCACTCAGAATGCCGCCGACACGTGCGTGTGTGTGATGGTGACAGCGGTAACGTGGTCATATAATACACCCATATATACACGCACAGGGGCCATTCTCTGATGTTGTGTGACACACGGAGGAGAGGAGGAGACACGCTGAAATGCAACCAAACTCGCAAAATTAAAGCTGGGGTACCTACATTTTCCCTTTCATTAACAGCTCTTGTTGGTTGTACCCAAAAGTAGAAGGTTGTGAGCAAGTCAAATAGATTTAAGTACATTTGGTATGAATAACAATATGTCATTACACTTGAAAATCTCATTTAACTTCAATTGGAGTGGATTTGAAATAGAATGCTTAAAATGCGATTAATCGTGAGTTAACTCACCATTACTCTACGATTAATCAACTAAAAAAAAATAATCGTTTGACAGCCCTAATTATAATCAATCATTTGTGGACAGTTTTGTTCTGTGACTTTGTTCAAAGACTTTGTTGCCCAGCAGCAGGGGGCGCTCTGAAACACAAAGACCTAACTACAAGGAAAGGCTGATGAACTCAACATCGGTTCAAACCATAGACTGTAAATATCAAAGGATGTAGTCACGCCTATCTCCGCCGTTCAAACTAATGTGCCATCACTTTCGCCGTCTGTGGGGCTTTTCAGAATGACAGGGGGCAGGAAAATGTGAAAAAAATGCATTTGCGCATGCGTCAGCCGGCACGAGCTCCATTCAAAATTCCACTGCGACTAAACTAGACTGGTCCAAAAAAATTCACTCCCCTCAGCATTGACACACATGTGGAGCGTAGCGTTGGGCCAAGAACCGACTTTTGGACCATCCTGTCAAGACGTTTTCCAGAGGTTAAAAGACACCATACATTAGCATTGAATAATTCTTATTCAACAGCCTGGGGTGGTATCATTTAGATCATTTTTGATAAGTTCTTAAGCTGTTTTTGATGAGGAAACTATTTTATATGTTGTACAATATGTCTCCATTCAAGTATGTGTTAAGTCGATGTCAAATTTGTTATTGTTATTATCAACTGCAGCTCCATACTCCCCTCTGCTGGCGAACGGTGGTGACCTTGCCTCTTGAGACAGTTCACCTAATCTCACCCTGAAGTGAATTGATCATGGATCCGCCCCAGTGTGAGTATGAGCCCGTATTTAGAGTCCATTACATTTATTTAACAGTATTTCTGCATAACAAAGATATAACATGTGTCTTTTAAAATGTGGGTGTATTTTTCTTCAAGGTAATGAGAGCACTGCAACTGACAGCAAAAATTGTGAGTACTCTTTATTTCAACTCTACCCTCGGGCGGTAGCATTGGGAGTTACAGACGGAAAGCATTTTGTATCCTTGATTCTTGTTACACCAAATATGTTCTATTTTAACATTCACATTCCAAAACATGAAATGACAGAGAAGCAAATAGTGTAATTACAATTTTTAATAATGACCAAAAGAACAAACGATTGATGGAACAAGTTGCCTACTTGTGTTCATATCTAATATACGCTTTGCTTTTCCTTGTGTTCTTAAATGCATCACTGCCCGTTGTCTCATAAGTATCTGGGTTATGTGCTCAATCGCAGTAGAAGCGCACCAGCACCTCCAAAAGGCACTGTTTTTTCACACTTTATTTTGCATGCAAGAGCTTATACTGTATGTATTTTTCATGAATCAGATTTAATTAGGGTATTAATCGTGCTTTGTAAATGCACTCACTGAACCTACCTTTTGAACATGCCCATTCGTATCAACGTCGTCATCACCGAACCATCCAGCTCACCCAGAAATCGGCCTGCCTGTAAAAGAAGAGAATGTGTTTGTCACTTTCGTTAATAATACAATCTGAAACTCACTGATGTGGTGAAGATAATGCCGGTAAACATGCCACAATCAAGGTTATAAGTCAGGTATGTGCTTTTGCGTGTGAACTTACATCATTGCGCTGCTTTGAAATGAGGACAAAGCCATTATTGTCAATCACGTAGCACTGAATATCCTGTGGAGACGAGAGGACAGAAAATTACTTGAAAGAGAGACGAGGCATTGTGCATACTAAATCACGAATAAAGTAGGTTTGATTTCTTAAGTTGAAAATAAAAAGTTGAGGTTTTAGAAAAATTGTTGTGTTTAGATGCGTACACACAAAGTGTTTACATCAACATGGGTAAGTTGTGTAATGGCAGTATTTACACTGCTATAGTATCAGTGGTGTAGGTTGTCATGTAGTAGTGCTGATATAGAGTAAAAGTAGTTGTAGGATAAAATCTGCACTTACAACGCTGTCACAACGTAATGGACAAATGCCATCTGCGTCAGAGCACTGAAAACAGACAAATGACAAGCAAAATCATGACCATGTTTTTTCCTCCAATGTTAAAACACAGACACACAGACACACACACACAGACACACACACACACACACACACACACACACACACACACACACACACACACACACACACACACACACACACACACACACACACACACACACACACACACACACACACAGGTCTAGAGCAGAAGTCAAAAGGAAAATAGCGATGCCATGTGGCATATTTTGGCCTTTTTAGTCCTGTTAAGAGACTAAAAAGGCATGGTATTATAGTTATCCCTTTTCATTTACATACTCACACTTGTGTTCAGAGTGAGTCATGAATGTTAAGGTTTAAGGACAGTGATTATCCAGGAGATTTATGGACATTTATGAACATTTATATTTAGGCACTAAGGCTACTGTTGCATTGTGGGGTAAGTGGGCCGTTGTCTTGTATGCTCAATATTACCTGTCATGCTTTGTTTTTAGCCTCTGTGGCTGTGGCTTGGGGCTGTGCTGTCCTGCGTGCACGGTGTGCATGTGGGTGATGTGCTGGGTTGATGCACTATTGTACTACTGTATGGGTCCTCTCAATTGTCAATCATTGTGGTGCTTGTCAAAAAAGACCAGGAAGTGTTGTTCAAAAAGTGGAGAAGGCGGTTCTTTCCTAAAATTTGGGAAAATCCTTCTACTGTATATACCTTTAAGTTGACCACAATGTACAATTATAGGGATGTGTCTGTCTGAGCACATGGACACCACTGGACTGAAGCCCAAATGGTCCAGAAACCAAAAGACAATGGACTAAACTGGTTTGGACTCATTATAAGATGTTGTAAAAACTAAAGTGATGACTCAACAATGCTTTGTTTTAATACAAACCAAAAAGTATACAGTTTCCAATACAAATATATGCTAGGGTTGGTAGAGTCAGGTTTATTTTTGTCACTTAATTGATGTGTCTAGGAGCAGAGTGAGCGGTGAGAATGTGACTTCACACCATTTAATCGGTGCGACTGTGTACTTACATCCGTGTTGTTAGGCTGAGGGAGGAAGCAGAGAAAGAGAAACATATTACAGTCAAAGACAATTGTAGTAACAAGACAGATTTGACTTGAATTAGCAAAAGCACAACAAAACCAAAATAGAAAAAAGGCTGTAATCACAAAACATGAAAACCACACTACTACAGTGGGGCTCAGAAGGGGGCTTCAGGCAACGTTGGGTTAAGTGTCTTGCCCACATTAGTGGGAGCACTTGGAGTAGGTCTCGTGGGGGACTCGAACCCACGACCTTCAGGCCCAAAGGCCAATGCTCTACCAACTGAGCAACTGTCGCCCCATACGACTTGCCTCATGATTCTGGACATGTTTTTTTAAATTCATAGTCTTGTGTCTTGTAAAGTGCCAAACTTTCATTATGTCTTTTGGCAAGACACTTCAGCCACATTGCCTAGAATGAGCATAGTGTGTGTGTGAATGGTTAGTGGTGGTCGGTGAGGCTGATGGCACATACTGGTTGGCTTGCTTCTGTCAGTTTGTCTCAAGGCCACTGTGGCTAAAGTAGAAGTTTATTACCACCGTGTATGTAGTGAATGAATAATGCCATGTCTTTGAGTGTCATGAAAAGCACTATATAAGAATCATGCATTATTAATTAAAGAAAGAGCCCACTCAGTTACAAAGTGATACTTTCATTGGTGAATTTTACCTTTCTTAGTCATAAAGTAATACTCTAACTCTAATATATATCACAAGTCTTTTGCAGAAGAGCAAGAGTGGGAGTTCAATAGCCTTCTATACAACCTACTGGTTACTTTTCCACTTATGTCACCCATTTACTTCACGATGGCAAACCTATAACCTCACTGTTAATAGTTGGGGACACAAGCTGGGGGGCACGGTGGTTGAGTGGATAGCACTCTCGCTTTTCTGCAATAAGGTTCTGGGTTCGAATCCCAGTCGCAAAAGGGCCTTTCTGAGTGGAGTTTGCATGTTCTCCCCGTGTCTGCGTCGGTGCAAATGTGGGACAACGGATGGAAATCAGCCCATGGTTACAATCCGAAGTGATGTGTTCATTAACAGGTACTGTCCCAACCAAATAAACAATAAATAAGTATAGAGTTAAAACGCCTTTATGGACAATACTTCTTAGAAATCCCGCTGTTGTGATCTAGAGCATGTCCAATTGTGAATGGGACAATCCATCATCCTTTTCCTTCCTATTACAGCAGAGTGTCAGTCTTTCTCTTTGGCTCCCCATCACTGCCTGCTGCCAAAACACACTATGATCCATTCTGGCCGACAGCACTGCAATGTTTCCTCATTTTTAATACGTAAAACAATACCACAATGAGATGAAAAAAATTAACGTTTCGAAAACCATTTTTTGCTTCTTTTCGATACACGTGTGACTGGTTTAAAGCTCTGGTGATGGATTCTAACGGTGAGGAATTGGTAGGATATATCTTTGAGCTAATTCATTTTGAATCCATTATGGCTGATTTTGTTTACTGTGTGTAAATATAGGAGCAAGATTTGCACACGCTCCAGGAAAAGTCAATTATGAATCATTAATGGCAGGTTATATATACAGTTAACTGTATATATAAACATTTTACCATCTTACATTTTAGTTGATCAATTTTTAAAACCAAAACAGTCCAAAAGTAAGACAGGCCTAAAGAGAATGTGACAATAATGCGACTCTGGCTCAAAAAAGAAAGAAAAGAATCCAGTGCATGTACTGTTTCGTCTCAGGCCAGGATTTTAATGAGGACTGAGTGTGAATGAAAATAGAGAACAACAATTTTCTTCTGAAAATTTAGCTAAAAGGTTATTTTTCTCAGACCAGAGTAGATTTTCCTATCTCACGAATATAAATAGCTGGATAATGCCCCCAGGTCTATAAACGTGGACGAGAGGGCCTTTTGTATTGTCACACACATGGGATTATTGTCCGGCCTGTAGATGGTGCTGCCGTCCTGCCACAACTATGAATGGATTTGACTTAGCAAAAGATTTTCTAATCTAATAGTTTTTTTTATCCCAAACCCTATGCAGAGAAGAAACACAGGTTACTAATGTAATGAAATGTTTGTTCTTCAGACTGAACTGACTTGATTGATTAGAGGCATTATGCAGCCAGGCCTTTCTCTCTGCACCTGGATGTCGGCCTTGAGACAGAAATATGCCAATGTGTACAGTAAGAAGCTCCTATTCATCTGCCTCTAAATGCTTTCTCCACTCCCCATCAGGCTGCAGCAGTGCGGCTTGTGATGACAGATCCACACCATATTCTCACTCAGGAAGGTTTAACAGCACATTTAACAGTGAAAACACCTGCCACACCTCACTACTCTTTTTAAACATGGTTCTGTTTCGCAAGTACAGAAGGCAGCTTCACTGTTACAATTAGAGGTATAAGAATGTTACTTTATTTGAGTATAATTATAACTATTATTATTAACAATTGCTGACACAAACAAATATGATATTAAGCCACAAAGGTGTCAATAGTAACTTTCAATGGAGGACAAAAATTAGATATTGCAGAACGCCACTGATTATTTCCACTACTGGAGCAACTGCACACTTATTTTTGGGACTGCCCTGTTCTTTGCAACTAAACTATTGGCAGAACATGAAAGTAGAAACAATAGTGTCACTTTTATGCTCCTCGTCTGTGGAACAGTCTTCTACATGAACTGTGTATTATTGCATACGGGAGCGTTTAAATCAGGCATCATAACAAGTTTTAACAAGAAAAAATTTAAATGTATGTATATGCATGTATAGGCAAGGCAAGTTTATTTGTATAGCACAATTCATACACAAGGCAACTCAAAGTGCTGAACAAAACAAGAAAGCATTAAAATCATAAATAATCACAGAACATTATAAAGAAAGATAAAAACATAAAATCCCTCAGTTGTATGCACAGCTAAACAGAACTGTTTTTAACCTGGTTTTAAACATTGTCAGAGAGGAGGCCTGTCTCACATCTTCAGGAAGATTGTTCCAGATTTTAGCAGCCTGAATCTGAAAAGCAGCCTCCCCATGTTTAGTTCTGACTCTGGACACTAACAGGAGTCCAGTCCCTGTGCTCCTCAGAGTCCGGGCTGGTTCATATGGAACTAACATGTCACTAATATATTTTGGTGCGAGGCCATGGAGAGAATTGTACACAAGCAGAGCTGTTTTAAAGTCTATTCTCTGAGCCACAGGAAGCCAGTGCAGAGACCTGAGGACCGGACTAATGTGGTCGTACTTCCTGGTTCTAGTCAGGACTCGAGCTGCTGCATTTTGAATGTACTGCAGCTGTTTTACAGCCTGTTTGGACAGACCTGTGAGCAGGCCATTGCAGTAGTCTAACCTACTGGAGACAAATGCATGGATAAGAATCTCCAAGTCTGCTTTAGACACTATGTTTTTGATCCTGGCAATGTTTTTTAGATGGTAAAAAGCTGCTGATGTTACTGATTTTTAAAATTTAAGTTTGAGTCCAGTATTACCCCTAAATTTCTGACCTTGTTTGAAGGTTTTAGGGAGAGAGACTGGAGGTGACAGATGACGCTCTCTCTTTGTTTCTGGGGACCAAAGACAATCATTTCAGTTTTGTCTGCGTTTAGCTGAAGGAAGTTGTTTTGCATCCACTCACTGATCTGTTGGATACAGTGAAGGAGTGAGTCCACTGGTCCATGTTCTCCTGCAGTCAGTGAGACATAGATCTGAGTGTCGTCTGCATAGTTATGATAGGAAACTTCGTTTCTGCGTATTAACTGACCTAACGGCAGCATGTAGAGATTGAACAGAAGAGGTCCCAGGATTGACCCCTGTGGTACTCCACAGGTCAGGGCCATATGATCTGAGACACAGTTTCCAATCTCCACAAAGTACTTCCTGTCTTCAAGGTAAGACCTAAACCAACTTAGGGCGGTGCCAGCGACGCCAACCCAGTCCTCTAGTCTCTGTAAGAGGATCTCATGGTCGACGGTGTCAAAGGCAGCACTTAGATCTAACAAGATTAAGATTGAGACTTGGCCTGCGTCAGTGTTCAGCCGGATATCGTTTGTAACCTTAACGAGAGCAGTGTCAGTGCTGTGGTGGGGTCTAAAGCCGGACTGAAACATATCAAATGAGTTGTTGATTATAAGAAATCTAGTAAGCTGTAGGTAGACAACTTTTTCAAGGACTTTCCCCATAAATGGCAGATTTGAGATGGGACGATAGTTGTTAAGTACCGTAGCATCCAGCCTGCTCTTTTTTAGCAGGGGCCTGATGACTGCAGTTATCAGGGCCTTTGGGAATATTCCAGAATTAAGGGACATGTTTACTATCTGTGTGAGTGAAGGTAACAGACTGCTCAGAACAGACTTCAGAAATCTAGTGGGTAGTACATCCAGGCTGCATGTGGAGGAGCTCAAACTGGAGATTATCTCTTGGACATTTTTATCATCTACAGGTGCAAAGTGAGTTAGCTCAGAGAGCCTTTCTGGCTGTTGGATTGTTATCTGTGGATTGGAGACAATGGCGTTTTTGATGCCTTGAACCTTGTCATTGATAAAGTGTGCAAACTCATTGCATTTACGTTTGGAAGTAAGCTCTAATGGCAGCTGAACAGGGGGGTTTGTTAATCTATTAACTGTTGAAAACAGAACACGCAGATTGTTACTGCAACCTTCAATCATTTCAGAAAAATACCTTTCTCTCGTACTACGTAGCACCTGGTTAAACTCGCACAACTTATCCTTGAATATCTTGTAATCAACCTGGAGGTTGGACTTGCGCCACTTCCGCTCGGCCCTCCGGCACTTTCTCTTCAGTGCTCTGACCGAGTCTGCTTTAACCCACGGCGCCTTCTGCTTATTTTTCACTATTTTAACCTTCACAGGAGCAACGGTATCCAGAACATTCAAAACACTAGAGGTGACAGAGTTAAACAGTTCATCTACAGTAGAATACGATGCATTTTCAAAGTTTATCATTCCCATAAATATTTCACTCGTATTTTCATTTATGTGTCTTCTTCGAACGGTTGCAGA